ACTCCACCCATAATTATTTAATTCTAACGCGATTGCTGCAGAGAAGCTGTGTCAAAAATTTGAAGTTAATCAAGGGTGAAAAATGTGGTACTCAGCACAGACTTGTTGGTGCTTAAATTTCCCATTCACCTCCATAAGTCAAAACCAGTTAGAAGAATAACATCGTGGAATTTAACTGAAAAAGAAAACCAAATCAAGTACAAAGAGGCAGAAGAAAGAAGGTAAAAAATAATAGAAGACAGGCCAACTCGGAAAATTACAAATCAACTTTTCAACAAAAAGCGAAAAACGTATGTGGCGAAACAAACGGAAAATCAGTGAAAAAAAAACAATGAGGTGGAACGAAAAAAAAGGCGATGTACTTAAAAAGAAAAGATTTTTGTTCAAAAAGTGACCGAGATGTTCTCTCGCAATGGCAAAGTTACTTCTCAAATCTTTTAATTTGAACAAATCGGTTGAAACAGAAGGTATCCCACAGTGGCTGGCCCATTGGAGGAATTTACTATCAAGGAAGTGGCACTTGCACTGACAGAAATGAAAAATAAGAAAAGCCCAGGGCCAACTTTGGACATGATAAAATTTGGGGATTGTGGACTTGCTGGACTTTTTGAAGTCTTTAACAACTCTGAGACTCTGTCTAGTCCCCTCTGACCAGAGCGAAAATGAAACTATTACTTTTTATAAAAGAAAAGGCTACCGTTTAGAATGTGGATCCTACAGAGGCATCCGATTACTGGAACACGGATTTAATTTTTTCGAAATTATATTTGAATAACCTGAAACAATTGTTAAAATTGATGACACGCAATTTGTTTTTATGGTTGGTAGATCAACTACTGACGACGTTTTTTTAATTGAACACTTGAAAGAATTTTGCGGAAAAGAAAAAACCCTGCATCACGTATTTGCTCATCTCGAAAAGGCCTTCGACCGTGTTGCCAGGAAACTGATCCCATGGGCTCTGAGGCATTAGAGACTTCCCAAAAATCTGGTATGACTACTAATGTACCTGTACACCGAGTCAAAAACCAGAGTTCGCCGGCCTCAAGGACGCAGTGATTACTTCGAATTAAAAGTAGACGTGCATAAGGATCAGCACGTAGCCCATTGTAATTTATAAAAGTATTGGAAGAGGATACGAGAAACTGTCGTTCAATGGTACCATAGGATTTGCTATATGCGGAGGATCTTGTGATATCCGCTGAAACGAAATCTCAGTCTATTGAAAAGTAATACTTGGAGCAAGGCTTTGCAAATACGCGTTTTAAATATAAATGTCGATAAGACAAAGCATGTGATTTCAGGCCACAAGTCTTTTTCTCAAAAAGCTGGAGAATATCCATGCGCTTGTTGGTTGAAGTGAGTCGGCATCAATTCAATACGCTGCAGTTCTAGTAATCAATGGATGCATACAAAATACAGTAGCCTGAGGAAAATACTTAAACAATACTTATTGTTTTTCAAGATGCAATAACCCCTCCAATTATCAGTCAAATCAGAATGCTACTCTACGGATTAATCTATTTGAAACCGTGAGTACTGTCAAAGAGTCCTGCTATCTATGATTGCCGTTCAAAGTGACGCAATACGTGCATCATCGGCAAGGATACCAGCTTTCTGGACGAATTGTCGGCAAATTGCGCCTCTGCTGCTGAATAAAAAATTTGAGTTAATTACAAGGTGTCATATCCACGGAGCTTGTCTCCGGCCAGCTCTAATGTACTGCTCTGGAACCGTGGAGGAGGCCAAAACAATATCCAGCTTTTTTAAGAGTGCTGATTTGAAAGCTCTGCGTAGAATTATCGGAGTCCCTTTTAAAGACAGATTTACCAACGAAGCAGTAATTTAAATGACAGGCTTGTTTTTAGGAAGGATTAAAAAGCTGGATCAGTTGTGTTAAACGAGACCCGAATACTTTAGACCTCAAATATTCAGACAGCCTTGATCCAATGTTTTTGAAAAACGTGCTCTCCTCCTTTTAATGTTTTGAATGCTTTTCAGAATGCCCTCATCTGAACCATTGCTCAAGCTGTTTCCGGATGTCCAACCCCGCCACAGTGGGAAAACGGACAATAAAATCATAAGTAGTAGTAGCAGCTTTTATCAAAAAAAGTATCATCTGCGACTTCGTTTACACAAGCACGTTCGCAAGCGTATTATCATACCTAACTCGCATTTAAAAGGCTCAATTTGTTGGCACTTTTGCTGCATAGTATTGGCAGTTGAATTACCTTTGCGATAAGCAAGGGTTTTGCAATCGGGTGCAAGTTTTTTTCCCCGTAAACAGTTTTGTTCAAAAGATCTTCATTTCTAGAGTATCTTCACTTCCAGAGGATTTTTCATCTGACATGCTCTAAGCTTCTCGAAAATTCAAAAAAAAAGATATGACTCACTTGTAATTAGTTCAAGCCCCTTTCAGGTTGTAATTATCATTTCATCAAAATATCTCATTTTTATTGAGGTTTCTGATTTTTGTCCTAGTTTCTGTCGGTTCATTTTCCGTTTTCCTAAACGCTATACTGTAAGTGAAACTTCACAAATTAGTAAATGTATTATGTCTGATTTTGATTTTTAAGAGTAATGAACGTATTTCAGTGCATTTTCCATTGTTAAAAGGAGGGCAACTTCCACTATCGAACTGCAAAAGTGTAAAGTTCACAAAAATTGTGATCAAATTCTTATTTCAAAATGGAAATTAATGATCAGATTTCCCAGCGAAATAAAAGTTTTACCTATTGATCCAGTTTTCTCAAATTGGATTAATTTTAACAAAAAAGTGTTCATCATAAACTGTTCTACAAATTCATAGAGATTTAAGGCCATTATTTTTTTCTTCGAAATTCAAAAGTTGAAGATTCTGGAAAAACCAGTCGGTTTTTTCAGTTTCCTTGCGTTCATTATTCTTTTCCAACTGTCAGTTGGCTATGTTTTTTCTTTTTTCTCTTTTTTCTAATATTTGAAGTTTTAGTTTATGTTATATCGACTGATCCAATTTTTTTGCGTAATTTGTAGGCCAGTTTTTTATCTGTTTGGGGTTTTGTGTTTCAGTTTAGATGGGTCGGTCGTTACAACTTTTAAAATCATTGAAATTTTTCATGACAACAGTTTCGTTTTCGGCTAATCAGGTTTCGACCCAAAGTTTGTCGCCTTTGTTGCCGCTGGGTAAATTTTAAATGTTTTCCATTATTGAGGACTGTGGAACAGGTCTGTATGTCGGTTGACTTTAGCATTTGGGTGTCCTAACAACAGTACAATAAAAAAAAACTCGATTTCAGAAATTTTTCAACTCAATATATTTCGTAATATTTTTGAACAGCATAATGTTTACATACTTTGGCTTTATGCTTTCAAATTGGTTTCATGCGAAGTCAATGTGGATGCCTTCAGCTTGTTATATTCCAAATCATTACTTAGAAAATTGTGTCCATTTGTGTTTAGTGCCATTTTTACTGCATGACCTTTCAATTTATATATTTTTTTATTTTTGACTAGCTGTTTTATTTTTGACTAGTGTTTACCGATTGTTGAGAGCTCGTGGCCGAGATGGCAGGGTGTGAGACTCCAAATCTCAAGGTCGCTTGTTCGAGTCCGATGCGTTGCAAAACCTTTTTAATTCGATGCTTGTTTCTATTTTTTCTCATTGCGCTTTCTATTGCCGCTTTTTTGTCATGTTCTTGCTTGTGTTTGCGAGGCGTAGCCTTGCCTCTGTATATTTGTATTTTTGAGATAATAGACAGCTCAACTGCCTGTTTCAAGTGGTCGGATGTGTTTATGGGAGCGAAAGGTCAATGTTTTTACTTCGAAAGTTGTTATTTATGAAATGGCAAGGTGACATTTTGCGGTTTGACTTATACGGTTTTTGCGGTTTGAGTTTGATTTTTTAAAAAAAATTCAGATCATTTCTTTTGTTAAAATGAAGACAACTCACCTATCCAACAGCGTAAGCGTAAAGATTACGAAAATCGTGATCAAGTTCTGATTTCGAAAAGAGATTTTAATTATCAGATTTCTCAGCGTAATTACACTAGCGTCAGCTTAGTCTATTATTAAGACCCTTTTTTTTCATCACTTAAGTCGCAAATATTAGCACCATTTTTGGGGATCTTTACAGAGTTTTAAAAGCATTTGCTTTTACATTCGAATAGTATTAAGTGAACACAGTTGATGCATTTTTAATTCATCAAATGAACCGAAAAAAAACTATTTGTTTCCAACGGCATAACTCAATAAAAACTCGATTTCAGAATTTTCCTAACAATATACCTCGCAATTTTTTGAAATGCATCTTTTATACATAATGTGGCTTTATGCTTTGCGATTTGTTTGATGCAAACTTAGTGTGGATGCCTTCAGTTTCTTATATTACAAAATTGTGTCTATTTGTATTTGGTACCCTTTTTTGCTGAATGGCATTGGCAATTTATTAGCATATGTAGCTGCTTTGTTTGTGACTGGTGTTTGTCGGTGGTTAAGCGTGCGTGGCTGAGTGGTTAGTGCACGAGACTGGTTAGTGAGTGAGAGTCGCAGATCGAATCCTAGACCTAGTCGAATTTTTGCTAATTCGAGGCTTATTTCTATTTTCTTGCCATTTCTAGAGCTGCTTTTTGTCTTGTTCTCGCTAGTGTTTGCGAAGCGAAGCTCTACCAAAAAAGTGTGAATCATGAATTGTTCTAGAAATTGAAGTAGCTTTAAGGATATTTATTTTTTCGTTGAAACTCAAAAATTGAGGTTTTTGAAAAAAAAACATGTTTTCTGTTTTGTTGCGTTCATTAGTTCTTATCCAACTCTCTGTTGGCTCTATTAAAAAAATCATATTTGTTCTGATTTTGGATACAGTTTTCTCTAATGGCTCACTAAATTTCCTTGTGCTAAAAAACACCGCGTTAGAAATTCTACTTTTTCTGTTTCTGAGAAAAGAATAGAATGAACTTCCTTGGAGTTTTGGAGTCCGGTTGCTCGAACTAAACGAATCAAATAATCATGTTATAACTTTTTAGAGGAAGATGAATAATAAAATTTTTGAGTCGAAGTTTTTTATCCAATATCTGTTTGACTTGTTCTGCGATGCAGGAATTGGCTGAAGATTCAGAAGGACCCGAAGTTGATGAGGAAGGTTTCTCTCGGCTGTACGAAATACTGAATCCTTTTCCGATGCAAACACAGCTGTACGAAAAGTTAGTGCAATTGATTATCGATTATACTTAAGGGGCTTGTTGCTCTTGAGTTGTTTTGTGCAAGATGCTTAACTGAACTTAACGTTACGTTAGCTTAAGTATCTCAATTTAAGGTATTTTAAGAAAATGTTTCTAGAATTTTTGTGATATCTAAATATTCTTGCCTAGATACGCTCGATCATGGAGCAAAGAGACTTTGCAAAATGAAAGCACCCAAGGAGAGGCAGATAGGGAAACTTTCCCCAATCCGAAAAGTAAGTCACTCACTCGATAATTTTCACAGAAGTTCAAATAGAGCATGATTTACTTATTTGCAAGTACTCTAATATTATTAGAGCAGCAACCAGTTTCATTTTAAAAGTACAATATGGTGGTTTTATTTATTTCCCAATTTTGTATGTCCATTTTTGTGTTTAGGCAAAACATGGCACAGTATTTCTCCGGTGGCTCGTTTGTTTCCAAAGCTGTCTGAATACTCTTTGCATCTGTGGAATACCTCATACATGGCAGAAACTGAGCTAGAGAAATTTCTCTTGGAAGACGGAAAAGTATGTTATCTTAGAATGTATTCTTATTTGAAAAATTGAAAATCTGAATCAGTGCATAGGTTACCTAAAAATGCTTGTTAACTCACAACGAAGTTGATGCAAAATTTTGAATTGTTGAACCGAGCATTGATAAAACAGTCATTATGTAAACTATACTAAAAGACTAAAAGTGTCGCATTTCGAATAAAGGCTCGAATATTTGTACTCGTGGTTTTTCAGACAGTTTTTTCTTATTATTCAGTCATGAACAGTTTTTTATACCATCTAAAGGTATTGGCACCCTGAGCTCAAATATAAAAAAGTTTTTTAATCTGTGATCATTTCCGTTATGTTCGAATATTTGTGCTCGTGGTTTTTCAGACAGTTTTTTCTTATTATTCAGTCATGAACAGTTTTTTATACCATCTATAAATATTGGCTCCCTGAGCTCAAATATAAAAAAGTTTTTTTAATCTGTGATCATTTCCGTTATGGGGATCGTTGAAAACATGGAAATACGGTGTATAGACATTTGTGTTCCAGACTTTTGTGACCATGTCAAAACTGTTCGAATTATGAAATTGTCCAATGTTAACATCTTTACTTTGACGCTGTGATTGTTAATGCTTTCACATTTTGCGTTTAATTGATCGTTTTATTATTCGATTCTGTGCACCAAATAATCACTGAACAGTGAAGGCGCGTATAAATTTTCAAAAGGAAATGAAACACCAAAATTGAGTGAAATAGAAGGTTCTCGAAATTGGTTGGTTTGTTTGAGTCAAGGAAGAAAGGGTGGTAAAACATGGTTGCACTGATCTTTTTGCCTTTTTGAAAACGGTTATTGCTTAATTTACTTCTTGGAACAAATTTTAATTGGAAAAGTTTCTTGGTTTTTACTGTTTTGCAAGGTAGGTACACCTAGATGTAAACTCTAGTTGTCAATTTTGAATCTTTTTGACGTCCTGTGGTAGGTTTTGACTTATTGAGAGTTTCAAATGCAGTGGAAAAGTTACTCAGTGCAAGAAAGCGGTACACAGTAGCATTCGGACATGCTCGAGGAACTCTGGATCAAGCCTGCTGTTGATTGTTTCCAGTAGGCTGAGTTTGTTGCCAGATGCTTTAGCACATGACAGTAGCAGTATCGCGTTTGCACATTCTGGCATTTTGGAGTCAACGCGTTTGTGACCGCTGTTTCGGAATCAAGGATTGCTTGTTTAGGACTTCGCCCAAACACTTTAAAAGTCGATTATTCGTCTTGCCAGGAAGCAATGCCTTCACAAGAAATAAAAATCTTTCAGTTGATGCGCGTGTATCTGGAAGAAGCCACTCAAAGGTGTTGAAAAAGTGCCAACGCAGAATCAATAATCAGTTCCGCCAAGAAAATTCAGCCCTGCAAGTTGATTCTCGTATAGCTGGAAGAAGACACTCAGGGTCGTTGAAAATGTGCCATCGCAGAATCAATCATCAGTGCCGCTACGAAAATTAATTCCTCGAAGAGTGTGGAAAACCATTATTTTCTTTGTAACATCAAGTTCAGAGTCACATTGAATGAAACTTAAGCCTTTGTGTGTCATTTTCAATATCTCTGGAAGTTCAAAACCAAGTGGTTTGCTTCCTGTATTCTTGGACTCTTTCCTGCTATTTTTTCTTAACGGTTCTCTGGTGTTTGGCTGAATAGTTTGGGATCAATGAAATTAATTGATACATGAAATTAATTGAAAACAAGGATAGCAGGTTACTGTGCAAGTAGCTCAAAATGTTCCGAATCTTAAAAAGAAATAAAAATAAAAGTTTTTTTCAAATTGATATCGTTTTTTTCTGAATGTTGTGATAAGAAGATCTGAACGAAAGAAAGAGTCAAAAGAGTCAAGTAAAATCAGTCATTTGGAAAGTAGTTTTTGAAGAAAAATGACTGGAAAACGAAAAAAGTTAAACAAAACTAAAGTTTTTCAGTTTTTTTTTGCAGAAATTTTTTGAATGTTCAAGTTTTTGTTACCCAAAATTGTGCCAAAAATTACCTTTATTTGAATAAAACTAAGTTTTAATGGCTTTAATTAAGCTTATTAAGCTATAGAAACCCTGCACTGTAAACTGATTAGATCAAAAATCAAAAATTTCACGCCGGTATTTCTCGACACTGAAAAAAATTCACGACTGAAAAGGCTTTAATATGATATATCATTCGACCCAGTGAGACGATTATTTGTGGTACCTGATTTTGCGTGGAAAAAAAACTAAAACGCGAATACAAAGTTTCTCCCCACTTTCAATTGTCGGAACAAAAAGATTTTTTGCAAACTATTTGGTAGATTTAAAAGGGTAGTCGGAAGATTCAAGTATCTGTGCAGCTCGAGTTTTTGTTCTTTACCTCGTAGATAAATGATCTCACTGAACAAACCGTTCCAGGTCCATAAATTAGGATTGAATTTGAAGTTAATCGTTTTCTAGGTGCCATGTCCCGATGCCGAATCAACCATATATCGATACCGAGAAACATGGAACAAGCCAAACACTCTGTCTTTTGCGGGATTCGTCCACTTCCTTTTTTCGGAAAAGTGCACTGCAGTCAAACGAGTGGAAAGCAGAGTGAACATGGATATGAGATTACCTCTGAACCATTACTACATCAATTCTTCTCATAATACGTTAGATTATCTATGAGTTTCTAATCGTTAGGTGTAGTTTTGCTGATTGGTTCTAATAGACTAAACTGATTAGTCAATCTGAATAGACTAAACTAAATTTGAGTACAACTTACTGCGCCTCGCCCAAACATAGCTAGTTCATAAAAGCTTGGAATAAATTCGCTTCCAAGAAGAGAAGATAAGTCTTTTTAATATAAGAATGAAAGCTTGGCGTAGCCGAATGTTTGTATTCACATTTTTTCTGCAAGAGCTATGGAGCAAAAAGTGGTTTTCAGCAACAAAAGGTGATTTTAATTTTCGGACGAGTTTTATGCATCCTTTAGATACTTAGAAGGGAACCAATTGACTTCAGACTGCACGTCAGACGCCTACATCAGAGTTCTCAAAATGGGAGTCCGGTTCTTGGAACGTACGTATAACCTAAAATTAAAACCGATCTCTTTACTGTGATACTGAGAACGGTTTTGAATTCTGAAAATGGATTAGAAGTAAATAAAATATTATATTTTGTGACATGTCTAAGTTTTTGTAGTGGACGTGCACCCTGGCTCTTCAAACTCTGAGCCAGTCATCAAACATCTCAACTTCCCCACCAGTCCACTTCCTCTGAGAGAAGCATGTGAAGCTATCAAAAAGTATGCATTCGTCAGATCACAGTAAGAAAATTTTAGGATACCTTCTGATCGTTCTCTCTCTCTCGCCAAAAGTCGCTAGCTAATAATAAATCTTGATTAAAGTAGACAAAACTCAAAAATTGCATGAGGGTTATAATTAGCTGGGTTTATTTTATCAAAAAAAAACGAAAGCATAAAGAATTCTAGAAATTCACAAACTTAAAGACATCTATTTTTTTCGAGAAAAAACTAGATTTTTTTTTCTGTTTTATTTGCGTTCGTTGAATTTTTTCCAATTGCTATATTCATGTTGTCTAAATGTTTTTGGTTTTAAATTTATTGCAAGTGGTGCGAAGATCCACTTGGCCTGTTGCAAAAATTTTCAACAATTTTTTTTTTGGTGTTTCTGAGTTACTTGCTTACCTCTGTGTTAATTTATAACAATACCAGCTTGGAAGAACATTAAAAAGTCACAGTTTTAGAACAGAAGCTAGAGTTTTAGGAACTTGCTACTATATGTTATTATGATAATTTCAATTGTCGCTTCTTAAGGCGAACATGAGTTTTGTTAGTGGTTTTACAAAATTAGTTACTCGTGGACAATTCGCCACTATACAAATTTTAATAACACTTCAGACAGAACGTAATAAAAATAGATTGTGAAAAGTTAACAGCAAAAAAAAAGATTTTTTGAATTTAAGTGAATGCATTTGAGTGCGTTACATTTATCATTCTTTATTTGCTAATTAATTGATTTGTAGCTCACTACATTTGAGAGTATTTTCATTTTCAGATATCCTGTTATTCTGAGCATTGAGGATCATGTTGAGAAAAACGACGATGCCAAAATCACCATGAACAAGATTTTCATTGAAGTTTTCAAGGGTATCAATTTTTTCATTTTTCTCCAGTTTTCGAGTTATGTTTCTTTTACGTTTCATTTTGCAACAGAAAATCTGTTGACCGACGAGAAACTGCGGAACAACCAACTGCTCCCGAGTCCAGAAGAGCTGAAAGGGTTCATTATAATCAAGGTTTGCTCTCTGATTTTAGATTATGACACTTAATAACAATTTTAGATATCTAGCATTTATTAGATAACAATTCTTTTTACCAATTTTGACTAAAAATTGTAAAATACAGATAAGAAATGACCACGTTTACCGCAGCAGCTTATAAGACCATAAAATTTTGGAAATTCTGAAAGTTGTTTTAAACATTTGGTCATTTTAATCCTGCTTGAGCAATTTTTGGTTGGCAAATTTAGTCAACTGCGTAAGAGATAAAATTGAGCTAATCTAAAACCAATAGTTTTCCTTAATGGTCTGTTTATTATGTAATTAGTATCCCAAAGTGACTAAATTGGCTAACAATAGTTCATATATCGCTTTTTCTTTTGATTAGCACAACTGAGGAATTACGATAAAATTATTTCATGCTGTGTTCGTAAATAGTTGAAAGCATAACTTGTCAAAAAATATGCTGAGGCATAATAGGCAAACAATTAAAAGTGGCCGGAAAAATCGTAGTTCATTTTCCCAATATTTTGTGTCAGGTTGACGTGGTAAAAAGTTATATTTAACGTCCACTTCCAGAACTGAAAACCTTCAAATTCAGTAATAATTGTGCGTTACTATTTTTATTTCCTGGAAACTGATTCAGGAACGTACAAGCAACTAAACTTACGGATTGTCTTATACCCAAGTGTTCGCCTGAATTTGTTTCCTTTGCTAGTCATCTCATCTTTTTAGGTCTGTTTAGCCATTGTTCTTTCACCTTCAACGAAGTATTTTTCTCTTTCGCCAGGTAAGCTGTGTGATTTGTGCTAAATTGGCAATAAGATGTATTATTTTTTTTCTTTCCCAGGGAAAAATAAATAGACTGATGAGACATTCATTGCATCATATTTAGTTCCTCCTAAAAATAGATGAAAGAAATAGAACACAATTTAGCGTTAAGGAATAAAGTTGACTTCCTTTTTTGATCTATTTTTGCACCTTTTCGGGTTGTCAATTGCAGTTATAAGTGTACAGTTTATAAAATTCAATTGCCATTTTTATTCAGATTTCGAGTTCGATATATTTAAATTTTTTTTAATTTAAATTTTGGCAAAATTGTAATAATTAGTTAATTAGTCGAGTTATTAACCGGAACTTCTTACTAATTTTTGATATTGAGCTATTCGTTTGAACAGAATAAAAGATTGAGACATGAGAAATTCATCAATGTCTGTCGAGGCATTCCGTCTAAAAATCTCGACGAAGTGTTCGTTAAAGGTTTGATCATCTTTTTCCAATACTGATCTCCATTCTATTATCTTCGTATAAACTTAAATGAAGTTTAAACAAATTGTTCTTATTCCAGGAACTAAAACTCCAAAAAAGTGTGAGAACTATTTTTTATCTTCAATCGTATTATGATATCAGTGCCAAATATTTGTTTTCACGCAATGCTGAACTACTTCATTTTCAGGCCAACCAAATTTACTTACGAGCTTGGCGAAGAAAAAGTTTTACTCTCTATGCTCCAACAAACGTTTCGAAGACTCGGTATTTGCCAAGAACTTGAAAGATAGCGGCGAGTGTCCTTCAGAGTACGGCGAAACAAGTGCGGAAGCTCTAGTCGAGTGGACGAAGCGATCACAGGCAGGGCAAGCTAGTCTTTCTTTTTCGGGGTTTCCCTCTTTTTAAACCCATAATTTCATTTTTTAAACCTGGACCTTGTCAAATGTCTTATTTTAAAGGTTATGTTAGGTTGATAAAAATGACTTTGAGCTAACCGTAAGCAGAACCTATTTTTCTCACAAGACAAAACTGGGCCGTCTAATATATTTTTGTTGAAAATGGTTTGCACATCTTCTTTTAAGTCTAGGGATATTTCGGAACTATTTGGCAAAACATTAGTTAGTCTTGCTGTTAGGTAAAAGTGTATCCCGGCAACATGCAAGTGCTATCGGGTCACTTCGACCCCCGCGACATGTGGATGTGTGGAGTGCAGTATGCCTGTCTGAACATGCAGACTACAGACTACTATTTCATATTCAACCAGGCAATGTTTGCGAGGAATGGAGGCTGTGGATTTTTACTGAAGCCATACTACCTCAGACCTAAAAGTGGGTTTATATCAAAAGGGAGTCATCGGGTTAATTAAATTGAGTGATTTTTTTTATTCCTATGTTTTTCATAAATGAAAGTTTCAAACGCAAATTTACATCAAGAATTTTCTCCTCGTCAAAAATCTCTTTACAACAAGATGTTTCTCCACATCAAGAGAGTTTTTCGGCTCTTCCCCCCCCCCCCCTCACCTCACTCAAACATGAACTTTATGGTCTAACGAGTGGTTTTACGAGGTTAATTATGAAGACCAAATATGTTTGTCATTGCCTAATTAGTCTGCATGTCAATTTTCATGACAATCGGACAAGGTGAACAGTAACTGCATATATAAAAATTTGCAGGTGGGGGGGGGGGGGGGGGGGGGGGGGAGGAAAAGAGCCAGTTTTCTCTTGCAGATGTTTTTCTTTTCCAGATGGAACTTTCTTCAACCCTTTGACCTTGGAGATGAGAAACAAGGAGACGCTAGAACGGGAGATTCTCAAAAAACGATACCTCAAAGTGCACGTGCGTTCAAATTACCTCGAATTCAAATTGTGAACGTGTTTCGAAACAAAGGCAGTTGAACCAAGTTCAAACCAGGTGTTTTACGGCTGAGATCATTATTTTTGGATTTTATCACGGTTCATCGGTCTTTTCGTTGCTTTGAATAGTTGGTAAGCTGGCAGAAGCGCGTTGATGAATATGTTATAGGTCTAGTTATAATGTTACAGATCCTGGGAGGCGCTCACTTGCCACGAAAAACGAAAGACAATGGAAAGTTTTGTGGTGATATGGTCGATGTATTTGTCAAGGTCTCTCTCTTTGACAAGATCGGAAAGGCCAAGTGCCAGAGTTTTAAGACTCAGATCATAAAAGACAACGGTATTTTGACTCTTATACATTTGAGCCTCCCTCCTGATACTGGTAGCAGAATAAATATATCCCTTAAGCAGCATTTTTGGTGTTCTTTGTAGGAAACTATAAACGGCATATAAGAGCCGGTCTTCTTACCTTATGTTTCTTCAATTCAGGATTTTAAAGGCATCTGTGATTGCTTTTGAAGGCATTCTTGATATCATCTTCTAACTATTGATAATTTGAATGGGTGTTGTATTATGGATTGCAAGATTACGTGAGTGTTATGTGACTAATTTGAACTTTTTGACAATCAAAAAATTGCTACTGTCGAGATTTTCATTACAGTTCTCTCCTCTGATCATTTTTAGAAGCAGTGAAAAAGTAATGATAGTTAATGAACGGATCTAATGTAATCTAGGTTTCAACCCAGTGTGGAATGAGAAGGCCAACTTCATCGTAGACTGTCCCGAACTGGCCTTCGTCCTGTTCGAGGTCATCGACAAAGACCTGGATGCAGATGATCTAGTTGGCATCAACTGCATACACTTCCTAGCACTCCAGAATGGTCTATTTTTTAAAATTTTTTCCAGACCATTTCTCTAGAGCAAAAGCAAAACGGTATTGCAAGTGCCATTCCCTTTGGGATGAGAGTTACATGCATACAAATTTTGACATTGAGACCAAGCTATTTTGTCTTTTTCTGTCATATTGCATCGAAACTTGGCATGGGAAAATGGCTACTGACGCTTGTGACCAGATTTGTTCTTCATTTTTTAGTCGTGATGTCACGCATTTAGACATAATAACACGTGAAACAACTATAAAAATAAAAAATGCTGTGTTGGGGGGGGGGGGGGGGCGGTTTTAGAGGAGTTGAAAAGAGCAATGGATGGTCTTCTTAAAATAAATATATCTACTTTTGAGTTTTGCAGGATATGTGACAGTTCCGTTGCACGATCATAATTACAGTCTGCTTCCGTATGCTTCTCTATTTGTGCGAGTTTCTATTTCAACTTAGCCTGAATGGACAGATGGTGAAATAATGGCAACGAAGGTCAACCAAGGTCATTTAAGAATGATGTTGTGCGTTCGTTTTTGTTTTCACGGAATTGACGGATGTTTGAAGTTGACATTAAAACATTCGAGATTGCAACTACTAACTTTTACATGAGGTTCGAATTGATGTTATTTTTGGACCAACGTAATTTTCATCGTCAGTGTTATGACTTCAGTTCAAACAAGTTAACAATAGCACACACGGTTTGTCTTATTTGTCCTCCAAGCGATTGACTCACTTTAATTTCATTCTTATTAGACTTACGTGAATAACTACACTACGGTAAGTTGCTCCAATTTAAATAAAATGGATTAATTTGGTTTGTATTCGTTTGCGACTTTCTTATGAAGTTACACATGGCGATCTATTTATCCCAAACGTAATTTTATTTTGTGAATCGGCGCTTTTGAATGGGGCTTAAAAACTGCAGCAGCCATTATGCCGATGTTGTACATTGTCGATTTTATGCTCCAATTTTCAAATGGCTTCTCCAGGCAAGGGACTTTCACAAACTGTGGTCGGAAGGAAGCAGCACTTCACAAACCCCAAATCCATCACGTAGTCTAATTCTCGATAATGAACCTTTACTTGCACAAAGAATAAGATTAAACGGCGTTCTAATGTGAGGTTTTCGTTTCAGATCTATGTCTGAAATTTTTGGCAGTGGATTGAAAGTCGCTGATAATCCTTCTAACGAATCGGTTGGGAGCAACAGCCCCAGGGAGACCAGTCGTGGTCCCCCTGAGGACCGGGGCTCCGCTCAACGATCGACCGAGAATGGTTATGAGATTGAGACTAACTGGAACAAGACTGTCGACAAGTTCGACGACCTCGGAATCAAAGAGAAGTTGCTGCGAGGCATCTACTCGTATGGTTTCGAGAATCCCTCAGCCATCCAGCAACGGGCTATCCTCCCAGCAACCCAGGGACGAGATGTGATTGCCCAGGCCCAATCAGGGACAGGAAAGACCGCCACGTTTGCGATATCGGTTCTGGAACGAATCAAGGAAGACGACCCGTCAGTTCAGGCTCTCATAATGGCTCCGACCCGTGAATTGGTTATTCAAATCCGAGGTGTGGTCTTCGCTTTGGCCGAATACATGAACATCCAGGTGGCCTTCTGCGTCGGAGGCTCTGAAGTATCCGTGGATGCTGTGAAGATGCAAGACGCCCAAGTTGTGGTCGGAACTCCTGGACGAGTTTACGACTTGATGAATCGAACTCTTCTGAAGACCGACAAGATCCACATGTTGGTTTTGGACGAAGCTGACGAAATGTTGTCGCGTGGATTTAAGGAGCAGATTGTCAACATTCTGAAGAAGATCTCCGCGAATGCGCAGATCGTTCTAATGTCTGCGACAATGCCTCCAGATGCGCTAGAACTTTCCCAAAAGTTCATGCAAGACCCTGTGAGAATTCTGGTCAAGAAGGAAGAACTAACACTGGACGGTATCCGACAGTTCTATGTGAACTGTGAACGTGAAGAGTACAAGGTTGACACGCTGTGTGATCTGTATGAGACTATGACGATCACTCAAGCTGTTATTTTTTGTAACACTAAGCGCAAGGTCATCCATGTTCAGGATAAATTGACCGAGAAAGGACATACAGTGTCGGCAATTCACAGCGACATGCTTCAGCGTGAACGAGAAGTCGTCATGAACGAATTCAGAACCGGATCCAGCCGGGTCCTGATTGCGACGGATCTGATCTCGCGAGGTATCGACGTCCAGCAGGTATCCCTGGTCATCAACTTTGACCTTCCGTCGAACCGAGAGAACTATATCCACCGAATCGGGCGATCCGGACGATTTGGCCGAAAGGGAGTGGCGATCAACTTCGTGACCCAGAAAGATATCCGGTCAATGCATGAACTGGAGGATTTCTACCACACGAAAATTGAAGAACTGCCCAAGAATGTCATGGATTTGCTGTGAACGATACGCAGAAATGTTGGCATGACAGAATAAAAGTGGGAAAAACAAAGGCGGCGACTACAAATAAACATGGAAAGTCTTCTCACAACAACACCAGGGCGGCTGTCTAGACGAAAACACCCCATTTTAGTTTTATAACCTACCAGTTTCAAGGTTTTCATGATAGTTTTGCAAATGATTTTTTCAAAAACATGCAGTTGCGCAGATGAAAACGTTGAACAACTAAACTAAACCTACTAGCAAAAATAGAACAACTTATGAGCTTAAAATAGTAATTTTCAGTTTTTGCTATTAATTTAATGCTCAATAATTAAATGATTTAAGAAAAACATTGCATGACAAAATATTCATTTTTCTAAACTCATAAACCATGCTGTTGCATTACTTGACTTAACATGTATTTAACTGTTTTAAGTTATAGCTTCTTAATTTTCAAGTTGCTAATAAATGGGTTGCTGTTTTCGATTTTCTATTTAGCCTTAAGCCCACGAAGGGAAAGACAATTTATTTATCCATGTATCTTTGTTTTAAACGTATTTATTTTCAATTAAGCATTTGTAATTTGCCGAACAGTTCAAATTAGCTAACTTTTAATCCACTTAGAAAAAAATGGGCAATTTTTAAAACCGTTATCAGCTATTTATTGAAGTTAGACAGATACTTCAAGTTTTTTCCAAATTATAATCGTTTTAAATTATAATCGAATATGATCATTCGACTTCGTATGACAAGTCTGTGTGGAACGTGACTTCGCGTGGAGTAAAACAAACCTGAAGCTATAATTAGTTTCCCTTTTCAGTGAACGGATTAGACACACGCCAGAGTATAGGGTACACGTTCTACTCAACCCTTAGGTAAAAGTAATCAGAAAAGTAATTACGATTGCGAATCTTTTCTAAAAGTGCTACCTGCTTTCGTATCTAAAATTAAGCTCGAGCAATTGCTTTGGCGAAGACTTATCGTGCGTTTTTGGGTTGGCAAGGCCAGCACTCTTCTTTTTGCAAAAAAAATTGGTTCGAAAAATTCATTTTTTAAGAGTAGTTACACAAGCATAGCTTGTGGATAGTATGAACTTTCTTTTTTTTCAACCTAAATCGCAAATATTGTTGCGACAAAAAGTGTTCATTTTGAAAGTGTTCATTTTGATCATTAACCAGCTGTTAAGTAGCCAATGCTAAGGATATTAACACAAATTGCACTCTAGCTTCAAGATATCATGGCTCTGTAGCGTAGAGGTAGGGAAGGAGGCCAGCAGCTAAATAAGAGGATTCGAATCTGGGCAGGGTCGGATTTTTAATGGGCTTTTTCGTATACAAATTAAAACGTGTCCGCTTTATAAATTGAGGCATCTTATTTGGTAAATTTCTTTTCAAATTGACTGGTACTGCTAATGCTTCATAATTGGCTTGCGTAACTTAGAAGTTATGTAGATTCATAATTGGCGTGCGTCACTTAAGACATTTTGTAGACATTTTGTAAAAACTGAATCAGTTTTACTAATTCAGTTTTATCCAGTAGCGTTGTTGGTCATATTTTGCTTGTGTATGCGAAGTGCAACTTCGCCTATGTGTGAACGATTAGGTCTCAAATGGCATAATCCCAAATGGCGTAAAAAGAAAAATGTCCCAAATGTCATGAATTTCATGCAACAGTTGCATTACAAAATCGAGACAACATTTTTTGTGAACTATGTGAGAAAATTAGTCAAACTGTCAATTCAAATGTTGGACATTTTATCTTACAAATTGTAGAATTTTTTTGCTATCAAAAGCGAAAAGCATAAGCATGCAGTTACTGATAAGCTTCTTGTGGTCAATTTATCCGTCAAAATTGTCGCTTAACAGTTGTTTGGAAGCAATTAACTCCAAATCTTGATCACATGTTTTTTATTCCTGGCAAACTTTAGAATTAGAAATTGTTAGAAAACGTTTGAATTACACTGGAAATTTATGGTAATTGGGAAAAGTTTTTTTAATGCTATTTGGGAATTATGTCATTTGGGAAGCTACCGTAATGAACGTAGTGAAAACTCTTATATAGGTCTTTTTTTAAGGAAAAAGGCCTAATATTTGCTCACGCTCAAATTTGATTTTTCGCGGTTTGACTTGTGATTTCTTTTTAAGTTCAGTGCATTTCTTTTCTTAAAAGGAAGGGAAACTCCACTATCGAACAGCAAAATTGTAAAGGTAACTAAAAACGTGATCGACTTCTCATTCTGAAAATGGAAATTAATTATCAGATTTCCCAGCGAAATAAAAGTTTTATCTATTGATCCAGTTTTCTCAAATTGGGTTAATTTAAACAAAAGTTGTCCATCATAATTTATTCTGCAAATTCAAAGAGATTTAAGGCCATCTAATTTTTTATTCGAAATTCAAAAGTTAAAGATTTTTGAAAAAATAAGTCGGTTTTTTTCATTTGCCTTGCGTTCATTACTCTTTTCCAACTATCAGTTGATTATGTTTTTTATCGTGTCTTCGATTTTCATCGGCATAGTTAAAGACTATAGACTTTTTAAGTGCCAAGTACAAAGTCTTCATTAAAGTAATATAAGTTTTACTCAAAATAATGGTTTTGCAGTTTGACTTTTGATTACACAAACGAACTAGCAAGCGTAGTGTGGTATTACAAATCCACTTTTTTCTCTAAAAACTTATAAAAACAGTGCTAATTTTGAGGGCACTTGCTGCATAGTATAGATTGTTTGAAAGCATTTGTTGGAGACGTTTTTTGTTTGGTGGTTAGTTTTGACATCTTTCAAGCGCATATGGCTGAGTTGGGAGGACATTAGACTCGTTATCTCCAGGTTTTTTTCATATGATTTTTGCCCTTTTTAGCTAATTTTTTGCCGTGTTCTCGCTTGAAGTCGCGAAGTGCAGCTTCGTCGCTGTTCATTTTTGGGCTCAGTTTAAATTTTTTTGCTAAAATGAAATCAAATACGCTCTTCAATAACGAAATTGCGAATGGAAAATGCAAAAAGTTTCTCAGAATAACTTGATTTTTTGTGTTTTGATCAAAACTGGCAAAAAAATCTTTTCTCAATTTATTCGTTAAAAAGTTTTGAGGGTATTTGAAAAAAAACTGAACAGCTTTGAAGCAAATAATTTCTATGCACTGGTTATGATGTAATAGGTCTTTTGAGTTGAGTTGGCGCAACAGCTCTTGAAAGTTGATGTAAAGGTTGTACGACAGGGTCATGTAGCGTGAACATGGCGCGGACCTCACTAGTCTTCCAGCATTGTATAGCAGTTAGTGGATTTATTGGAATGGTAATAACAAAATTTAAGATATTTTAATTGTATCGGAGCTTATGTCATTGTTAGTGAGGGGGAAGGATCTTTGAATTTGAGTAGTTTTTGCGGGCATTTCTACGTACCTCAATTTCCTGGTAGCGAGGAAAACTGCACTGAATATTTTCGATATATTAAACTTCTGAAGATGAATGTTAATATATCGCAGAAATAAAAAAACAAACAAAATAATTCATACATTTAGGATAAATGTGTTTTTTAGCAACTCTTTTGTCTGTTTTGTCAGCAATGGAATGTGGTGAGCGTCGCACGACATTCAGAAGTGCAGTTCTTTCTGGCTGAAAAGTTTTTGGACAAAATGAACTTTAGTGGGTTTTTTTTTACGGGCGTCCTTTTTTTTATTCCGAACGAAAATCAGCTACCACAAATAATCGTCGGAAAGACGGAAAGAGGTTATCATATTAATTGACATTGAGGCATTAAAAAAGTTTCCAAAAAAAGTCCCAGTATCGAGAAAAATTAGTTTTTTTAAATTTACTTTTTTTAGTTCAATTTCGAGCGAAAAACAGGATCGAGTAACGTTCGTTATATGGAAATTGAATGTTTTTTGAAATATAATTTTAGTCTCGTAAAACTTGATTTTACGTTCAATTAAACTAGTTTTAGATGTTTCTTTCAGCGCTTATTAAATTAAAACTATTGAACACAATTTTTAAAAACTATTTCTCTACCCTTGTTTATTGTACGTTTTTGGCGTGATCCAGCTATCTTAATGTTGCGTTTCACTTTTTAATTGATGTGATTGGGTGTTTTATAAGCTTTCAGAGTTTTTCCAATTTTTTTGTTTGTTCGTTTTTGGTATTTGTTTGAAATCTTTGCATTCATTTGTTTTGTAATTTCTTTGTCTAATTTTTCAGTATGATCTTAGTTTATAGCAAATGGCGGGAAGGGCTTTCAATAAACTCCATTTGTTCCTGTAGGTTGCATGCAATTGTTCCTGTAGGTTGCATCCTTTAGGTTGATATGCAGGTTGGTTGGTTGTACAGTTTTAAGCAATGTTTTAAGTGCATATAAGAACTTATGGATCTCGATTTTTTTTATCAAATTTTGTTTATCGTTACCACCTACTGGTTATGAAAAAGAAAGGAATGGAGTTTGTGTAGCCTTAATACTTTTTTATGTGTAAGGTAATTGAGTTTTAGAACATTGTAAAACGATTTTTACGCTTGCGATTAGCAAGTGTTACCAAAAAGGAAAAGATTTTTTTTCGGGTAAGCAGCTAGTTACACAGTCAGTTGAATCACTTATGATGCTGCTATGCTGCTGCCATGCTTAATTTCATGAAAATTCATATTTAACTACCTGGTACTAATTTCTTACCATGCGATATCCAGAATTCAACCATTGTATGTATAATTTTTAAGAGTTTTGATATTAACGTTCTACATGGTTTTCAGCTTAATGGTTGTCGATGTGAGCTTCTTCGGTTTAGTTTCCAACTTATGCAATTAACTTTGCGAACGCTACTTATATAGCTATTGTAGATCCTAAGTAGCTGTTACATGAAATTGTTTCCTATGTTTTTGACCAAATTTTTTGGCTGTGTTTCAGCTCATTTTACGTGGGTTTCAACCTTAAATTTCTGTATAACAAGTGGCGCGAAGCTCAGCTTCGTCTCTCTGTTACAATAGTTGCAATAGCAGACTTTTGTAGCGGATTACTTTGTTCACCGGATTATCTCCATGACTGAACAGAGCTGCTCGTCAACTGACATAGCTTGAGCTTGTTTGCATTTCGAATACCTGCTCTATTCGAAAATTGTTAATCATTTTGGTTCTAGATTGACCATTTCCGATTTAATTTGATTACATAATTTGATTTTTGCAATAAAAGGTATATTCGGCTACATTGATTTTGTTTTTCGTTAAGTCGGCTGAGTTGCCTCATTGTGCCAATCTTTTAAAACATCAATTTTATCGGCTCAACGAGGATCTTCCCTTGAATTGTCGGCTTCGTTACACTCTGGTGATATTTTCTATGCTGTTTGTATGCTCGAATTTGTCTTTCCTTGAGATGAGAGAACTATTTTTTTCGAATTTGTCCAACTTACTGACTTTTGTCATTTTTTTACTACACAGCTCCCCGCGAGGTAGGAAAATGCGCTTCGCCTCTGCGTTTCAATTTAGGGACCATGTGAACAATCCGCCCCTCCAAATGATTTAAGGGGGACTTGGTTATTTTGCATTTTCGCAAATTTAATGATGCAAGTTTTCAACCAATCAGAATGCAGTATTTTTGAGAGAAAAAATAAATTAAGTTGAGTAACATTTTAACCGCTTATATAGCCGATTCCTCATGAATTTTTCAAATTAGTGTCGTATTTTGGGGCGTGGTGAGAACTTTTGAAAATAATTTTATAAAGTGAAATTAAAATTTCATGGCCTAACCTTCTGTGAAAAGTCCGCTCCATTGCTTTGTTCGCTCGAAATTGAACTAAAATTTTAAACCAGTTTTTTTTCGATTCTGGGACACCCTCTTGAAATTTTTTTTACTCGAATCACGAGTTAAAGTGCTTTAATATGATATATTTTTCGACCCATTCCGATGGTTATTTGTGTTATCTGATTTTATGTGGGGGAGAAATAAATAAAACCCGAATACAAAGTTCCTACCCATTTTGCAAATAGTCGGAACAAGAACAGCAAATTTATTCAGGCACTATACGAATCGAATTTAAAAAAAGCCGTAAATTTATCTAGTTAAATGCTGATATAAAAACTGTAAATGGCGTCAGGCAAAATTTTGAACACATTTGATCGAGCGAAACAAATTAACTGGGTTTGAAGTTCCGCGGGAGATTTCGAGCTTCGACCCATTTCCGACGTTTCTCAATTTCGTCAAGTGTATACCATTCACGCATCGTTTCAGGGTTGTTTACTGCCAATTGAGTAAATTGCTAACGATTTGAACGGTTGAAACTTGATTTGAACAGGGCTGTCACAAACGACTTCGAAATGGCTGTACACAAAGATTTACGGTGGTTATCCATTTATTCAAATTTTTTGGCAATTGTTCAATCTATCGGAAACGCGTCAATTTAATGACCAATCTGAATTTCAGAGATCCCGTAAATATTTTTTTGTATGAAAAGTGTTGAGCTGAATTTTACCTGTGGGGTTGGTTAATTGCCAATTTGAGAATCGAAGCGGTGCGATTTATTTCGAGCTAATAACACGCAAGCTGTGGTGTCATCCGGTTCTTAAATGGTTCCAAATTGAATTGAGGTGAGCCCATGTGCTGATTGAAGTTATCGAATGGGTTGAAATTAGACCAAAAATAATGAAAACAAAAATTGTTTAGAATTTGACGAAATAAAATGCACTACAATATTTTAGTTCAATTTGTTTTGCAAAGACCGGGCCTAAAGAATTTCCCTAAAACAATCATTTTAGCATGGTTAAATCAATCAAAATTAACGCTAAAAACTACCTATTCAATTGCTGACAAAACTATATCAAATTTACCCTCTTATGTAGCTCAACAAAATCGAAAAAATATACTTATCTCAATTTTTTCACTTGCGAGAGCAAGTGTACTTGTAATCGGGAACTAGATTTTTTTTTACCATAAACAACGTTCCTTACAAAATGCTGCTGTTACTGCTAAGTGCGGCATTTACGTTCAATTGCTGTAGTGACGTGCTGCAGTGACATGCTCAGTTTCTTCAAAATTCAAATAAAATTAATTGGTAGTTCCTAATTTTTTCAAAGAAGCATGTAAAAAAAAATCGGATTCATAGCTTTAGTCCTAATTTCCGTCGGCTCATTTTCTGTTTTTTTTGTCAAATGCATTTTTTATGACTTGTAATCCTTTATAGCAGCCTAATTAAAAAGAATGGTGTTTATTTTAGATTAAAATGTTTATGATATAATTGGAAGTTGTTTTGTAATATGACAAATTCTGATTTTGAATGATTTTTCCGTTTTTGTCTTCATTTTTTTTTTCACATTTTGGCTTATGTTATATCGGTGTTGTCATTTTATATGGCGCCGTTTTGAAGGCAAAATATTTATTATGCTTGTGTGGATTCAGGGGGTTAAGTCATAAAAACTTTTCAGAACTTTATAGCTTAACGGGTTTCTTTAAATGGGCTGAGTTTTAAACAAAGTGATAATTATGCGCAGTTTTCAAAGTTCAATTTTTTCGGTTTCCTTGTTCTTCTGCACTTATCTGATCTTCTACGGGTTACGTTTTTTGGCTTTCCTTTCATTTTCTGGCTGCGGGTTTGCAAAGTTGCTTTTAGTGAGGTATGGCAAATGGTGCTTCACCTGTGTAAAAGTTGTTCACGCTCAGATGTGATTTTTCGCAGTTCGTTGAATTCTTGTCAAGTTCAGTTTAGTAATTTTCTTAAAAGGAAGTCGAACTCCACCTAAATGCTTTTTAGGTTGTTTTTGATTATAATCCGTGACAAAGGAATGCAATATTTTTCAAATAAATTTTTCAACTTATTTTTAAAAAAAAGTTCCGACTTCGTCTTCTTTTCTTTTCACTATCTTGTAGTGCAATGTGTTTGTTGTATGGCAAGTGTTGCAAAGCTCCGCTTCGCTTCTGTGTGTAAATAAAATTATTTTTGCTTGATGGCCATTAAATGTCATTTTTACTACATAAAATACCAATTTTGTTAAAATGACATAAATAAACAAATTTTTGATTGAATAAATGAAACCATAAGTGATTGTTTTTTGTTTAGTTTTGTGCGCAATTTCAGCATAAAAATGTACTGTATTAATTCTGCTAAATTTTCAGGCAAGTTTTGTTTTCATCATTTTTGTTTTGTTTTCATCACCCCTATTTTTGGAGTTTTACTCGTTTTTTTTCTGTATATTTAAAATCAGCACTGTATTTCATTCAAAAAATACGTTCTAGACGCTAAATGCATCACTTTGCAATTTACAGACATTTTCAGCCTGCTCTTCGCTCTCTTTTGGAAATATTTGTTGGTCTTTTCTCTATTTTGGATAATTTTTATCTAGAATTAGGTTGACTGTGATAGCTTTGACGGTGTCGCTTGTTGTTTTGTTTTAATAATAAGATCTTGTCGAAATACTTAAACGTACGTATATAAAGCTATTTGAACTGTTCAGTGCAATAAAGTCTAGGTAGAGGACATCCAATTTTATTTGAAGCTCTAAAGGATACTAACGCAGTGAGAAAATCTCGCTTTTTCTAGTGTATGTCAGTTTCATTTTCAGAACCTTTTGATCCCGTTACTCTTTGGATCACTCATTCAAAATGTCCGGCTCGAACGATCTGCTAGTTCTGAAAGACGAAGATGTCAAGATGATGTTGGCGGCTCAAGTGCACGTTGGATCCACTAATTTGGACCACCGAATGGGTAAATATGTGTACACCCGAAAAGATGCCGGAAACCATCTGATTAACATCAAGTACACGTGGGAGAAACTGCTTCTCGCGGCTCGTGCTATTGTCGCTGTTGAGAACCCGAAGGACGTTTGCATCATCAGTGCAAGGACTTACGGTCAGCGAGCTGCTTTGAAGTTTGCCTCATACACAGGCGCTGTAGCTATTGCGGGACGTTTCACCCCAGGTGCGTTCACGAATCACGAGATCACCACAAAATTCCGAGAACCCAGACTCTTGCTTGCAGTGGATCCTGCTTTAGACCACCAGGCTATCTCAGAAGCGGCGTATGTGAACTTGCCGGTCATTGCACTGTGCAATACAGATACTTCCACCAATTATGTAGACATTGCGATTCCTTGCAACAATAAGTCGATCAAGTCTATTGGCCTCGTAGTCTGGATGCTGGCACGAGAGGTGTTGCGAATGAGAGGAACAGTTTCGAGGTGCGATTTTTTAATCACCTTATTTCCATAAGAAAAGAGAAACATACGGAGAACTTAAACTCCTGCCCTTGATTCAGATTTGCATTTTTTTTCTTATTTTACTCGTCTGGGAACAGTTTCCTCTTTTTCAAGCAATTTGATTGCACCACTGGCCTTGGTCTCGAATCACCTACTTTTTGATTGCGAAGCGAAAACAATAACAATTTACTTACTGCTTCCCAATTGGAATAATGCATTTTGGTGTAGTGCTTGTTGGCTGGTTTTGGTTTTAAAAACTGATATGAAAAAGCTTTTTTGAGTTGCAGTTATCAACAGTATCAGAATTAATGAGTGCAACGAAATAACAAAGCACACCATAAGCTTTTTGATAGAAATTATTTATAATAACACTTGCGAGAGGAAGTGTCTTGTTATTGGGAATTAGGTTTCTTTTCCCTGTAAACATTTTTTTATTGCAAATCTTATCTTTATTATTATTCTTTATTCTCTTCTCTTTTCAAATTTTTTCTGCCATATCACGGATTTTATCACGCAACTTTCCTTGTAGCTGCAAGTGCAAGATTTGTTAAATTTTGGTTTCAGATAGGACTTAAAACTTCCAAGTTTTTCTTAAAAATCATTTTTTTTGGCTCAATTTGTCTGCTCAAAGATTATCGGCTTTTTTCCTGTTGGTAAATTTTGTTCCGTTCCTTATTAATATTCAAATGTCTGGTATGTTTGCCTAGAATGAACTTCTATCGAGACATGCGAAAATTTATATTGTGGTAGACTTAGTTTTTTCAACATTTTTCATTTTATCTATTATTTCCTGTTGTATTGCAAGTGGTGCGAAGCTCTGCTTCACCTCTGTGTTAGAAACTGAAGTGAAATAATAAAGAGAGGCATTTTACATTAAAACCGCTGGCAAATATATCAGATGTTTAATGTTGAATCTGATGGCAAACAAGTGTCTTCAATTGAAAATAGTGCTGAGTTAAATTTTACCCCAAAAATTGGTCATTTTGGCTCTTTTTTAATTAATCAAGAATTACGCTGCAACTACTTTGTTAATAGATGAGAAAATTATATCACAAGAAGCCTATTAATTAGCCCAACAATGTTATAGAGGGGTTAAATCTCCAAAAGCCTGTATAAGACTAAATATTTTTGCTTGATAATCAAGAAATTTGATTTTTACTATATAAAACCCAAAATCTTTGCTAAAAAAACAAATTTTAATTTTAAACGACCTACGCAAAATTTGGTTGAGCTGTGTAAGAGGCTTCTTGTGATATAATTTTCTCATCTATTTACAAAGTAGTTTCAGCGTAATTCTTGATTAATTAAACAAGCTAAAATGACTCTTTTTTGGGGTAAAATGCTGCTTAAGAATTTCGGAGAATAAATTACACCATATTAATTCTGATGAAGTTTTAAGCTACTTTTGTTCTCTTCACTTTTTGTCTATTCTTAACCCAATTTGAGAAAAAAAGCAATTGAAAATTCAAGTTTTGTTCGTTTTATCCGGATAATTTAAATCAGCACTGTATAAGTCGAAGTTTTTTTGAAATATGAAATTGAACAACCTTAAAAATCTGATGCCAAACATAAAATAAACGAATATGGTTTTTGGTTCACTAAAAATTGAATCGTAAAAATGATTACGGCGTAATTTAATATAAAAATTAAATTTGGAAAAATTGTTTTTTTTTCTAAAAACAGGAAGATGTTAATTTGAAATAATTTAAGAAGTAAAATGACGTAATAATTGAGTATCGTTTTTAGACAACTGAAGTGGGAAGTGATGGTTGACTTGTTCTTCCACCGAGACCCCGAGGAGGTCGAGAAGGAGCAGAAGGCTCAGCAGGAACCCATGCCTATTGCAGCCGACCCGTGGGCATCCACCGGACCCATGCCCATGCAGATGGACCCCATCCCAACCTTCGGAGCCCCAACTGTACCTGCTCCGGCTGTGGCACCAGCTGTGATGGGAGGACAGGTTGCACCGCCACCGGCATCCGACAACTGGGCAGATGCCAGCTGGGATCCGACAGCAGTGCCTGGAGGTATTGTGGACGGATGGTAACGTGTCTTTACCCGATAGTTACGTGTCTTGACGCGCGACTATGGCCAGAGAACTCATGTGATCTTGATTGAAATTAATTTGATTTGAATGAGTCATTGATAATCAAGAAAACGTGAACATCATTACTCGTTTTTTCTCATCCTATTAAAGCTAATATCATGCCTAGTCAGCATCGATTTCAATTGCCCGAAACGGCCATTTGATTATCTTTTTTTTTGTGATTGGAACGTGCAAAAAGATGAAACAGCAAAAATTGTTCATTGTCAGTTCACTTAAAAGTAGCATTAAATTAATTAGTTTATATCCAGTTTAGTAAGCCTTAAAATTGATTATTCCGTGTTGCTGCTTGACCGAAGCGTTCCTTGCATTGCTGAATGTGTTTGAGTAAATAGGAGAAGTTTTGATTCATCATCTGCTGGTTAGTTGCAATTTTCTGGGCCCGCCAGTTTCTTATAGTGCAAATCAGGATGACCAATGGCTTTACGGGATTTTTTTGAAGTTTGAAGTGCAAACATTTTCCTTTTTTAAATGTTATTTAGCTTTCAGGAGAATTTTTGGGGTTAGAGGGAAGAATTTTTGTTTATAAAAAGTGTTTTGAAGTTTGACAATTGACATTTATCTAGGCATGCATTCCGAAAATGTACCGAAAAATCGGTCACTCTCTCCGATAGTTTAAATTGTCCTTGATCCAGTTTTTGAATGTCAGAAAAGCGAAATCTGCAGATTTTATACCCTTCATTGTAGGGAAAAGGAAAAGTTCTTGCGGCTTACATGAAAATGTTTATTGAAAATGAGCTGAAAGCGCCGTCTAAAATTATCAAATCAAATTGGTCTGATGGAGGAGAAGATATAGGTTTTTCTCGATGAGGGGTTTTAAAAAAATCTTTGTCGACCATTTTTAGTTCGAGAAATTGTTTTATCAAAATCTTTCTATGCAAAAGACCATGCTTTTTCGGGGCATTTTTTTAAAAGCCAAACAGGAGTAAAAGGACATTTTATGGAAATGTTTCTACAAAAAAAATAAACAAAAAACATGCTTTTTAACGGAGCACGCTCTCCCTAAAGTTTAATACGCACTAACAATTCAAAGGCATCTAAGAAAATTTTCAGGGTTGGGCGGTCGAAAATTGATGGCGTGAAAAAGTATGGAACCAAGGACCCTGTGTGCTATCAAGGGGTCAAAACTCCGAGGGAAGGGGGTGTCTGACCTTGGTCTGGTTAAAAGTTTCATTTAATTTGTCAATTTTGTTTTGATCATCATGCCTGAGGTATTCTAGGTTCTCGTCTACCAATCCGCCCAGTGGTGAATATCGCCTGATCATCATGACATCTTGTCCTAATTGGATTGGTGAAGGAACTCTTTGTTCAGCTGTGTACGTCTCATTTATTGTTACTTCCTGAAAAAAGATCACTCATTGAAAAAGTAGCCGCAAGCATCATTAAAATTGGTCGTTTTTTTTTGTAATTTATTTAGAATTTTTGAGGGCTGGGTTGTTTAAAGCATACAGCAAAAATAGCTATTATAACGCAAATTTAATTTAATTATTATGTTTTGATGAGATATCTGAAAATCGATGATTTCCCGAATCTCGATTTTAACGCCTTCGATGAATAATAACAACTACTAATAATACTTTAATACAACTATAATACTACTAATAATTACTAAAACAGTTAAAAAAAATACAAAATGAGCTGCAAAATTAGTTTTTCCACAAAAAATGTGTTTGAAAAAAAATCGTTTGAAACGTTGAAGCTCTGCAAACATTTTTTGATTGCTACTGAAGTTTATTAATTCTAGCCTGGCTGATTTCCATTTTGTATCTACTGGTAGTCTCGAGTAATGTAGTGTTATCACCACTCTCCTCTTGTGTCAGAGATTGAACTTCAGTGACTGTAGTGAAATCAAGACAGTCCCCGTGTGATCCAACAAGTTGTTCACGCTCATTGCTTCCAGGTTTATTCGTGCCAATATTGGCCAGGACAAGTTCACCCAGTTCGCCTACGAAAACAATAGCAAAATGAGTTGACTCATTGACACTCTAAAATAGCTTCAAATTTGCAGATATTTAAAGAGATCTATTTTGAGATTGAGACATCAGCTTTAAAACGCAACCAAATATGTGTTTTTATTTTTTTTTGCTGTATAACATTGAATGTAATGCCAATATTTTTAATAGCTGAACTTAAAATCAAGTGAAACAAGGATAGCCGGTTACTGTGCGAGTAGCAAGAATGTTTCACCATAATCTTCAAAAAACTACAAAAAAAGTTTTTTTTTGAAACATGTAGTTTTTTTTTCTGCGCGGTGTGATAAAAGGATATGACGTAAAACCGTAATTTAGGCAAAATCGACTGTCATCGTAAAATACGACAAAATTTTTTGCAGAAAATTGATTAGAAATAGCGCTAAAAACTCCAAAAACGAATTAAATTAGCTTAAATCTAAATTTTTGAGGCTTAAATTCAGCATAATTCAGCTCAGTTCGTTACTACTCGCTCGCTTTATTAGTGGTTCGTTACTACTTGATCTAGAGGCAACACGGTCGCCTTTATTGCCTAGGTCTTGGGTTTGAATGTATGCAATCAAAAAACATTGTTCGGAAAATTGAATCGTCGGACCTTCGATTGTCATCTTAAGTTTTGTCGGCGTACTTACCACATCGGGAAGTTTTTTCGTTCAAACAGCAATTTTCATCGTAGATGCAATTTTTTTGATTTAATATTGTAATTTGGAAAATTAAACCTGACGTAGTTTTTTTGGTTTTCCTGAAGTTTACCTTGGCGATAAGCAAGGGTATTGCAATAGGGTACTAGACTTTTTCCAGTAAATAACTTTGGATGGTCAAAATTAGAAATAAAAAAATAGGTTTAGATCATTTTTTATTCATATTTCGTTGCGTCTCAGGTACACATGGTCTGGAGGTAACTAATATGCCTGGGACGGCAAATGTCTTGGGTTCGATTCTGACGGGACCTTTTTTTTCCAACGGGATAAATTCCGTTTCAATAAAAGTTGTCGGTTTATTATTTGTCTGCCTATGTTTTTGTTGGCTTAGTTGCCGCATCGTAGGATTTTTATTTTTGCTGTACGCAAGTTACATTGCAGCTGCTTTCAGTGTTCTGATTTTTTTCTGCTACTTGGGAGTTTTTTTAACCTTGATTTCGTATGTTTTGTTTTTTTTTTTGCTTAAGAAATGTATTCTGCCCAAAGGATGTTGGCGTATTTTTTATCCCTATAGCGACCTATCTGGATTGCACAAAATGCTAAAATATGTTATAGAATTTATAGTTTTTCATGACAACTATTTTTTGGCTTTTTATTTTTTACCTTTTTGTTCCGCTTTATAGGTTTCGGCCTATAAATCGAATTAATTGCCTCTTATTGCGTCTTTCGACAAGCTAAATTGTTTGTATCTCTGGGTGTGTGTTTTGAGGGGGACTTCATAACTTTTTATTTTACTTATTTTTATTGACTTTTTCTGGCTTTTAAAATTTTTGCTTGTTTGCCGGCTTGATAGGCTTCAGCAAATACTATATCGGCTTAGTGACCTCATTTTGTTTCATTTGACAGTAAAAAAATTTGTGTTGTGGGGATGAGTGGGACTTCTTATATTTTATGTCTTAAGTCTTGTTGATATGTTTCGGGCTTAAAGGTTTCTGCTAAGGAATTTTTGGCTTTGTAACGCTTAGTAAATTTGCTTCAGATGCTATTTTTATATTCTGTTGTCTTGGCATCTTTTCGTTTCAAAACTAGCCTTATTCATTTTGATAGATCTGGTTTTTTCAATTCTTTTGCTTTTTTTCCGATTTAGCGGCTTTCTTGTTTTGCATTGCAAGTCGTGCGAAGCTCAGCTTCGCCTGTGTTAAAAGCTTTATTCTGCTTAAATGGTTTTAAGTTATGTTTTGTCGGCTTAGTTGCCTTTTTGTGTCGCTTTAAGTCAAAAATTGTTTTTTTTTCGAAGATTCAAATTTGTGTTCCAAGATTTCACAGCTTTAAACTTAATTGCTCAAAATTTTTTCATGGTAACAACGTCTAATGGCTTTTTTTTAATTTGGTTGAATGGAAATTTACCAACTTGTCAGCTTAGTGGCCGCTCGGTAAATACTAAAAGATAATTTAATACTGGTGGTCAGGGGGCGGATCTAGAATTTTTTCGAGAGGGGTGGATTTTCAAAATTTTGGTCGACTTTTTTTGTTGTTAGGCCGACCAAATTGATTTTCCGAAAGCCCGGGAAATTCTAAAGACCCTAGTTTGATCAAAAGTTTTGCGTCGCAGGCAAAATTTTGAAAAAACAGGTCAAAAATGTTAAGGCACTTTTTGGAAAATATTGACCAAAAAATAGCGTTTTTCGGCGCGCGTTGTTCCAAATTAGTATATGTTGGCGCCAAATGTGGCTTTAGAAAAAATTTAGGGTTGGTGGGCCTAAAATGGATGTCATAAAATAATACCAAAGGGGGGTTGGTGAGGGGGTCGAGTCCCTCATTAACTATTTGCTAGTTTGCTATGCTGCGCTTGCATTGTATAGTAAGTGATGCGAAGCACCGCATCGCCTCTGTGTTGAAAGTTTTTTCTCCAAATTGGTACCTGTTAATGTTTCGATCTGGTTGCTGCATCTATATTCATAACTTCTGTCTGTTGATAGTGTGTAATTGTGATCATAATGATGTTCGGCTGATCGATTCACAATGGATCCGCAAAGTGTTTCCGATAGGCGTCTGACTCTGTGGCTCACAGATGGGTAGTTATTGTTGCCATTACTCGCTGAAACAATATGCGTAAAATGTTTGGGAAGTATTCCTCGTTGTATTTTCATCTCGAATTAAAACGAACTTTTTCCCCGTTCCTTGATGTTTGACTGAGTTTTTGTCAAGAAAAACTCCTACATTTCATTTTTCTCTCCCAAAAAATATCCTGTCGATAATGTTTTCCAGTGAAAATTTCGAAGTTTTTCGGCATGTAAAAAGACGGGCTTTTTATTTTTTTTCCTTGCTTTTATTATAAAATTTTAAACCATACTGAAACTTGTGGGCGAGTGAAAGAATCGTTTTGAGGGTCAAATAGTTCGTTTTTAAAAATGATTTAGTTAAGAGTAATGAGCGTAGTGAGTACTCTTATATAGGTCCTGCTGATTTTTTTTTTAGGAAAAAGTCCTAATATTTGTTGACGCTCAATTTTGAGTTTTCGCGGTTTGACTTGTGATTTCTTTTTAAGTTCAGTGCATTTCTATTGTTAAAAGGAAGGCAAACTCCACTATCGAACAGGAAAATTGTAAAGGTCACGAAAAACGTGATCGACTTCTAATTTCGAAAATGGAAATTAATTATCAGATTTCTTAGCGAAATAAAAAAGTTTTGCCTATTGATCATGTTTTTTCAAATTGGGTTAATTTTAACAAAAAAAGTGTCCTAAATAAATTGTTCTACAAGTTCAAAGAGCTTAAAGGCCATCTATTTTTTTCGAAATCCAAAACTTGCTAAATGTTTAAATCAATCAGTTTTTAGACAATTGTCTACACGAAATCGCCTTCCAAAAAATGTGACCCAGGAATGATAAAGCGAATATTTCTGAATAACGATGTTTTTGCGCATATCAATTGATTGCCTTAATCTTTACACGGAATTCAATTTAGTTGCCGGGCGGCTTAAAGACTAAAGAAAATGGATTGGCTTCCAAAAGTATGCTTTTAACTTTCATCTTGTTCACAGCACTGTTTTTCTTTAGCTGGTTTTCGCAGTTGTTTTATGCTTGTTTACGCGAAGCGTCTCTGAGTCTTTTTGTTCATAGATTATGCAGTTTTTTATATAAAAAAAGATAGCCGGTTGCTGAGCAAAATTTCAAAAATAGCTAAATTTGGTTTATCAATTTTTAGACACACTCTTTTATCCGATTTTTTAAATATATTTTTCGGGAGAGGGCAATTGAATCAGGTGAAAAAATGGTATGTTTGAATCAGCTAATTCGACTGCTAAAACATGTCCCTGTTATTATTTGAACCCGGCTAAAACCAACGGTAGTCGCGAGCGCTAACACAGTGTACTGTCTGACATTATCGGATGTTATTTCGATTACTTCAACGCAGTCGGGTTGGTACTTCAACGCAGTCATTTCGATTACTTCAACGCGTATCAAGCGCGCTCACCGCCAGTCCGTTGGAAGGAAATTTTACAATAAGATTGATTCCAATTTGGTTTATTGTTCCGACTTTCGATACGAAAGTAACGGAATATTTGTGCTCGGGGTGGGTTTTTTTTTCTTCAGACAAATTTCGACTTTTTAACTAGCCATTTTTGACGGAATTTTTTTATATCACTCAAAAGGTATTGTTGTCCTGAGCTTAAATTTGAAAAGATATTTCACCTGTGATCATTTTTCGTAAAGTTATGAGGGTTTAAAGATGGCCATTTTGACCAATTTGGGATATAATTCGCGCTATTAACGCGTAAGCGGAGATTTAATCCGTCTTATAAATTTTTCCAAATTGGTTGAACGAAGCTTATTTGCCATAATTGATTTGTTACAAGGAACGAAATCTCTCTTTTTGTACTTTTTATGGCGTGTGGGGGGATGATTTTCATAAAAAATTTCAAATTTTAGAAAAAAAATTTTCATCTTTTTTTATTTCATTTAATTTTTTAAATGTTTTTACTGCTGCTCCATGAACCTTAAAAGGCAGTCGGAACATTCAGGGCTTCGCCCTGATACGAGCAGTCTTGTTACGTTAGCGGGCGCAGTGTCATTTTACAATTAATTTTTCAATAACTCAAATTGCATTAAAAACTCATTTTTTAGCGTTTTTGTTTTAAAGCCTTGGCAATTTCGCAGCTTGTTTTATCGCTTGATTTGTGGCTGTGTCTTATTTTTTGAAGCGACCATGGCACATTTGCGAAGACGTGAGACTCCTAGTAGTTCCGGCACTAAAGTTTCTGTTTGGAGGCCTTCTTTTTTCGTGTTTTTTGCCTTTTTGACGCTACTTGTCGCTTTTTTCTCGCAACCTATGCAGGAATAAAAACAAGTTCGAATTCAGCTACGAGCTGTTCGCTTTACCGAAATGTTCGCTTTACCGAACTGAAACACCTATGCTAATATATCACCCACCAGCAAATCTTCATGAAAAAGTGAAAGTGCGCCTGACTTAGTTTAAAAATGTCCAGAATGATTGTTGAAAACGTCAACTTTTGAAAAGAGCTTTAATTCGTCAAGACTTTTCAGGCTTTTCATTTGAAGCATCACAAATTGTTTCTTAATGGCTTTAATAGTTGAATTGAGGCTATAAGAGGCTTCAAAAAACTTGTGTGTCTGCAAATAAATATTTTCATAGTTTCATGATTTTTTATGCTACTATTGTCTTGTTGCCGGAAAAAACCTTGAGTTGTGTGGATAATTTAAACCTTGAATTTCTGAGAAAGCTTTCAAATAATTCTAATATAGGATGCAAATATTTAACTTAAACGAAACGAGCTCTCTGATATGAGCGTCATTTACTTTTGAGTTAACCTGATGTTGACTGAGATTGTACGCTGATGGTTCCAATGGAGTGTTTTGGCCAAAGCTGATCAACATCTCCATTTTGTCGAAGAGTTTCCTGAAAGTATTGGTTCGGTCAAAGCTTTTCGCTCAAAAGCTCCTTTGTTTTTTTTCTAAGCTTAGTGTAAGTTTCCGAATTCTTTGAAAACAGATCTGGTGTGCCTCTTTTCCCAATTTTTTCAATTTTCTACAAGGAAACAAACCTAAATATAAGGAAACCAACCCGATCAAATACTTGTGGTGATATCGGATATGTGTGAGTTCTGGTTCCGTTTTCGGTGTATGGAATACTGTTGTTGTTTCGGTCTGCTCTATTCCACAGGATAACCTTGACTGTTTTTAAAGCGATTAGAACTGCGGCTATGGTGTAAACGCAGTCCATTGTTCTTTCCAAAATGAGGGCATTTTCTAAATCAAATTTTGATATCATTCGAATGCTTCCGATTTTCCGAAATGCTCAAAGAGAAGTAAACTTATTTGCCGTTTGATGATTATATCCATGCAGTACTCAATTCCCGGGGCGTGTGGTTTTTGCGCTAAAAATAGTGTATTGATTTAGAGCAAGTTTGTGTTGCAAATTTTTTCAATGGATGAAAAAAAATTTTGTGTTGAGGGATCGGGTCAATAGTCTAGGGAAGGAGTTGGGTGTACGAAGAAGCAGATATTTTTTTGCGGAATTCCAACAATTAAAGAGTATCACTCATACCATCTGAAAGTAAAATCTATCGAACTTAATAAAGCTTTTTTTTTGCAGAAAGTTTAACAGGCGCTGTAGGACGTTGGGAAGGGTGATATTGATCGGAGAACTTTTCATGCGATCTCATGATGATAATTTAAGTTTGGAACCTGATACAAATATGGAGAGATCATGTGAGAAGTTATTCCAGTCATAGTGCAGGCGCTGTTGCTGGAACTTGTGTGTGAAGCGCTCTTCTAAGTCCTCTATGCTCCCGAACTCGTCCTCTCTGTCCTTGATTGATGAAATTAGATAATACACACTGAAATAGACAGGCTACATACCAATCTACCCGAGTCTTTCCAGTTTTATTTTTGTCCCCCCCCCTTCACCCTAAATGATGAAAATTGGAAGTGAGAATTATTATTACCATCTCCACGTTTTTCGGAAATTTTCGGGCTAATTGAAGTGCACGCAATTTTTTTTCGGGATGAATAAAAGTTTGCGTTTTTTTCTTCGTTTTCTTGCTTTCAAAATTTGAGCTGCTTATTGTATTCTTTCAGTCAGGGGGACTTATAGGGGGCTGGTTCTTTTTCAGCTATAAGCATGATTCATTTAGGGTAGATTGTCCTGTAACCTTGAAATCAAGCCCACCGCTTTGCCCAAATTGTAAGCCCCAACCCAAACTATTTCAGCAACCATATCGCTCTGTTTTTAATTAAATAAGATCTGGAATAAGCCGCCAGTCGGAATAAAAGCAATAAGAAATCAAAAGTTAGTTCCGGAAGGAATTGACTTCTTTCTATAACGACCACCAGATTAGAAAGCTGAAGTTAGTTTCATTGACTATGATTGTTTGCAAGATCAAATTTGGATAGTTTTTCTTTGCGTTATTAAATAATGACTTAAGAGAAGCCGGATGCGGTGTTAGGAGCACCGAAAACTCCGGCCAAGTATTACTAGTTTTGAAAATAGTATAAATTTGAGGTTTTTAAAAGTGACTTTGACCAACGGAATTAGTACTTCGTGCAGCAAAGTGTTCAATCTCTTAAGCTTCGTATCTACGTACAATCGAAGATAACAAGGGACTGAAAATCAAACTATCGAGACCATTTCTTTCTCGGCACCCAAGAAACGTTTTTTTTTTGGTTTTCAGGAGATTTTTTCTTGGTGCTCGAGTCACGACTGAAATAACTTCAACATATATTACTCGACCCTTCTTGAAGGTTCTTTGTGGTTCCTGAATTTACTTCGGAACAAAGACACCTGAGTACCAACGTTCTCTCCACTTCGTTTTAAAAAAAAATAAGGAACTTTATAAGCACATGGACTTATTTTAGTTTTATTTTCAGATGGAAAATGCGGTAGCTTTCCACCTTAGCAGACGAAATGAAGTTGAACTTGACGTGGTGTGCTCCATCTTAAAAGGGAGACAATCTGGCTCTAAATGGCAGAGTTCACACATAGAACAGTGCGTTGACAAGAGAAATCTGTGCGCTGCGTACGAACATCAGGTTTGTAAACCTAAAAAACTCAACCTGTTAACTTAGGAAATGATTTTACTCGATCACGTAAATAACCTTTTGACTGAGAAATCGGCTGTTCCATTTGATTGGGAAACTAAATAGTATTTGGTTGGCCATAAAGTGGCACGAGAGGTTTGGCGGCAAAAATGATTTGTAAGGTTTACTCAGCAAACTATAAAATAAGTAAGAAAGTCAGCAATTGTTAATCAGCTGTAATAATTTGGGTAGCACTGGCTTGCCAAAAACTTCACTTTTTAGGATTCATATCTCAGCTTTAAACGAAGAGATTTTTGGTCGGTTCCGGAATCTATTTCTAGAGTTACTAGAGAAAGGAGCAATATAGGAACTGCTCAGCTCCTGCGCTAAACAGACGTGCCATTGATTTAGTTCTACGCTTATTTTTGATCGTTAGTTTTTGTTTTGTTTCCAGGAAATAGGTGTCCCGATTGATACACGAACGACTTTTGCCTGCTGCTTTTCACCCGATGGCACTCTTCTGGCAAGTAGTCACGGGGACCACAAGATATACATATCACGCGTGGAATCACTCCAAGTTATTCACACACTGAAAGGTCATGCAAGGACTCCGTGGTGTCTCGCCTGGCATCCCGATCCTCAAAGGAGACTCCTGGCGTCTGGATGCCTCGGAGGAGTTACGACTGTATGGCAGCTGGGGGTAAGCGAATCTTTTTTAGCTGGATCGCTTGCATAGCTTCGTCTTTTTTTAAAACAATTTTTGCTGTTTAGACTTTTTCCCTGGATTAATAACTCAATTAAGGTGCCTTATTTTTTTGGATTTTAATTTTTTTCAATTACGCTTACGAATAGCAAGCGTTATTAAATCGGAATGTAGACTTTTTTTCGGGTTAACAACTAGTTGAATCAATTGCTGAAATGCTCATGTCTCATGCTCATGCCTGCTGACATGCTTAACACCTGGGTGCATTGTTTGTTACTGGGAATTTTGTTTCTGAATTAAATTGATTTTTTGTCGGCTTCATGGATTTCGTTCCAACTTTTGTCGGCTTACTTGCCGGCTGTATTATTATTTTTTTATTTTCTAAATTACTTGCTATATGAGAAATACAAGGTGAGTTTTTAATGCCCTATCAAAACAACTGGTTGTGAGAAGTGCCCCTGCATGATCAACGAAGCCAAATTTTTTAACGCAAAAGTTGGGGCCCTCGGAAAGAACAGAGAAGGAAAGTGTCGTTTGATCGTGCCCGAGACTTTTTCTAAACATTTTTGTAACCTTGCTTAAGCGTGCATTAAGACAACTTTTCAAGTATAACAAGTTTTAAAAGCAATTCGTTGCGAACCTTACCAGACTTATCGGCTTTTATCTTACATGTTTTCGGTTACGTCTTGTCTGCTTAGCTCTGCGTACGTTTTTTTTCTGTGGTTCATGGACCTTTCCTATTGTAAATGTTGGCTGAAATTTGAGCTCGAAATGTCTTATCGTCGTTTTTCTTCCATTTCCCTTGCAATTTGCGTGGATACGGCTGCGTGGGTATTTGCGTGGGCATGCAATTTCTGTTTCCTTCATGCATTTAGTTTTTAGATTTCCAGCGGAATAAAAACATTACCTATTTCTCGAGTTGGGTTAATTTTATCGAAAAAGCGCCAGTCATAGACTGTTCTACAATTCAAAGGGCTTAAAGGGCATCTATTTTTTCTTTGAAATTCGAAAGTATTTTTTCAACAAAGTCAGTGTTTTTTCTGTTTACTTGCGTTCGTTACTCTTTTCCAACTGTCGGCTGGCTATGTTGTTTTTACCTTAGTTTTTCGACTAAGTGCCTACAAGTTACTTACGGGCTTGTCATGAACTACTATAGTTTTTGCTAAACTATTCGTGTTTCTGATAAATTGATTGAGTGTGCTTTAATTGTGAGTTTGAATTGAATTTTTCATCTTGCGACTGTTTGTTTAACTAACTAGTTTACCTGCTCAAGCGTTTACCTGGTAGAATTGGCTTAGTAGTAAGGTGGCCACATTGTTCTTTTAAATGTCCCTGAGAGCCCCTTTTTGTGAGGGTTCTTTTTTTGAAGATTTCAATCTTTTTGAATTTTTAAGTGCCTTGCGAAACGTATTCACAAAGCCATTTCATCTAAAGAATGGCCTGCGGCGCTAAAATTTGTTTCAATAAATTTGGTCACTATTTCGAGACAGCTCAATTGTGGAAATAAATGGCTGGCCTAGAAATGTCTACAAACACCCCATTTCTTTGAAAACGCCTCTTGTTGTTCCGACCACTGAAAGTGGTGAAGAATTTGCCTTCGGGTGTGTTTTAATTTTCTGTTTAAATGCAACAGCAGGTACCACAAATAATCATCGACATGGGCCGAAAAAAATCCTCCGTGTTGAGAAAACCCTGTATTAAATTTTCGAGTTTTTATCTAAACTCGATTGAGTAAAACGAGCGGGAAGGTCTTGTAAAAGTTTTTCAGTCAAGTAGTGTAGAATTTTGTTTTATTTCAGTAAAACCAGTTTTAGAGGCTTTATTTAGAGTTTCATTGGAAATGAAAGTTCCGACTGCAATAAAAAACTAAAAGTTTTTTCGTTTCAAATTGCGTCCTTTTTGATTATGGGATGAGAAGATCTTACAAAAACCTAGAACTTCTCTAGTATCAGTAAGTTATGTATATGAGACAAAAAGTTTTCTCGTAAAATAAGTAATAAAAATTTCGGAAAACTTTTGGTAGAATTTTCTTTTGAATCATGAAAACTTTATTTCCAAGAAAGCGCTTAAAGAAACTTCGAAAACTAGCTTTAATTGAGTATAACTAAGTTTTCACGGCCTAACTCTATAATACTACTTTAAGCCCATTTTAAGCTTTTAATAAGCTTATAATATTTTATTGGACTAAAAATCACAAACTTTAAATTGGTTTTTCTCGACACTGGAAAATTTTTTTTTGGAATTTTTAGATGTTGTTCGAATCACGGCTAAAGGGCTTTGAAATGATATATCACTCAACCCATTCTGATGATTATTTGTAATACCTGATTTTGCGATAAAAATAAAACTAAAAAAGAAAAAACAAACACACCCGAAGACTAAGTTCCTGTCAATTTTAATGGTTGGAACAAAAAGTACACATTGGACTCAATGAAAGAATTGGAACGGTTTGCCGTTGTGAAACGAAACACTTGTTCTTTCGTCATTTCTCTCGTGGATAAATATAGTCTTAATCTGTTTTCAGGAAACGGTGGCGAAGGAGAGCTGGCGTCCTGTTTCTATGGACTCCCTGAGTGGCAAACTAGTGAGTTGTGTGGCCTTTCACCCTGTCAGACAGAGGGAAGTGGTCATAGCTATGGCCAATTGCATACTATTCTGGGACTGGCACATGAAGACCCCTTACAGACTGCTGTCCACTGGCAATCCTGCTGAAAGAATCAGGTAGAAGGAAGGGGGAAGGGGCTATGTTGATTTCAAGGTGTTGTCAGTTATACCAAAATAATTTCATCATTAGCCATCGGGTTTTTTTTTCGCGTGAGATTTCTTCAATCTTATAATCTTATAGTCAGAGCCGATTAGATTACTTGAAAAAGCTGACTTTCATGAAATATTTGGTGTTTTCACTAACAGTTGTTTCGCAATTGTTAAAGTTAATCTCATCTGTAAAATTACTAATCTAATGGCACAACAGTTTTGCTTGTTCGAATGATCCGGAAAAGTTGAGCAAGTTTTCATTCAATGCATCCTTTGTGTTTTCAGCGTTGTGAAGTTTGACCCTTTGAGTCGATGTATGATCACGGCCATCAGCAACGTACACACACCCTCTCTCTCAGAGGTCATTCAGACCTCTCTCAACTCCAACGAACAGTAAGTGAAATATTAAGAGCTCGAATAAATTCAGTGGAGGGTTTGGTAAGCTTTTTCTCTGAATTTTGCCTGTGCTGAAGAAGTTTTGAAAAAAAAAGAGTTTTTCATTTGAGTGTTTAAGAGTAATGAAAATAGTGAGTATGCTATATATTTGGTTTTCTTTTCAAGTTCCATTCATTTCCTTTGTTAAACGGAAGGCGAACTCTACTATCGAACAGCAAGAGTGTAAAGGTGACCAAAAACGTGATCGACTTCTAGTTTCGAAAATGGAATTTAACTATAAGATTTTTCAGCAAAATATAAGTTTTACCTGTCGATCCAGTTTTCTCACATTGGGTTAATTTCATTTAAAAAAGCAGCAATCATAAATTGTTCGTGAATTTCAAGGAGCTTTAAGAGCATATATTTTTTCTTTAAACTTCGGAAGTTGTGGTTTTTTTCAAAAACATTTAAGATTTTTTTTGTATTTCTTTGCGTTCATTACTTTGTGTTTTTTGAAAAGTGTTGTCATCAAAAGATCAGACTGACAACATTTCAAACATAGCTTGAAAATACCCTCATTTCGTAAAAAAACCTAAATATATTTTGATCATGTTGATTTAAGCTAACTGTAAATGAAATTATGTGAATTTAATAATTACCTAAACCTTGCATTGAGTGTTTTCACACGCGAAGCGTAATGTATTATTACGAAGAACCTAAGTCGCAAAAAATGCTCATTTGGAGGCACTGTTGGTGTATTTCACTTTAAGCCTTTTTAAGCATATACTATTTAATAGCATATGTTAATGCTTTCTTTTTGGCTAGTGTTAGATCCTGTTTGAAAAAAAAACGGGTTTTATGCAAATGTATGGGATTGTTTTTTTTTTGCGACGCTATGGAATTATTTTGCACTTTTGGTTGAATTTTCTATTTTTCTCTAAGAAGATTGTTCCGTTTTTCAAAAAGAGGTACCAATGAACAAGCCAGCTCCTCTTCTATGTGCCTTCTTTATTTTGCTAGTTTCTTTTCAATTCACTTCACGTTCTACGTTCTTCAAAAGTTTCAGTAGTGGGATTTTTGAGCTATTTGATTTTTTTTCGTTTTCTCAAAAATTAAGTGCACAAGTCTGAGCTTAAGGTTTCAATGAAAAGAACAAATCATGAGGATCTCTCCTTCACCAAAATTGGTAGAAAAAAAGGTATGGTCTCAAACAAGCCCATTTTTTGACATTTTGGTTAATTTGTTTAAAAATTTATAAAAAACTACCCTACAAAATTGTAGATTCAGGGTTTAACCGAAAGCAAAAAACCAGTTATGTGATTTTTCTCTGCGGCGGCTATGACCTACGTTTTTAAAAGAAATTTATGGTCTTAGAAAAGGTCCAATTTTTGAAATTTTGCCTTTTTTGGAAACTTCTTTTTTCTCTAAAAATTAACCTGCTGATTCATTGTTCTGAGGTTGAAAGTTCTTTCAAACTAACATGTTGCTTAGATTTTACTCTGCGTAATCTGTTTCACCCTATTTTTTGTAGAAGATACTATATAGAATTCGTGAAAATCCATTTTTTTGAAACTTTTACCGTTTTTTTAAGAAATCTCATCACTATTCTCGAAACCTTCTAGCTAAATTCGATATAAAGAGTTCAACCCAAAACTCAGGGCGTGAAATTTTTCCCTGCTCAAGAGGCTATTCCCATGTTTTAGTAGAGAATATTTTCTGATTTTTGTGTTTTCTGATTTTGAGTGTTTTGGAACCTTCTTTTTTTCGAAAACTACCTTGCCAAATCTGAGATAAAGAACTTAATTGAAAGAATTATTAGTAGTTGTCTCCTTCAAATCAGCAGCTAATCTCCCACTTAAGCAGAGAAGTTACTGGGGTTTTGCGTAAAGTCCTTTTTCGTATTTTGAAATATATGCATTTCCGTATTAGTACAATATATGATTGAAAATATTAAAACAGTTACATCCAGCATTAGCTGGGCCACTTTCTTACTAACAAGTGAATGCGGCGAAGATGCGAGGACGTGAGTGACACTCGTAGTCATTAGGTCGGAGATTCGAATCCGGAACATTGAGAACTTTTTTTGCTGCTTTTTTGATGGCTAGTGTCACAAGCGGTCGAGGAGCAAAATTACAAGCGGTCGAGGAGCGAATGTGGGAACGTGATACTCATTGTTTCAAAATTGATATTAAAAATTTTTTCTCAAGGTTTTTTTAATCTTTTCTTTTTTCTCTTTGATTTGCCTGTTTAGAGCACTTTATTGCATTTTCATCGCTTGTGTTTGGGAAGCGCAGCTTCGCCTCTGTGTTAAGAACATTCTCGTTTCACCAGATTAGAAAAGCAATTTGACATCGTTTACAGAAAAAAATTAATTAGTTAAGTCCAAAGACCCATTCATGTTCATGTTTGAAGGACAGCGAGATTTTAAAACTTACTCGACAGATTTCATTCTGGGACAGATTTAGTTTTGGTCAGAGTTATAAAATATAGATATTGTTATTAAATTTGATTTCTTCCAGAGATCTTAATCTCACCCTTATTGTCAAGTCAGCTGCCCAAGACTTTGAGACTTTGATTCGGTCAGAAAATCTTGCGTAATAGGCTGTTCCGAGATCTATCTTTGCTGAAGATTGTCAGATCATCTGCTTATTTTGCTATAGAAGTTTTTCCTCACTTACTCCACTCTCCTTTAAAATTTTGTCACTTCTGCGTTTTCTTTGTTTCCTCTTTGTTGATTCGGCATTCTCTGTGACTCTTCGGGTTCACAATTTGGGAATCTTTTCAGCTGATCTCAATCAACAGCAACATAGCATTAATTAATCCAGGAACTTCTCACATCGTTGATTGAAAGGGTCGTCTATTTTTGACTTGCGCTTAAGATGCCATAGTTTTGCAGTAAGGTTTTATGGGTCAGAAGATTTCTGGCTCATATTTGGCCAAAAAAACTGCTTCTTATTGAGAAATTCATTGCTAGCTCTTCATTGCGACTCGTCTCTCAAAGTTACTATTAGTTCATATTGCTTCTTTGAAAGGTAAGAGCACTAATTGAGTATAGTCGCCTTCTGGGTTCTTCGAGTCGGCTATTGCAGTTACTCAGAGTAATAGATTTTTTGAATACTCTTAATATTTTGTTTAGACCTGCAAATACAAGTAGTTCTTTGCGCCCGATCACAATCGATATAATAAACACAGGTCAACTGGGACCTCGAACCCAGCAACGACAGTCAAGATCACGAGGTCAAAACGCAGCGACCCAAACTGACCCGGTGGCAGTATCCGTAGGAACCTCAACGTCTTCTATACATCACAGCATCCGACGGAACAAAGACGAGAAGTTGCCTCCGGATTCAAATCAGACTCTTGGTTGCTCGTACAACTTGAGATCTCGATGTACGTCTCAAAAAGATGAAAAGAGCACTAAAAAGGATTTTAAAAGCGGCCATAAAACAGCTCAACCAGAGGAGGCTTCGACTTCAAGGCGTAGTTGCTCCAACGAAGAACAATCAATGGAAACAAGTTCGCATATTTCAGGATCCTCAAAGAGGAAAACAAGATTTCCAAGAAAAGCGAAGGCATCGCGTTCAAGAAGCTGTTCCAGGCCTTCCAAACGGGCTAAAGTTTCGCGTAGTTCTGTTGGAACGAATACAGATGCGCAACAGTTAAACGAAGAACCGCAAGTCGAAGCATCAAGATCGACAGTCGCGGCACCCTCGGCCATACGCGCGAATGTTTACTTTTCGGATTTCCCGAACTACCCCTCGACTAATACGAACATGGGTCCTGTGTTTCCACTTTCGAACTCGGATCCACATGGTGCTATATTTCACAGTCATTTCCCCAGGAATTTTGTGAGACTGCAAACTGAACCTCTGCTGCAAAGTAGTGTTCCAACTAGAACTGAAGTTCCATTGAATTTACCAACATCTGCAGAGGCCATCTCTAATGCGAGTAGGCGACATGACATAAGACATGGTCCAGCTTCGACGAGAACTGACGTAGTCGACCCTGTTGGTAACACAGTTCCGACTTCAAGTACGACTACAACAGACGTTCCGACTTCAGGTACGACTACAAGAGAAGTTCCTGCAAGTAGTCGCGACAACCCAGCAGATTATCTACGTATCGCGGTCGTTCACTGCGCCGCGAATCAAACAACATCTTTGGTTTCTAGACTGCAGAGTCAAGCGACAACTGTTCCTATAGATGATTCTGGTTATAGAATTAGTGTAAGGCTTCACCCGCCGATAGATAGAGACATCAGCATTTTAAGTGGAGCTTATGGAGTTAGAGTTAACAGCGAGAGACGTTCGGAGTTTGAAATTGACCCACCAAATCGAGAATTGTCGGCTCCCGATTTGTTTGCAAACAGGGTTATTGATACGCTCAGATCAGCTTTGAATGTAAGTTGAGTAGTTTTGAATGTTACATTTGATGCAATCATTTTAAAAAAAATTATAGTCAAACGCATTGTCCAAAAATCAAAGGTGTCATTTTTTTTAAATTATAGTCAAATGCATTGTCCAAATGGGTTCTGACCTTTGAAAATCGAGAGGAACTTGATATTCGGGAGTGTTTTAATTCTTTGTTTTTTTTTTCTGTTTTGCACGCAAAATCAGTTATCATTGGAATGTGTCGAGTGATATATTGTATTAAAGCCTTTTCAGTCGTGATTCGAGCAACATTAAAAAATTAAAAAGTAGTTCCAGCGTCGAGAAAAACTAGTTTGAAAGTTTTGAGATAATAATTCATATTCTAATTTCGAGCGAGTAACGCGATCGAATAACATTCGTTGTTATACTAGCGAGCGTAGTGTAATAGTACGATTATTCATGTTTTCTAACCTAAGGCGCAAATATTGGTGCCACTTACGTTTTTGGAGCACCCTTGCGCTAATTGGTAGCATTTGCTTTGGCATTCGATAAGTAATAAGTTATTACAGTTGATGCATTTTTGATTCATCAATTGAACAGAAAAAAGCTATTATTTCAAACAACAGTGCGATATTGAAAATTCCATTTCAATAATTTTCCAACTCAATATATCTGGCATTTTTTTGAAATGCATATTTTATTCATAATTTGGCTTCATGCTTACCAATTTATTACTTGCAAAATTGGTGTGGACGCCTACTAATTTAGTATATTTCAAATTATTACATGCAACATTTGTGTATATTTATATCTGGTGCCACTTATGCTGCATAGCATTAGCAATTTCTTAGTATATGTAGCTGCTTTATTTGTGGCTAGTGTTAGAAAATTGACAAGGGCCCGTGGCGCAGATCCGAGGACAGGGAACTCGAAATCTCCTTGTTGTAGGGTTGAATCTGACCTTACAAAGTATTTAATTTTCAAGGCTTATATTTACTTTTTCTTTATTTCACTTTATAGAGCTGCTTTTTTTGTCGTTTCCTCGCTAGTGTTTGCTAGGCGCAGCTTGGCCTCTGTGCATAAAATTGGATAAAAATTGGTTAATTAAACTAAAAACTTGATTTACTAGAAGAAAAACTAGTTGTGCAAGCTTCATTTAGCGCTCCCTTGGCAGTAAAAGTTTTATAAAAAGTTAAAACATTGCTGTGCAAAAAAAAATAGAAAAGATTTGGGTTTTTTCCGTGTTTTTGTTTGCTTTTCTTTTTTCAAGATAACTGAAATCAACATTTTTGTCTAGTTTATACAGGCTGGTAGAGTTTTCTTATCACACTTGCAATCAAAAAAGACACCAAATTAAAAAAAATAGAAACAAGAAAATTACTGTGCTACATGCACAGCAACCGGCTGTCCTTGTTACCTTTGCTATTATCTTTTTTAATGTTTTTGTCTTGAACGTTTAGAATCAACCAGAAACATCTGCAAGTTCTGTTGATTCTACAGCAGAGAACAACACAAATCAACCGACGGTCGTTGACCCTGAAGAAGATCAAATTACTTCCGAGTCACAAACAAGTCCGACGTCTGCCGACCTGAGCAGAGGATCATCTTCAGAAACATCGAGCTCGGGAGGCGCTGGAGAAGCTTCGGTCCTTCCAGAATCTGGAACTTTGCACTCGTTGCCTAGTCTCCGTAGGCCTCAGAGGACTTTCACACATCGTGTGACATTGGGACGGATTGTGGAACTGGAGTTGGGAGAAGTGACAAATCCCCAGAGAGCACATGTCAGTAGGGTGACCAGGGAACCGGAATCTTTTCACAATTTAGACAGCATTCCGAGGACATCGGCTATGCCATCGCAAGGTTTGTTAAGATTTTCCGTACAGGTTTGTGTAAGTGAATATAGGATTTTCGCGAATGGTGCACGTTTTAAAAATAATTCTCGGAAATCCAACTCGGTGCGCTGTATATGGTTTTAGACGCATTTTGAAATGTGAGTTTAAATAGTTTTTTTAAAGTGTCGACTCCTCCACATTGTTGTGATATGGCGGTCTCTTCATTTCTTTATCCTCGATAAAACGGGGATCTTTATTGCGTCGTTATAAAATACGTTTTTAAAATTCATATAACTAGACATGCATACTTGTAAGATTGAAACTGCTTCTCTATTTTGGTTCCAGAACGTCCTTCAATGCAAATTGATCCCAACTTGAATTCTGTGCACTCCTCCGAAAGTGACTCCAACAGCACTACCCGGCGTCTGGCAACCTTCGCGACTTCCTCGTCAAATCCAATCGGAGTTCCAAGCTCGGATTCTAACCCACTATCGGGAGGTTCTCTGACATCGGGTAGACAGCCGACTCGTCTGCCGAGACGAACAGCTGGAAACAGCTCTCGAAACGGAGTCGTGAGTACTCGAGATGTAAACGGAACTCACCACATTTACGACATCTCTGTTTTCGACAGCCGATTGCGGCCGAACGAAGCAATTCAAGACGCGATCACTCGTGTCGCTTTTGGTGCTTTCGCAGTTACTGGTGACTACATGCGAGCTCAGCAACGCGTGTCATATCGTTTGCAGTACTGGACGGATCTTAGCTTTCCGGCTATTCACAACCCAGAAGCGAATGTTTTAGTCAAGAGGTGTAAAGTGTTGAACCAAACAGCGCTAGATATATCAAAAGACGGATCTATACTAGCTCTTCTGACTTCAAATGACAAATACGATTTTGAGGAAACTTTTCTATCCATTTACCCTTTTGACTCTTTGTCCGCTAATGTGAAACCAATAGCAAAAATCCCGGTCGGTCACAATGCAATTTCCGTGTCCCTGTCTGCTTCAAGCCTATATGTATTTGTGGGGTACTACAACAAACAGTCAACTAGATCGTTTTTCTTTCGAAATTTTCTGAACGGGCCTTCGCTCGGAGAGATTTTTGAGTTCGCGCCGAAGAAACTTTTCACACAGAGGTTGATTCCAAGAAAGCAACTAAACCAGCCGACAGTTATGACTAACAGGTATGTGTTGAACTGAAAACAGAGTTGTTTGGTAATCATTTTTCACTTTTATTTTCAAATTTTGATATTTAGAGTTTATTTCTAAATCGTTGATAGTGCTCCGCCCTGTTAATAATTTTGATCAATAATGCATCTCTTAAATTCACTGTTTGAGCAATAAAAGTTTTTCTTCGGCTTTTTTACAACTTGGATGGTTATTTTATATCAGAGAGTCGAGGTTCCGAGGCAGTAACGAAGAAGCGGTAGGCAGTGTGAACTGTGCTTGCTGGGTTCCCATTCCGGGAAGTGGCCTGATATACGGGACTACATTGGGGGAGTTGATAGTGTGTGCTCCAAAGAGACCCAAGATTGAAAGGGAGACGACGACAAATAGTGGAAGCGGTAATGCTAGGTTAGATGGCCCAATTTTTTCCTATTTAAACAAATAATATTTATTTTGTAAACGTAGCAGTGAAAGCCAATTTGCTCTCGCTGATCTTGTTTTAGGTTCCATTGTTGGTAGGTGAAACTTGAATGTTCGATTTACAAGCTATCGTTCCAAATGCAGTTCAAATCAAGTTCTGCGACATAAAAATGTTATTGTTCCGATCATTTCAAAAATGAGGAGGAACTTTGTTTTCTGATATTATAGTATTTTTTCTTTTCTATTGGTTTTCCACGCAAAATCAGGTACCACTAAAAAGGAGAGCAGGCTTACAATTGCTAATTTATGCTTAATTTAAGGCGCAAAAACTTAGTTTTAGTCGATTAAAGTTCTTTTCTGGATTTTTTAAGCGAAATTTTGGGAATTAAAAAATGAATGCACTTAGTTATATACGCACTTTTTGAGTTCAATTGGAGTTCATCTGCTGAAAGTTACGTAATTAGCACTCTCCAAATACGAACATGAAAATGGCGCATAAAAAACGTGAACGATTTCTAGTCTCGAAAGTGAAATTTAACTTTTAGATTTTCGCAGGAATGAAAATTTTACCTATTGATCCAGCTTTCTCAAGTTGGGTTAATGGTATCAGAAAAGTGCCAATCATAAATTTTAAATTCGAAAGTTATGATTTTTCAACAAAGTCAGTGTTTTTTGTTTACTTGCGTTCATTGCTCTTTTCCAACTGTCAGTTGGCTATGTTTTGTTTTTCTAGTCATTTTTCAAAAACTGTTGACCATTTTACCTATTTTACTATGACTGTCTAATATGCAGGGGCGGATCTAGGATTTTTTCGAGGATGGTGGGGGAGGCGGATTTTTTGAGCATTCCTAAAGCACTACAAAGACGCTGTTTCGGCCAATTTTTATGCACCGCAGGCAAATTTTCGAAAAAACAGGTCAAAAAAGCCGTCTTTGGGCACTTTTTGGAAAATTTTGACATAAAAATCAATTTTTTTTTGGCGCGCGCTCCCCCTCTAAGTTAGTATATATTGGCGCCTTTAGAAAAATTTTAGGGTCAGCCGGCCAAAAATGGATTTCTTAAAAAGTACCAAAGGGGGACCCTTTGGGTCGGCAGGGGGTCGAATCCCTGAAGGGGGCGTCCGCCCCCCCTTAACCCGCCCCTGCTAATATGTCTAAGTTTAGTTGTTCGCTTAGATCGTTTTATCACACCGCGCAAACAAAAACACGATACTAATTAGAAAAAATTTTGTTTTTTTTATTTTTTAAGACTATGCTCAGAACATTGTGTGCTATTTGCTCAGTTACCGGCTATCCTTGTTAGATCTACTAATGGATGAAATAAATTTTCTCTGACCGGAATATTTTGGTTGTTCTAGAGTGGATGACACGCCAGAAACAGCAGATAGCCCAAGTGACCTGCTAATAAGATTAGGAAGGTCAGTAAATGTCAGTCGAATCTTAGTATGCCATTCTTCTAATTTCGAAATTTAGAAAAATGTAATAAATCCTAGTCAGTATTCAGACCAGGCTTGGCATGTTTTAAATCAGTGTTTATAAATGGGTAATTGAACGTAATAATATTTCGGTAATTGATGGGTAATAATTACATAAAACTGTAGTGGAGGGTATGGTCGGGTGATGCGGAACATTGAAGCCCTTTCGGTCGAGATACGACTTGATTCTTTTATTCTTTTCTTTTTTTGGGTCAATTTTTCTAGTTGGATTTCGCTTCAATTTGATTTGATTAATTCCAGGGACAACTTTGAGCTTCTGGGAGTGCAATCGGACGAAGAAGAGGAACACACAGAGATTTAATTCATCTTGCTCATTTGTCGCACAAATGAACAAAACTCTCGCTTGAATCGCAACCCTCACGTTAGACTTTGTAGAATTTCTCCTAATTGTTAATCGTGGTTAAAGTACAGAGCAGTAGCGCAAATCAGATATTAAATTTAAATAGCCAGTTTAATCTTTTACTTGTCTTTTTTGCCGAAATTCCACAAGAAAGACAAAAAGTAGTTCAAGTGCCACCTGGTCGAACTGCTGCATCATAACTTGGTAAGTTTGAGCATGCAGAAACAAAACAGCGATACGTTCCCTCGTGATTCATCCGTCCTAGTAATAAAAGCCCTTGTATAGATGAAAATCAGGGAACCTATTTAAGACGATTTATCCACAACAGAAAGGACAAAAATACGATCTCTTCAACTCAATACGGAGAACCGCTTTTGTGCCTGTTTTAAAAACTACATGCTTTTTTGGTCATTTTTCTGGACAGGGCAATTTACCTCGCCCGCAATCAACGAGCAAGCTTCCAGTAAGAAAAAATAGCAACAATCTCAAAAAAGCTAAAGATTTGATTGAGTTGTTCTGGATAAAATTATAGATCCTCTTCACTGAACTTCAGTTCCAGCATCTCTTCTGACCAGTTCCTTTCATTGCTGCGTAACCTATAAACAAACCTACCTCATCAGAGATTGATTTGATCTATTAATTATCAAAGATTTAATTAATTAGGTACTAAAAGTTTTTTACCATAAATGAATTAGTTCACAGGACCGAAATTATGGGTCATCTCCAAATCTGCTCTTAAGTCACCTAACAGGCAAATTTCAAGCATCTCTACTGACTTCTTTCTGTAATTAGTTCAAAGGTTTCAAAATATATCATATTGGATTAGAGGCGTAATTTGAGACATTAAATATAGGCAAAAAGTTTTATCTAAATGATTTATGGAGGAACTTTAATGAAAATTTTCAAAATGATCAGAATTTTGTTTCGGCTCAGTGTCTGGCGGGTTTTTTTACCATTAATAAGATTTGTATCGATGCTAATTTGGTATTTAATTATTTTACTTGACTTGTTTGTCGTGAAAGGAACTTTTTCTAAAACAAATCAAGACAAAGATGAAACTGTTCCGTTAATTTTGTTTCGTCATTAAATAAGAAAATTGTCGTCTCGTTTTTTTCGTCGTTTCAGTTTCTCATCGCATTTTTTTCTGCGGATTTTGTTTTATTTTCTGTCGGTTAGATTTTTGCGGCTATGCTTGTAATTAATTGCAAGTGGTATAATGTTTTAATTGATATAGAGAACAAAGAAGGCATTTATTTGTTGACTTTGAGTTCATTGACACCTCTACAGCTCTCTATTGTTTGTTTTTCGTTGTGATAAAATTTTTTCAAAAGGTTTTTGACACACAAACGATTCAATTTTGATTTTAAAAAAGTGTGCAGACGTATTTTTTGTTTGCTTGTTTTTATTTTTTCTCTTAGAGAAAGTTTTAAGAGAACAATTTAAAAGTTGTACACCCTCAAATTTTGAACACCCTCATGCTGTTTGACTTCTCATTTGAATTCAAATGCAATTCAGTTTTACTTGCTAAAAAGAAAAAAAAGCATCTAATTCCTCTCCAAAAACAAAAATGCAAACTGCGCAGAAAATATTATTTTTTAGTTTGAATGTCGATTTGAACTTCCAGGTCTCGATTTTGATTGAACATGAAGTTATTTAAAATTTGACCACGTAGAGAACACTCTTATATAGGTCACAGTGTTAAAAGTTTTTCAGAACTGAAAAATATTTTTTTCAATTAAAAAACGGAAATTGAGTAAAAAATGTGTATATTTTTGAGATTCGAATGTTGATTTTTTAATCTTGCGATAAGAAAGGGTGTTTTAACCAGGTAATCCACTTTTTCCAAAAAAATCTTTGGGCACAAAATTTGCACGTAAAAGTGGTACAAGTGTTTTACTTGCCTTATTATATTTTCGAACGCGGGTAGGATTTTGACGACAAAGAGTAGGAGTTCGATTTCAGCCGGGACCTTTTTTGAAAACTAAAAATTGTCGGCTACTTTAGCCTGTCTGCTTAATTTTGTCGGTTTAGTTTACGCAGAAACAATTTTTTTCAGAATTCAGCTTCTTTCTAGTTATCTACAAGCTCCTTCTAATCAATCTAATGACAAAAGGAGTTTTTTAAATAACTTTTTAGCAGTTTCATTTATGTTTCTGGTAAAAAACAATTTTTTGAAGCCTTTTTTTAATATATATACTTTTTTTGTTTTTCTTCATATTCCTTCATCTTTGCATTCAATTGGTGCGACATTGAGCTTCTCTTCTGTGTAAAAAATTATTTTTTGACTGTTTTCTCAAGTTGGTTTAGTTTCACCAAAAATGCCAATCGTAAAAAATTCTAAAATATCGAAAAGTTTAATTGATGGTATTGTCTCCTTTGAAATTCAAAAATTAAAAAAAAAATAAATTTTTTAAAGGACGTTTATTTTTACAACAAAAAAAGTGAAATAAAACAATGCTAGTGAAATAAAAACAATTATATCCACAATTATAGAGCACTGCTCAATGATCATCCATTTTTTTATGATATTCTCAATTCAACAACACTGCTGAAAGATCAATACTTTTTAAAAGCGAAGCTTGCTACCTCCGAGTGCTAATTCTGAATTTGTATTTTTGACATGTTTTTTCAAAAGATGTAATTGCAATTAGATTACATTTTGGGGGTTTTTGTTTTTTTAATTTTCTTTTTGTATTTGCAAGTTTTTTGGTTTGACTTTTATTTTGATTTTTCTTCAAGTTTATTTTATCGGTTATTTCATCAACATGGAATTGCTGGATCGAATCAGTGATTCAGACTTATTAGTCAGGTTTTTGGGGATAAAACAAGTCTATGATTCAAAAGTTACTCTGAGAAAAGTCAATTTTAATATTATTTTGCTAAAAAGTTCTTCGTAATTCCTCGTTTCCAGTATAGTCTCTCTGTGATAGGTTTCAATATTTTTGTTAATTTCAGAGGGTAAGGGTTCCAATTTGTTTCCCGAAATTAAGATTACTCCGAGTAGGTTGCATCTTTTAGCTTCGATTAATTTTTTTCACACTTGACGTTAACTTTTTTCATTCGCATAGTATTGTTTGTTGATTAATGTTATTTCGTACCAATTTTTTTTTCATTCGCAAAGAGCTTGCTTTGATGTTTGTTTCAATCTATTTGTACAACAAATTATAACAGCAGTTTTTGATAATATTAATTGTTCAGTAGCAATAATCCTTGATAAAAAAGTTTGATAAATTGCACGGCAGATTTTGATAATATTAACATTTCAGTTGCAATAATCATTGATAAAAAGTTTTGGGAACTTGAAATGAGTCAGTTTTTGTAACTTTTTGATCTTTTCATCAAGCGACTCACAAAAAGCAACACCAAATTGAAGAAAAAAATCATGAAATAATTTTTTAGGTATTTTTAATGAGTTCACAGCAATTGGTTGTCCTTGTCCAAATTTTTGATTGTTTTTTTTTCTCTTTATCTCAAATATTGAGAATTTTCACTTTACCTCTGTGAAGAGTTAGTGGCAGTAGTTAAAACTCAAGTAATTGAATGGGTATTAGGTTTTTTTTATTTTGAGAATTTTTTTTATATAAGTAACAGATTCTGGCTTGGCAATCTATCAGCTGCAATTTCCATGTCTTTATACTGATTTAGATTTCATCAGAGAGTCAATCACTTTCATGGTTTTAAGTTTAACTTGAAAATGAGAATATATTTAGAAGTAATGTGCGTGAAATCTCGTTAAAGCCCTTACAAAAATATAAGAAAAAGTGTCCTGGTGTCAAAAAAAACTGGTCTGATTATTTCCGTTCGAGACAAATTAAACGAAAAACTTGTCCTTCAATTTGTTTCAATTAATTGATTTCTGTAAGCGTCAAATTTTCATATGCATAATTAACCGATATAGTTTAAAATCATCTTGAATTCCGTGTACGGGTTGATATCATATTGGTTAAAGTTGAGAAAATCAAAAGTAATTTTGTAAGTTTCATGTAATAAGTGGGGTCCAAACAAGTGGTTTTTTTTGCTACTGGCGGAGCGAACATATTTTCTTGTTGTTTTATAAGCTTGCGGTGAGCAAGCGTTATGAGATCCTTATATAAGTTTTTTTCCATGAAAACTTTTATTGACAGAAGCAATGAATCATTTGATAGCTTGGTTTATAATCCACTTGTTGATTTCTGGAGCGTTTGGCCTGCAGGTAACATCGATGTCTGGCCAAAAGTTTGACTACGAAGAAGATCTGTTTTTGGATAACTGAAAAATTTTCGGCTTGAAAAAAAAAGTTCAGACTACCGTTCGCTTGCTCTTGTTTTTTTATATAATGGCAATGGCACAGGTTTTTTTCATTAACGATTTTCCCCTCTTTTCTTGTACGATTCTTTGCTTAGTTAGAGTTTCTCAAATAAGTTTTTTGAACCAAAAGGGCGCTATTTATATTTAATTATATCATCCTAATGCTCAATTAAATAAAAACTTGCGGCCGCATTTCAAAAAAATTGGCACTCTGAGGTGTGGATTTAGTGGGACGGTTGCCCCTCCCTCGTGGATTCGGTTCTCTCATTATCCAAAAATCCCCCTTAGTTACTTTTTTCCAACGCCTATTTCCGATTTATTGACCCTTAAATGATTTCTGAAGGTGCCCTCGGTGCCCATCTATACTAACTTTTTGAAAAAAATTTTGCCTGTATTTTCAAAAATATGTAAAAAATCGACAAAATTTTCGAAGAGAAAATCTTTGAACCGCCTCAGGGTGTTCACTTTTGAAACCGATTCTGTGCTAGTTTTTTGCAACCTTTTATGTTTTTATCTTTTGCCATCTTAGCAAGTTTTTCTCACAAAATTCAATAGATTTTTCGCGCATTTTAGCGGCCTGTTTTTTCAAGTGGCTTCAGTTTTTCAATTTAAAAAGAGAATAAACTACATGTAGTGCCAGATGTCGATTTACGATTGGTTTTAGACTGCACTTCGCTGTTATAACTGTCACTTTTTTGAAGATCCATTGACTATACCAATTTGCTCTTTTAGAGTCAAAATTGTATTCAACTAACCCGCCTCAACATTTTGAGTCTCAATTAGGTTCCAATTTGCTCCCAATTTTAACACCATTTCGCCGTTATATCCAGGAAAACATCAAGCACCGCCCGTCAATTTTGAAGTTGTTTATATTGATGGAATAAAACAAACTGCACATATTAAAATTCGTTAGAACAAAGACTGATGTTATTTATAATTGAGTTCTTTCATCTTTAGAGCTTGCTCAAATTATTTTTAAAAAGCCAACAATTGACTACAACGACTGTGCATGCTTTTTTGACCATTTGTTGGCTGGCTGTTAAAATTTTGCGCGTAACTTACATTAACTGATTTGACTCAGTTTTGCAAAAAAACTTCATCTGATACAAATCTCGCCCCGGTTAAGACAAATAAGTGTAAGTAAAACGCTTTTATTTAGGTCTTCAATGGGACTTTTATAACTTAATTCCACAACAACCCCAATCCCCCCCCCCCCCCCCCCACGCCCCATGGTAAAAAATAATCATCCCTATGAAGAACTAAATCAATGTATAATCACATGCGGATTTTGTACTTATAGTAGTAAAAGTCTCCCTGTTCCAATAGCGGGAAATAGTAAAAGAGATCCGTTAAAAGTTATGTTAGGATTAATTTTATCGTTCAACTTTATACACCATTTTTTTCCTGAAATTTTTTCATTAATAGATTTAAGTCAATCTTTGCTACATTACTTCTTTTTAGAAGGGAGGTTCAATTCTAGGTACTTTAATGCGGAATATTTAGAGTATTTGAATCGAAATGGTGAACAGTCGAAAGTTTTTGGCGAAAAATTTGTCCCACTATTTGAAAGAAACTTAATTGGGGCGAAGTGCAGCTACTGTTTGTCAAAACTATTTGGCTTTAAATTGCGATGGTAAATTTTGGGGCTAATCTTGCGGCAAAAATTGTCTGCTTGCTTTCCCTTCCCTTGTTCTACCCGTGTTTTTTTTTTTGCTCTTAGCTTATTTTCTTCAAAGTGACCTGTATTGATCTACTATTTTTTGCCGCTGTGTAGCGGAATGCGTTATTGATTGTATTTTCCTCTTGATTCCTGATTCCTTGGTCAATTTCGGATTTTATTGCCCAGGGCACTGTGTTTTACTTAGGGTATTAGTGATGCCTCTAACATGCAAACTCAGAATTTCTCTTACGTTAGTCGCTCACTTTTCTGGAAGTTCTTTTGAGCTTGTGACATGGTACATAAAAGCGATCATGCTTGAGGGCTTTTTTGGCTCACAGCATTAGAAAACAAAGGTTAACGCGAAGTGTGCTTGCTTTTAAAAAAATTACTGCCCGCTTCAAGTTCTCTAATCTTAAGTTAAGAAATATTTAATCTTACGTTACCTTACAGCAGTTATTTTTTCTTAAAATAATAATAAATCGACGATATTTTATCGAACCTTTGTTTTATCAAAACCCATTTTTTCAAAAATTCAATAATATTTATATTTAAAATCTTTAAGAACAAAAGTATCTAAGTATCTAAGATGGTCGAATACAGTTCCATAAATTGGGTTCAGTCTAATGATTTTCCGTAAAGCATAAGTAAATTATTTACTTCCATTTATAATTTTTTTAAATAATTTTCGAAAAATGAGAGGTCGGTGATTGATAACGATCATATATTTGGTTCCTTATCATTTGGGCTTTTATTAGAAGCTATTTAATTTACTTCATGTGGCGAATGGGTTTGGAAGTGTTACGTCAAAGCTACCATTTTATTTCAGACAAGCCCGAGTTTATTCGCGGTATGTTGTTTATATTAGTTCAACTTGATCCTCTTTTTACGGTCTGAGGGACAATTTGCCATGCCCCAGGAGTGTCTATATTTCATAGAACCAGCATATTTATTGAATCCCTTGGAAAGATTTATAAACTCAAATTTCTTTTATCGATTTTCGACTGTTTATTTACGCAATTTTAGGATTCAAGCGAAGAAAATAGAGCATACTTCATACAACCAGTATACTTCTATACTAGTATACTTGTTGAATCCGTAAGAAAGATTTATAAACTTGAATTTCTTTTATCTATTTTCGACTGTTTATTTACTCTATTGCAGGGTTTTAACTTGTTATATGTTTATTATTATTAAACTTATGTTTATGATTTTGTTCCAACTACTTCGTGAAGTGAAAAAAAATTTTCCGCTTGTATCTGAGGTACCTCAAAGAGCGTACGTACGGGGGTCAAGTGTGCTATGATATTAAGTTCAAAGGTTGCGTTTGTGATTCGGAATCAAAAAATTTCAAAAAATTGCCTTAGTGTCAATAAAAAAAAATTTTAATTTGACTATTCAGACAATCTATTGGTTTTTAAGAGTCGAGCAGTGAAGATTTTTATATCGGTCTGGGTTAATTTTTTTGTTTATTTTTTTTTCTAATAAAAGTTAAAATGCTCTAATAACTACAGACAATCATTCATACATATTGATGCATTTATGAATGCACTTAGGTAAAAATTGCACTTTTTGAGTTCAATTCAATTTTATCTACTAAAAGTTAGTCAACTTGCTCTCTTCAGTTAGAAATGTTGAACTGGCCGGAAAAAACGTTAACGACTGGTAGTGTCGCGAGTGAATTTAATTTTTATAATCAAAATCTTACACAAATATCCAGTTTTCTCAATTTTAGTTAATTTAATCAAAATCATAAGCTCGTTTTGAGATTCAAAGAGCATTAAGGCCATATATTATTATTTTGAAATTCGAAAATGAATTTTTCAAAAATATCCTCGCGTTTGCTTATATATTTTTTAACTGTCTGTTGGCTATATTTTTTTATTTTTTAACTGTCAATAAATTAGTTTAATGATGATTTGTTTTTCAGTTAGTTTTCAGGAAAAAGTCTTAAAGTTTGTTCATGCCAATTGTTTTTTGTTTGATTTTTGATATTTTTTAAATTCTGATTAATTCATTTTTTAAGTAGGCAAGCTCCACTTTTGATCAATAGAATTGTAAAGGTCACAAAAATTGTGAATGGCTTCTAGTTTATAAATGGATTTTTTTTTCGGAAATTCTAGTGGAATAAAAAACAATCAATTGATTCTGTTTTTCTTACATAGAGTTAATTTTATCAACAAACAGTCAACCATGAGTTGTTCTTGGAACTCAAACAACCGAGAAAATCATATATTGATTGAATTTCATAAGTCAAAGTTTTTGCAAAAAAAAACAATCTATCTTTTTTGTCGTTCTTGCGCTCTTTTGCACTTTTTCAACAGCGTGTCGTCTATGTTTAATATTTTTTATAATAACTGGGACGGAACTTTCTGGGCTACTTGCACAACAACCCGCTAACTTTTGTGTTATATAAACAATTAGGGGAGTTTTTTTGATAATCAACCTGAAGAGAACTTTCAACTTTCGTTAAGCAAAAGATAATTTTGTGTTCAAAAAAACAGATAAACGCATTGGTTTTTTGGACGGTCAAGCCTCACAAGAAAAAATTTAATAACTTATTCTGCAAAAAAATGCAATCGTTTAGCATTCTTTTGAATTTTTTTGGATTTTGTTTTGTCATTCGACTGTTTTTTGTTTTGCTTTTCAAGAAAAAAAAATCTGTTAATTTTTGCAGATTTTAAAAAAAAGTGTTTTTATCTCTTCGAGGGGGCACACAATTAATTTCGGTTGACATACTTAGAGGTCGGGTATAAACTTAGTTATATATTATTTGGAAATGTGCTCGGTTCGCGTAAACCTTAGGTCGGTCGCTGTTCACCTGACTTCAAATTTCTTCACGTGAAAAGATTTCGAAATATCTAACACCAAACGCCAAATTTAATGAGATACATTTTAGTAAATATCCACTAAGTCGGTCCATAGATTTCCCGTCATAATAAATGGTATTTAACCTTCTTTTGCACTATTTGCAGTCCCAGTTAGACCAAACTACTGGATAGAACTGGTTAATGAAATATTCAGATCCAGAGTATGACCTGACTTTTCACCATAAAGTCGAAAATGTTACTGCCGAATCGAGAAGAAATAGACTGAAAATTTTCATTTCTAAGAAAATTAACAAAGGGCAGCAAAGTGTTCTACAGCTAAAAATTAAAAATTGTTAGTCATTTTTTCATCTTTCAAAATTATTGCCAGGAATCTAAGCTCACGGTGGCGAGCAAAAATTTTTGACCAATCGGCGAACTTGAAAATAAGATCACCAATTCTTGAATGAAAAAGAAAAAGTGTCTGTATAAAATTTATATTTTCGATAATATGAACGGTACTCAAAGTTAAACAGCCCCCTGGAGAACTCATTTTTCTCGTTGTTTCCATTTGGCCTTCTAGGTCGTAAGTAGTTATTGATAACACTGGGGAACAAAACACCTACAACGCTCCAAATTCTCACAATGAAAGACTTCCAAGCTAGTTAACTTCAACTCTTGTGCTCAAGTTACAGCTCAGTTCAAACTGCTAACTTACCTTTAAAAGACGCTTGGTATTTATCGAAAATTGTCAATTAGAAGATCCCTTCTGTATAAACAATACATGATTGGAGGACAATTTGCATATATTTGTCGGTGGACTTTCTTTGTTTTAGTTTTGGAAATATCCAACAGAGACTGTTTATCACTTTCGGCTGCAATGAATAACTGCCTCCAGTTTAAATTAATAAAATAGACCCAATTCTACCAGCCGAAGGAGCCAATTTCAATATGGGTATGTACCTTTTTTTAATTACTCGAACCGACAAATGTATACAATATGATTACTTATAATTATGATTGTGGCATCTCAAAAAGCATGTTTACCTATTGCAAAGTAAAAATATCAAACGGGTTCATGCCAACTAGCTGGATCGAGGCTAGAACACAGAAATGACAGGCAATTCGTTTTACGGTAAATCAGGGAATACGGACCCTTTCAAATGAAAAGTCTGCCAAATGAAAAGTCCTTTTCCGCAGCTCTTTGTGTTCAAATGAGCGCAGGGGCGGATCTAGGATTTTCTCGAGGGGGGGGGGCGGATTTTCTTTAGGTCGACCAAATTGATTTTCCGAGCTCTCCGAAAGCACTAAAAAGGCAAATTTTTGAAAAAACCGGTCAAAAAAGCCGTTTTTGGGCACTTTTTGGAAAATTTTGACAAAAAAATTGCGTTTTTTTGGCGCGCGCTCCCCCTCAAAGTTAGTATATATTGGCGCCAAAGGCGCCTTTAGAAAAATTTTGGAGTCGGTCGGCCAAAAACTGATTTCTTAAAAACTACCAAAGATATTTTGTTTTTTTCAAATTTTTTTGCTTATGGAAAAAAATGTCAAAAGATCTTGTGCTCAGTATGAATTTTTCCAAACAAGTTTTTATTCTTTTCTGTAAAACTTTCAAACAATGTGAAAGATACTGATATTCAAAGCTCAAAAAAAATGTTTCACTTGCAATCATTTTCCGGGAAAAATTGGGGGTTTGACAATAGCCAGTTTGGTATTTTGAGATGTGTAGCGCGGAATATTGTTTCATAAAAGCTTAGCGCTGACAAAAATAATTTTAGACAAGCACTTTTGTCCAACGTGTAAGTTTTTAACATGATGTCAATGAAGTTACAGTCTCGCGAATTTTTCAAAATAATTTGTTCCATATACTTGTTCAAATCAAGGTGTAAAATAAATTATGATTTTGCAAAAAATATAATTAAGAACTTCACAGAAGCAAAAAATGAAAATTTAGTAATTGGTTTAAAAAAATCATTTACAGTGGAGAGAAAAAATAGCCCGCGTTTAAGCATACAAAAAACGAAGTTTGTTTGATTTTGTAGTTTCATTCTTCAAAACAAACTTTTGAAAAAAAAATATTGTCCATTTTCGATCCATATGAAAAGTTAAACTTTTTAATCGCTTGTGTAATTCACATCTAATTCGTTTGTGTCAAATAGCTTGTGTTAACTGAGAAAAAATCGCTCTTCATTTGAATCTGATTACCAAAAATTCAAATTTTAGATTCTCTGCTGCCTTTGTTTTTGAAAGTGCATATTTCCTCACTTAAGGTTTATTGCGCTAGCTGATTTCGAAAATGCAAAATTTGGTGTCAGTGCTTTTGTGATCATTTGACACATTACTCAGCTGATAAAACTTTTTAGTGTGGGACTTTTCGATAATCTTTTGAATGAGATTTTTCGATTCATTCGACTAAAATTAACACTCAAACGAGTTTTCATTATTTTTAAAGCTAGAAATTAAATGCGAAATAAAATTGTTTTCTGAAAAATTGGACAATAGTTTAAAAAAAGAGCATTTGGATTCTATAAAAAATTTTAGTTTGAAAAAAAATCTTGCGTTGGAATTTATGTGGTAAGACTGCCTGAAATATCAATTTAGCATGCAAACAGTTCGCAAAAAACCGCCAAATTTCACTTTTTAATTAGTTCTGTTTCTCCAAAAAATTAATAACTTACCATAATAAACTAATAAAAAAAAGTTGAACGGACCAATATTATCAAAACTTATGCCCTAACATTGGCAATATCAAAGAACTTAAGCACCCTAGACCGTTCAAAAAAATTATATACACAATTTTTGTTTCGTAACTTCTTTTAAGGAAAACTAGCTAACAGTTCCAAATGCGCTAGTTTCTCAAAATTTAGATACTTTTGTGATTAACCCTGTATTCAAAGTATAATTCTCAGACGGATAGACAAAGTTTTTACAAATCTTTTCTTAAAAGAAATAAAATTGAAAATTGGGAAAATCAAATTGTTTTCCCATGTTTTGGCAATAATTCATTAAAAATTTCTCAAGACAGCTCGAAGTTTGATTTTTACTCAGTAACTGTTTTTATTTCTTGTCCTCTACGCTATCCACACTGTTGTAAATATCTGTCACGAGGTCTAACTTAAACTAGAGTCTCAATTAAAATGCGTTAAAACACGTAAAACTGAACTAAAATGTTTTTGAACTAATCAAGTTTTTGAACATTGCTCTTACGTGTTAAAATCAATCAAAACTTGTTTCATTTAATAAGTCAGCAGTTTGGCATCTATTTAGCTCAAACAGTTTTGACAAACTATAATTCGTACCTAACAGCCAAAACATAGTAATAAGTGCTATTAATTTTGAGTAGCCAAATTAACAAACATTATCAATTAGCTTGCCTCCATTCAAATTTGAACTAATTCGAGTGCGGGTTAACTCCTGACACTTAGAAAATTCACGTTTATGCTTTCAATGTCATAGAGTAGTTTGTAGAAGCACGCATAAATGAATACAAGACTGCTCGTATATCAGGGCAAGCCTTGAATGTTCCGACTGTCCCTTAAATTATATCGAATAACTTTTGAGAAAAGAAAATATTGAAAATCTATAAATTTTGGACTATCAAAGTGTGAAATTTTGAGTCGTACAAAATTGATACGACCGATTAACTAGCTTCAATTCAATTCGGAAAGATTTTGTTGTGCGGGATAATTCGGCACGCATAAATAATTCGCGTTGTGCTCTCAGCATTATAAATAAACTCTTCAATGCGCGCATAATTTAGTCCAGATTATGGCCACTTTGGCGATTCTGAAACCCCCAGAACTTAACAAAAAAACAGCGGAGGTAAAATATCTTTTCAGATTTGAACCCAGGAAGTCAATATTTTCAATGGAAAATAAAAAATTTTTGTTGAAAACTATTATTTTGATCAGCCAAAATTGATTGAATAAAAAAATCACACCGAGCATAAATATTCCGTTTTTTTTCGAAAATCGAAGCAATAATGATCAAATTGGTAATTTTTATTTCCCTAGCTTCCGAAATTCTTTTGAGGAAAACAATATCTTCAGCGGGCAATAAAACTTGCTAGTTAGGATTCAAACATTGATGTTCATCATGTGTTGAAAACTATTTTTCTCATCGCCAAAATTGATCTGAATAAAAATAGTGCACCAAGCATATATATTTCGTTTCTCTCTCGAAAAAAAAGTGGAACAATAAATAGCAACATTTTTGAATAGAATATAACAAAACTGCGCGTATTAAGGCGAAGCGCTGAATCATCTAACCGCAATTCAAGGTCTAGGGAGAACGGTTTGCTCTTAGAAAATGGGTGCCATTTAAAAGAAAGAAAAAAATGTTTTTTTTTCAAAAATCATTAACCCATACGCTTTTTAGAATACACAATGATCTGTTTCGCATATAGCAAAGTATTAAGCAGGTCAAATAGCTTGCCTCAATTACACTTGAATTTTTTTTAAGACGGAGTAAAACTCTGTTTACGCGTTAATAGCACGAACTATACTGCGCGCTAATTGTCCCAATTGGCCGAGATGGCAATCTGTAAACCCCCAAATTTCACGAAAAGTTATCACCGGTGAAATATATTTTTTATAAATTTGAGATCAAGTGAACAATACCTTTCAGCTGATATAAGAAAAAGTTGTCAAAAAACGCCAGTTAAAAAGTCGAATCTTGTCTTGAGAAAAAGAACAACTCCGAGAAAAAAATGTTCACTCATTTTCTTCGAAAATAGAAGGAACAATAATTTTTGAAAAATTGGAACAAACAGAATTAGTTAAATGAGCAATCTGCTTAGTTTAAGCTACATTTGCATGCGAAATTGATTTTAGGTGACCTTGACACGTACTTTTTGTCTGAAAAATTAGCTTTGCATGCAAAATTGTCTGATATAGGTCATTTGCTTTTTTTCATTAATTTTGTCTGTTCCATCGTTTTGCAACTCTTTCTAGACAGAATCAGTTGATGACAGCAATTTGTCAGTTGAGAAGAATTTTTGCAAGCAGATTTGAATGTTAGACAAGTTTGAGACATATAAGATGTCTGAAAAGCTAGTTTTTGTACGCAACAACTTCCCGAAATAGGCCATTTGCTCTTTTATTTTTTTCTGCCCATTCGATTTTCTTGCAATTCCTTATAACTTTGAAAAAAACAATCTTGGAACTTGAAACAAAATATGCAATGGAAAATGAAGCGTGTGTTTTCAGATTTTCAATTAAGTCAATTAGATTCTCTATCTGCAGCTAATTAAACCGGTCTCAAATTTCTATCATAAAACTTTTTAGTTGCTGATTTTTTTTAAAACCAATTGAAATTCCCAGTTCTGTTCTAGAAGAGGTGTCGTCTGATGTGAACAGCTCCTCCAACAACTCCCCCAGCATGCGTCCTCGATTCCGAGGTCCCCGCAGGATGGGAATCATGCAACCCAAATGGACAGTACCCCACCAGTGGTGCAACAACAACCGCCCCAATTCATTCACAGGCTATTTTCCACTTACTGTGTTAATAATGTTAATAATAAATGCTTTGCAAATTAGATACCACATTAATTGTGGCAAAAAAAAACATTTTTGAACTTAAGGAAATTTTTTCGCGTTTATGTTGTTGAGTTTTTGCATCCCGTTTTTTCTCTTAAACTTATCTAGGTTCAAGCGCTCACTTGCTATTTGTAAGTTCAATGCTAAGCATATGGTCTAAACGTAGAAAATTGTGATCACATATACGTTATTTCGACGCTTGCGATTAGCAAGCGTTATAAAATCAGTATGTAGACTTTTTTCTTGTTAACAACTAGTTTAACAAAATCACTTGAATCACTTGACATGCTCAATGCTCTTCACCTGACATGCTCTTCAGCTGAAATGCTCAATTTCATGAAAACTCATTTTAAACTACTGGGTGGGTACTTGTTACCACAGGGTAGTTTCAGAGGGACTTGAAATTTTTTCAAGTTTTTTTTTCCATAATAAGTTTTTTTTTTCGGCTCAACTAGTGTCTGCTCAAAGATTGTCGGCCTTGTTTTCGCTTTTGTTCAGGTGTAACTTGAATTGCAAAATTCTTGCTTGGCATGTTTTCTTAGAGTTCCTGTAGGTTAAAAAAGGTAGATTATTATGAAAGTGAATGGGTTTTTTATTACATTTTTTGAAGCGCTGGAAAATGTTAATACTTTTTGCAAAAAAATAGAAATTTTCCTCAAAGACTGTTCTACCGATTTCCAAAAAAGGGGTATCTAAAGAAAGGTTGCCTATATTTCGTGCATATTCAACTGGCCTTTTTTGCTTTCCCCTTTTGTCTACAGCCTTCGAAAAGGTATGTGGGGGAATATTTGACCGATATTTCTGACTTTTTTCGTTTTCTCTATAACTAACCTAGCAAATCTATTTTTTGGTTTCATTGAAAAAATTGATTTGAAAAACTTTTTTTTCAAAAGCGGTTATGCCCAATTTTTATTGCACGTAAGATTATGGCTCCTCGGAATTGCCAAGCTTCTGATTTTTGTGGATCTTTTAAAAATTTTCTTAAAAACTAACCTCCCAAACTTAAGGTTATGGGTTCAATGGATATAACGGGTGCATTAGCGGGACCGCTAAAACGTTTTTTATACACAAAAATTCATCGTCCTCTAAAATTCAGTTTTTTTAAAGTTTTTTGAGCGTTTTTTTTCTAATTTTCATGAATTCAACCAAAAAAACCCTCTCATGTCTGAGATTCAACCCAAAGAACCGTTTGTGAGAAGTTTTTTTGCGTATGCGTTTCAATCAAATTTTTTTGGCACAAAAAAGTATGGCCCTCAGAAAAAATCTAAGTTTTGATTTTTTGACCGTTTTTTGAAACTTTTTCTTTTTTCTCAAAAACTACTTTCCCAAATCTGAGTTTTTTGGGTTCAATCGAAACTCAAGGTCGCGTAAATCTCTCACAAAAAGCTATGATTCTCGGAAAAGTCAATGTGTTTTTTGACCGTTTTTTGAATTCTTCTCGATAATTATGTTGCCAAATCTGATATCATAGGTTTATTCAACCCAACAGGTTGTTGGAAACTTAACTTAAAAATTTAATACGCCCAGTTTTTGAAGAAAAAGAAATGGTCTTTAAACAAGTTAAAGCGTTGACAGTTGGACCGTTTTTGGAAGTTTTTTGGACTCAAAAATTACCGAGCCAATTCTCAATTAGCCTTCAATCGTTCAATTTTGGGAATTTTCTCTACTTTACCAGCCACGATCTGCATTTAGAAGAAAAAATTACCGACTTCGGACAGTCAAGTTTTTGAGTTTTGACGGTTTTCTAGAAACTTTTTGAATTGTCTTAAAAACTACCCTGTCTGCAAATGTCAGTCGAAAGAAGCGGTTGCACGAATTTTTCCTGCAGAGTGGGCTACTCCGTATTTTTTTCTAAGAGAAAGGCTAGCCTTTTGGAAATTTTTTTACTCTTAACACTTATTTTAGTTGAGAAACAACTAAGGTTTTGGCAAAATCTAATTTTTGAAATTTCGCTACTCGTCCCGCATCAGTATGACGAATTCAAAAAGTATCAATTACTTACCTTCAGATGCAGTTGAGCCTTAGGTGTCCTCCATCGAGACATGCGAAAGTTTTGATTCTCTTAGTGTTTTCATCATTTTTCGTTTATTTTTTCGACTCATGCTTTTTTATGATCGTGTTGTATCGCAAGTGGTGCGAAGCTCCGCTTCACCTCTGGGTAAATCTTATTTTTGATCCATTGATTGCGTAATATCTCGTTCTATGTACACAAATTCTTTTGAACAAAAAATAGGAAATACGAAAAGTGGAAAGTAGTCTTTTTTGCTATACAGAAGTGGTAATGATTCTGTCCATTCAGACGAACTCAGAATCAGCCGATGATTTGAGAAGATATGATTGGCTGAAGAAGAAAGTGACGGAAACTGGTTTGGATGTTAGGCTTGGCGACCACAAAGGCAATGTAGCCTTTTTCATATCAGCCAAATATCAAGTGTGAGTTTTTTCAAAGTTTCTGATGCATTTTTTTTGTTATACGACTTTACAACTGCGACTGGCCAACACGAAACAGTTCACTTAATTAATCCTCAAACTGGCTCTTTTCCCTATTTTTCGCCGACACTGTTTTATTGACATAAATTAATTTCATAAATATGAACTCAAACGCATTTTCAATTTTCGATAAATTCCTTCATATTTCTGTGTTTCTTAATTGATACAATGCTCGGGATATCAGTCCTGCTTTTCTTAGTAAAATCAATGCAGTTTGGTAAAAAATAAAACATTTTCATTTGTTTTTTCATCACTTACTGAGGGGGGGGGCTTAGATGGGTACAACAGAAAAGACTTTTATCCGCATGACAAATTAGTCTATTTTAGGAAAAAACGTATACCATTTTTTGAAAAGTTGTAAATCCAAAGAATTTAACTGAGTTTGGCTTTAGGCTTCTTACTCAATCAGAAGAATGTCGCATGAAGAAGCTGCTCAAAGGAGACTACGGGGGAGGCCTCAATGAAGTACTGTTGGACCAAATAGACTTTTTTCTAAATGTGAGCCTAATTGTTCATACAGCAGACTCAAAATGAGATATTTTGTTTTAACTCGAGGGAAAAGGAAACGTAAAATATTATAGCCAAGGGCCAAATTAGGAAGCTTGAATTTTTCAGTTTAAAATGATGAACAGAAATTTAGTTGTAACTTTTAAAAGCCACAAAAACGAATTGATTTTTTTGCATCAGTATTGACCACAGAAAATTTAACCTTTGAGAAAAAATTTTGACACGTTTTGGGTTTCGGGCGTTTTTTTTAAATATTAACTCAAAACATCAGTGCAAACACAACATCATCGGCTATACGAATTTTAGTTTCGAAGTCGGTCATTTTCAGGTAGAGGACGAAGACCTTTTCTTTCTCTCGCAAGAGAGACAGTTTCTGATCCTGGACATTCTGAATGGGATCAAGGCCTCAGAGGAAGAGGAGACTCCCTTCGACAACATACACTTCCTAGAAGACCAGCCTATCAGTTAGTACCAGGCATAGTCAAACTAGTTTTAATCGTACCTAAACTGAGCTCATTGGTATATAATTGTTCTGACCATTGAAATTGGGGAGGAATTTTAAATTCGGATGTGTTTTATTTATTTATTATTTTTTTTGTTCCAACCATTTGAAAACTGGGGAGGAATTTCATATTCGGTTGTGTTTTAGTTTTTTTTGTTTTTCCTCGCAAAATCAGGTACCATAGATAATCATTGGAATGGGTCGAGTGATTTATAATAGCAAAGCCCCTTTCAGTCGTGATTAGAACAACGCTTGAAAATTTTCAAAAAAAGTCCCAGTGTCGAGAAAAACTACTTCGAACTTTTTGAGATTTAGTCTAATTTCCAGCGAGCAATGTGATCGAGTTTTGGGTGCTTCATTTACCGTTTGTGAGACAAAAAGTTTTGCTTAAAAAAATTAATAATGTTGTGCTATTAAAAATCATAATAAATTTTTCTTTTTCTAAGTTTTTTTTTGTTTTTTGTTTTTTATTTAAATTTGCGAAACGAGTTTATTAGTACGAACCTTCTTTTTTGCAACCTAAGTCCCAAACATTAGTGCCACTTTTGAGGCACCTCTACAGCTTTTTGATAGCATGTGCTTTGACATTCGAATAGCAATAAGTTAACACAGTTGATTCGTTTTTAATTATTCAAATGGACCGAAAAAAGCTATTTGTTTCAAACTACATAACAATTTTAAAAACTTGATTTCAGATTTTTTCTAGCTCAATTTATCTTGCAATTTTTTGAAATGCTAATTTATACATAATGTGGCTTTATGCTTTGCGATTTGTTACATGCAAAGTTAGTGTGGATGCCTTCAGTTTGTTTTGTTATCTTCGAAATTATTACATGCAAAATTGAGTCTACTTTGGTTCTTTTGGTAGGTTTGAATCCTACACGTTGTCGAGTTTTTGCTAATTCGAGGCTTATTTCTCCTTGATTTTATTTCATTTGATAGAGCTGCTTTTTTGGTGGTCGTGTTCTCGCAAGTGTTTGCGAAGCGCAGCTTTGCCTTTGTGTCTTTTTTTGGAAACAAATGTTGTCGATCATCCCTAATTTACCAATTTTCTACGCGATCGTATTGTTTTTGAATCACACGACCCACTAAAAATGACACTAATTTGTAGAAAACTGAAAACAATTTTTTTTTCTATTTTTTTACGAATATGGTCGGAACCACCTGTGCTACGTGCACAGCAACCAGCTATCCTTGTTACAATCGAATTTAGTATTAAAGATTAGCCTATCAGTTAGTTTGAGAAAAACCTAGGAAGCAACCAAACCTAGCTGTATTGGTATCAAGAGAGCAGAGCTTTATTAAAGATTAAAGTAATTGGTTGCAAATCAACTTTATGCTGTAACCAGTGGACTTCAGTGGATTTTAAAGTTACTTGGACCAGTTTCGATAACTACAGCCCGTGAAATGTTCAATTTCATTAAAATTTATAAACGACCAGAACCGACGGTGAACACTGGATGTGTTAAAGCCAAGTATTTTTCAAGGTCTTAATCTTTAAAGTAAAAAATGATATAGATTGAATTTGTGCAGTTGCTGTGCTGGAGGCGATGGGAGTGGTGAGTCAGCTGTTCCCCCTGCACGAGAAAGAGGGAATGCAGGACCTAGTGGAAAAGTGGATACATGTATCTCACTGGAAACAACCAATCGGTGAGAAAAATTATTACGACAGTTTTACAATGTATACTACCACACACCATTTGTGAATTTCAGGTGAAAGTTCTTCCGAAAAAGTAAGAAAGTTGCGTTTTTGCACACTTTTCTCGAAATTTTGGCCGCGCCTTCATAAATTTGTATTCAAAAAACTTTCCTTTCCGGGGAATCTTAATTCAAATAATCGACAACCTTAAGTTTTTGTTACAAACACTCTCAAAGAGCAGTAACGAACTGTGACAGACGGCTTGTTTGTGCAGTTTGTAGTACCTCAAAGAACGGCCATAGAGATTCAAGTCTGGTCTCATTTTAAAAAGTCTGTTGGTCGTGATTCAGATCCCAAAAATATGTAGATTTGGTCTTAGTACTGAGAATATTTGGTGGAAGTATTGTCTTCTACTATTTCTTCACTGTTTTCCTGTTCAGACATGGTGAAAGACTACTTTGGGGTTGAGATCGCCTTCTACTTTGCATGGCTCGGATACTACACCTGGTGGCTCACTATCCCCGCCCTCATTGGATCTCTTCTCTGGTGGATATCAGCCGATCAGGTTTCCTTATTATCAAAATAGAATTTTTTTGCGGTCAAAAGTGTCAATTTTATTCAAAAAAACAGCCAGTATCAATTCAAGGAACGGGAGAAAATGAAAATAAAAAAAATGTTGAAATGATTGTAGTTGTATAAATCTACATATTGTTTCTATAAAAGTTCAAAAGTCAAATTTTACGGAATATCTGCCCAGGGGTGGATCTAGAAGTTTCTCGAGGCTGGGGGGGGGGGGGGCGGTCGGGTTCGGGTTTTCAAAAAAAATCCAAATTATTGACCTTTTTTTATTTTAGGTTAACCAAATTGGTTTTTCTAGCACTCCCAGGACACTATAAAAACCCTATTTTGACCAAAATAGCAGCGCCGCAGGCGAATTTTTTTTAAAAAAACGCCTAAATTCGGCGCGCGTTCCGAATTTAGGCGTTCCGAATTTAGTTAGTATATATTAATAACGAAGGCGCCGTTAGAAAAATTGCCTGAAAATGGATGTCGTAAGACGATGCCAAACGGGGTATACTTAGCTTGGTGAGTGGCTTGAATCCTTGATCGAGATTGGCGTCATCGCCCCCCCCCCCCTTAAATCCGGCCCTGATCTGAACGCTTGCTCGTTCTGCCTTAGTACCTGTCGGACTTGTTTGCCGTCCTATTCTCAATTCTCAATGTAGTCTGGGTTACTCTATTCTTGGAGTTCTGGAAGCGCAAGTCCAGTGCACTGGCATACACTTGGGGAACCCTGGACAATCAGTCTGAGATGCTCCAGTACCCCAGGGCCCTTTTCAAGGTCAGTTGAGCCGGTCATAATACCCCAAATCAAAATCTTTTCATGCAAACTTTATGAAGATGCTTCATTAATTTTGAAACAAAAAATTTTGGACATTTGGTTGCTGTGCAAGAAGCACAGAGTATTACCACCTCAATGACTTAAGTGAAAAAAACTGAAGTGATAAAATTACAGTTTTCGTATTTTGAAGAATAAGACATGTGTTATAAATTTATTGATTTTTTGATGATTTCAAATTTTTCTTTGGAGTCGAATAATCCAACAACTCAGCGGGCAATTAAAAGTTCATAAAATATAGCCGACTATCAATATTTGACTTTTCTTTTTGACCGTTGAAACTTTGTTTGCAGGGTACACGTCAGTACAATGACATCACTAGTAGATATGAGTTGTTCTATCCCAACTGGAAGCGCCTCCTGTTCATCGCCTTCGTCACCATCCCCACCCTCGGACTCAGTCTAGTAGTCGTGTTCGGATCCATGTTCGTCACTTTCGAGGTGAGTCATCTATCAGTTGCTGTCTACTAATTAGTTCTCGCTCATCTCTTAGAAACTGCTAACCAAAACTGCAAAAAACTGAAACTGCTTACCGAAACTGCTAAAAATTTAAATTTAAATTTACGAAAATTTAAAGATACCATTCCTTAAAGCTGTCCTCAGAATAAACAAAATGAAAACAAACGATTTAGTAATTATTTAGACGAAAATGAAAGTTTTCAATTTGAAAAGGAAAAAAAATCACCATGGGAAATACCTCAGTTACAAGAATTTTGATAAAACAAACTTGATTACGCAGCAGAAGTCAACAAGTTTTTTAAACTAAAATGGCCTGCGAAATACCTAAAAACGACCATGTCTTGCAAGCTAGAGTTATATTATTAAAAGAAATGAACGTATAGACTCTTTTACAGATCCTGATCATTTTTTCCGTTTTTTTTTTGTCAGGAAAAGTCTTAAAAGCTTGAGTTTAGTTTTTCGCTGTTTACACTTGCGAAGCGATTCTTTTAGTACAAACCTTGTTTTTTTCCAATCCAAGTCGCAAGTAAAAATGCTTATTTTGGTGACACTTTTGGTATATTTCAATTTGTTCAAATTTAGGTTATGTTAAGCATAAACAATTTAATGAAGTATGTTGCTGCTTTATTCTTGGCTAGTGTTAGGTCCTATTTCAATAAACATGTATTATGAAAATGTACGGGATCTGTTGTTTTTCGCTTTTTTGCAACGCTTTGGAATTTTATAAACATTTTGGGAGAAATTTCTTTTTTTTTCGAAAACCAGTGGGCCGATTTTCAAAAAAAAGTATCAATAAAAAAACCGGCTTCTCTGCTATGTGCATGCATACTTCGCTAGACTCTTTTCATTTTACGTCACGTTCTACGGCCTTCGAATCATTCAGTAGGGGGATTTTTGGCCTACTTCTTTCGATTTTTTTCGTTTTCTCAAAATTTAAATGCACAAACCAGAGATGAAGGTTACAATCGAAATAACAACTTATGAGATATCCTTTTTTCAAGCGGCTATTACCTAAATTTGGCAGAAAAAAATTATGGCCTCAAACAAGCCCGTTTTTGCCATATGTTTATTTTTGAAACTCTTGTTTTTTCTCAAAAACTACCCTGAAAAATTGGAGATTAGGGGTTTAACTGGAAAATAAAATCAGATATGCGAACCTCATTCGGGCAAGCGGCTACGCCTTGCCTTTTAGAAAGAAGTATGGCCTTAGAAAATGTCCAATTTTTGACATTTTGCACGTTGTTTGAAAAAATCATTCATTTTTCAAAAACTAACCTGATGAATCTGTTGTTGATAGTTCATCGCTTGGATTTTGCCTTGCGTGATCTTTTCACCTGTTTAAATTGTTTGAAAAAGCAATACTCATGTTTTTCGGAAAATTCCTTTTTAAGTTTTTTTTTTAAAGAATTTTCGTGACTTTTCTCGAAAACTATTAGCGTAATTTGATACTAAGGACTCAATCTACAAAATCAGGAGGGAAACATTTTCAATCTAAAAACCATGGTGTGGAAAGCAGAGGCTATTCCCATGCTTTAGTAGAGAAAAAATTATGGGTGCAGCAAAAGTTGATAGATTTTTGGAATCCTTTCCACTCTTTTTTGAAAGCTACCCAGCAAAATCTGAGATAAAGACTTTAGTTGAAAGAGCAAGTAGAAGTGTTTTTTTTTTCAAAAAGTCGCTTGAACCCTACTTGAGCAAAAATACACTAGGGTATGTCGTGAAGTCCATTTTTTGAAACTTTGAAAATTACGCATTTCCGAATCAGCACAAAGTGTGATTAAAAATATTAGAACAGCTAGATTCAGCTATAGCTGGGCCATTAGTTTACTTGTAAGCAACCTTGGCGCAAATGAGAGGACGTGAGATTCCTAATTAGTAGGTCGGATATTCATATCTGGAGCATTAAAATAATTTTGCTTTTTTTATCGAATTTTTGCTGCATAACATTGGCAGTTTAATAGTAACTGTAGCTGCCTTTTTGTTGTGGCCGTTTCTCGCAATTGGTCGTTTCTCGCAAGACTTTGCGAAGCGCAACTTCGCCTCCGTGCTGAATTCTGATTTCTTTTTAAACTCATTTCGTTTCCTATGTGAAATAGAAGGCAAACTAAAAACTCTACTATCGAACAGCGAAATTAAATTCTAATTTTGAAAATGGAATCTGACTATCAGATTTCCCAGCGAAATAAAAATTTTACTGATTGATCCAGTTTTCTCAAATTGGGTTGTTTTTCAAAAAAATGTCAACTATAATTTTTTCTGGAAATTCTAAGAGCTTTAAGGCCTATGTTTTGTAGAAGTTCGAAAGTTCAAAAGAGATTTTTTTTTCAAAAAATTAAGTCAGTATTTTTTGTCTACTTGCGTTTTTTGACTCTTTTCAAATTGTATGTTGGCTATATTTGTGTTTTTGTGCAGCTGCAGAACTGGATGGACAAAAACAGTGAGTGGGGAGTGATGAGGATGTTGCCTAAAATACTCCTGTCTGTGCTCGTGTTCCTCTCGGGCGACTTCTACCAGAAAACAGTTATATTCCTAAACGACAAAGGTATGGGGCAAAGGAAGTTTGTTGCAGGAGGGGGGGGGGGCGTACGTTGCTGCACAATTGGTATGGCTAAAAAACAAAAAATATGATTGATGACAATTTGATTAAGTTGATTTTATCTTCGAAATGTTAAGCCTAAGACGTGTACTGTCTCTTTACTTTAAAATGTGCAGCTTTCAAAAAGATCTAATTAAGCCCTACAAAAAGGATGTAATCTATTTCCGTGGTAAAAAAAGGTTTCCTTAAGCCACCCGTCTGGATCAAAGTGGATCTTGAACCAGAACTTCGTTGTTTTCAGAGAACTACAGAAGCGAGCAGCATCACAGGAATGGACTCATTGTCAAACTGGGAATAGTAAGTTCATATTATACAAAGCTGTATACTTTTCAATCGCCCAAATTGCAATTAACTATAACTCTAAAAAGTTAGGTTACTTGTACAAATGAGGTTATTTTACAAGTTAGATACTCGCAAATAGAACCCTTCGCCACTTTTGTGCAACCTTAAATTTTGTTTGACCAATTTTAAAAGGCGCATTTTGTACAAATATACACTAATTTTGATGAAGTAGTGCGCACTGGTTAACGCAAATTTTTAGCTCCAAAAATGTCCAAATGTATTCCAAAAAGTGTTCAAAAACAGTTTTTTTAACACGTTTTCTCAAAAGTGTGCTTGAGTGCAGATATTTTTTTTAGCAAAAAGGTTTTAGTTGTTTTTAAGGAGATATAAAAAATTCAATTTGGTCGAACTTAAAAAAATGCGACAAAAACAGCCCCTTTTTTGAAAAACAGCCCCTTGTCCGACCTCGAAAAAATTCTAGATCCGCGCGCATAGCCACCTTGTTAAAGATGGAGCATAGAAAGCAAATATGAGTGAATGCGTTGGTAAGTCAAACTGAAGGTTTGTGATAGGTGTTCAGGTGATAACGCAGATGTACAATTGATATATAATAACAAAAATTAGTCAAAGCTTACACCCGGGTTGACCAAAAAAACACAAAAAAATTTTTGGTGGCAATTTCAAAAATACTTAGTAAAATTTTTATCGTCGCCATCAAAAAAATGCTAGCGAACCATTTTCCATATATGGAAATTGTATGACTAGCATTTTTTTGACAAAAAGTTTTTCTTTTTTATTTAGTACGATACACCGAATTTTATGCCAAAACAAGAGAAAAGTTGTTCGAAAATTCGACGACACCATTTTAGCAAAATGTATGAATTTTGTATGATTAGTATTTTTTCATAGACTTAGTTTATGGAATTGTATGATTAGCATTTTTGGTCTATGGAGGTCACCCCGGGCAGACAGTTGTCGAGTTATCAACAAAGTTACAGACAGTTGTTTGTGTGTTTTTTCAGTTCCACTTCACGAACAACTTCTTCTCCCTCTTCTACATTGCCTTCTACCTCAGAGACATGACCAGACTCAAAGAGGTAAGAACAGTTGGTAACAGGTTCGATTCCTGCAGATGGCAAGTTTTTTCAAATCTTATTTCTGCTTTTTCGTTCTTTATTTATTTTCTTTGTCTTTTTGGAGCCATCGTTTGCCGTTTTCTTACTTGTGTTTGCGAAATGCAGTTTGTATGCTGTGTAAATAATTTATAGTAAATCAAATAAGTTCAATGTATGCTTTGCATTCCGCGGCAAAAACAGTTTATAATTCATCAAATTTTTTCGTCAAATTTTTTACTTCAAAAAATGTTCCTTTTTTGCCATATTTTAGCTCAAATCTCAAAATTTTTTGTTCTCCTTTTTGACACCGATAAAAATGTTCGGGCAAAACTAGACACGTAAATTCTTTGTTGACTGAAGTTTTTGGTTATTTTCTAAGTTGCTTATAGAAATAAGGTCACTATTTCAGTTCCTCGCAGCCCTGTTGATAACTCGACAACTAGTCGGCAACTTCAAAGAAGTGTTCGTTCCTTTCTTCATGAACCAGTTCAAAACCGAGAAGCTGTCCCGATCAGTTGTCATGGCCCAGGTAACATCCCAGATTAATAATCAATGTCCTAATAACCATCGATTTATTATTGAAGTTCTTAAAATCCGTTTTAATAAGTTTTATTCCTGGGTTACCGCTGCTTTGCAGCTTTTATTCAAATTAAATTAATGCATTCGATGTAACCCTTGAAATATTTTAAGCTTCAAAAAAGTTAGTCTATGGCAAAAATGAAGAGTTCTAGTATATTAAATAAAAGGTCGATGTCAGAAGCAAGTATGTTTTTTAACTTTCCCCATGTGGAATAAAAAAGCTTTAAAAAGTTACCGATTCATGAAAAATTTACATGTGGCCGAAACCTTCAAACAGGCGCGGATCTAAGATTATCTCTACGGGATGAGACGATAATTTGCAACAGTCGACAATTCGTCACATCGTAAGAGACAATAAATTGTCATTTGTTACGACTTTCGAAGAAAATGACGGCATATTTGTGATCGGGGTGGCTATTTCCCCAGAATAATTTCGGCTTTTTAAGTAGCCAATTTTGACATTTTTTAAAGTTTTCGTTGAATTTAAATTGAATCGTAAACCTAAATCCAGGTTAAGTTCTAAATCCGATAATAACTTTGGGGTCATCTAAGCATTAATGTAAGTATTCTCATTTTTTCATGAAAAGTGCTTTGACCGACATCATTTTTTAATATTTTTTTCTTAAAAAAAAACAAAAAATATGTTTTGATGTCAAGTATCACAAACTAATCCAATCAAAAGATTAATAGTAAAAATTTTAAAAATATTATTTTTTGTTTTCACAAAAATGTATTAATTTATTTCTTCAATTGGATTATTGGGATGGTTGAAATTAGGCTTGTCGAATCGAGTCGCAAAATATGATCAGAATTGAACTGAACATAAATATTTTGTTTTTGAGATTGGCAGTGAGTTATTTGGAATACGAAACGAGTCTGAATAGTCGAAATTATTGTTCCGACCATTTGAAAAATGGGGAGGAACTTTGTATTCGGGTGTGTTAGTTTTTTTTCTTTTTTCTTTTTGTTTTCCACACAAAATTAGGTACCACAAATAATCATCCAAATAGGTCGGTCATCAAATAATCATCGTAGTAATAAAGCCTTTTCAGTTATGATTCGAACGACATTAAAAAACTTCCATGAAGTTAACCCAATAGTAAAAAAAAATAGGTTGAAAACTTTTGATTTTTAGTTCAAATTTGAGCAAATAATGCAAACAAACAGGCTAAAAATAGCTTATTTTTGCTTAATTTAGGCCGTAAAAAATTAGTTTTCGAATGTAAAGTTGTTTTTGGTTTTTTTAGCGCCAGTTGGAAATTAAAAACTTCAAAAATTCGAAAAAATTCTTCAAAAAATACGTAATTTTGAAAATTTTCCTTTGACTGTCGATTCTTCTTAAGCTGCATTTTTTCGTTCAGATCTTTTGATCACAAAAAAACGACACTCATGTGAACAAAAAAAAACTATATATTTTCAGACTATATTTGGAACAGCAGTCTCTGCTACTTGCACAGTAACCGGCTATCCTTTTTCAAACCCAATTTTCTTGACACTGAGAGTTTTTCGATTTAAAATTTCAAGGTTTTTTTTAATGTGACAGCAATCTTGGACCCCAATAAGTGTTTATGAGGAAACTAAAAATGCTCGCGAAAAAGACCACCTGGTCGACATTTCACCCCTGCGTCATTGTCTTCATTGCATATGACATCTGTATAACAAAAAAGAGAAGTGCTTTTCATGATATTGGAAAAATAATTATGAATACTTATGAAGAAAATTAAGTTTTTTAATCAGGTTTTATTTAGTTTTATATAAATCCAATAAAAAAGTTCAAATAGCAAAAAAAAAAACGTGCAAAACTTATAATCAAACAGAACTACAGTTTTTAGAGTAACCAGGGGATAAAAAACATCTTATGATCCAGCGATTTGGATCTTAAATAACTAAATTGCAAATGGTTCAGCAAAGTAAGAATAATTCTAGTTCAAAGATTCGATTTGATTTTTGGAATTCAAAGCACAAAGAAAACAAAATTTTGGTCCGGATTTTTCATTTATTTATTTTTAAAGTAATTTGAGATGTAATTTGCTCTGCAAAGCTCGAAAACGGAAAAATAATTAACGCAGGCGTTTTTTTATTCATTGAGTTGAATTAGCAAAAATTTTGTAATTGCCTGTTGTTCATGTTAATAGGCTTTGAAACAATTTATGTAACCGTTACCTCATCCCGCAAAAAAAATTCCTTTGAACTATTTTACATCATTTTCGGCCATCCAACCCTAAGATTTCGATTCGACTGAGCTGCAGTAGAAATTTTGACAATTTACGGCAGGGGCGGATTTAGGGGGGGGGGCGGGAAGCGGACGCCTTCCCCCCCCCCCCCCCCCCCCTCCTCAGGTATTCGACCCCCTGCCGACCCAAAGGGTCCCCCCTTTGATACTTTTTCAGATATCCAATTTTGGCCGACCGACCCTAAAACTTTCTAAAGGCGCCTTCGGCGTTAATATATACTAACTTTGAGGGGGAGCGCGCGCCAAAAAAAAACGCGATTTTTTTGTCAAAGTTTTTCAAAAGTGCCCAAAAACGGCTCTTTTGATTGTTTTTTCAAAAATTTGCCTGCGGCGCAGAAAATTTAGCCAAAATAGGGGCAAAACAGTGCTTTGGGAGAGCTCGAAAAATCAATTTGGTCGACCTAAAAAAAAGGTCGTCAAAATTTTGGAAAATTTTTTGAAAATCCGCCCCCCCCTCGAGAAAATCCTAGATCCGCCCCTGATTTACGGCCTTTATAACTATCGACAATACTTTCATTTTTTGTTGAAAATTCGTCCCCCCGTCCACATGGAGAAAGTCTTTGATCTGCCCCTGTTGCTAAGTCTTCTGAGATTGAGGTTACTCAAATGATTTTTAGTGTCATCAAATTTTTAAAATTTGGCAACCATATATCATTATCAGGAAAACAAAACACTGGCAATGAAACGAGATCCTCCGTCTGAATCACTAGAAAATCTTCACTCGTACGTGCTCGGAACATCCGAAGCCACAGAGGAATCGCAATCCAAAAACGACAATTGTACCACGAGGTCTGCGACTAGGGCCACACTGCCTGAAATTGCTGAACAAAATTCTGGCGAATCAGAAAGCAGTGAAAAAATTAATCCGAATGCAAGTTCAGCTGATGAACACGTGAAGAAGTTCAAGTCTGTGATGAAAGGGGCAATGGATGACGCGGCAGGAACGTTTACACGGATGCTCAGTGCTGCTCATATTAGACCGGTAATGAATTATCAATTTCAGCTTTTAGCATTTTAAGTTATCAGAGTTTGAATTGAAACGTGATTGTTTTTCTTTCGTCAATTTTGCTCCCCAAACTACTTTTCAAGTTGAGCTTTTTTATTTAAAAAATAATGAATTAATTAATCCAGAAAAAAACTATATTAAAAGCCATTTTTGATTTAAAATTTTTCTGTTTTTGCAGCGAAAGGTCCCAGAGGATGGTATTTCGAAAGACTCATTTCTGACCCAAGCAGCGATCGAAAGTGAAATGTCAACATACGCGGTAAGAACTTTTTTCTTGCTTTCTTCAAAATCTGCATTGGAAGAAAATTTAAATTTACGAGAAACAGCTTAAATTTGATGGCAAAAAAAGTTTTTTTTTTCAGAATTAAAAATTTTTAGAATTACGTTATTTAAAATGCTTTGTTTATTTAGGACAAGGTAACGTTCTTTTCATCTGAATGCTTGGTTCGGTTATCCTAAATAGTTCGGCTTCTTTCCAAACCCACGCACATTTGCAGAATGGATCAATCCCATAGATCATTTCCTAGCAAAACTAAATTCGCCCAAAAAAGTCGCATGTGTATTTCTAATGTTACGAATGACTATTCGAATCATGATAGTATGTATTTACGACTGTAATAGCCTTCATCCGAATAGTTAGACTCAAATCAATTTTTATTATTTTCTTAGGTTCAAATTTTATTTAAGTAGAACAATGCAACTTAACGTAGCTTGCATGGGCAAAACTATCATGTAATTTCTCTTTGAAGACTTCTTTATGGGTAGAGTTGAATGATGAAACTCCTTTGGTGCTGTGGAAAGCGCACAGAATGTTCCGACCACATTTGTGATGAAAAAAGGTTGTCAAAAGGTTAATGCTAGTTTGTTATTTCTTAAGTCTTTTTTTTTCCGGTTCGTACATCGTTTATATCATTGAAAATTAGCTCAAAAAATGAGCATAATATACTGCCCAGTAAATTTTTGTAGCCTTTGAAACAAAAGTTAAATAAAGAAAAAGAGTGAATTGAGCGCAAAACAAGACAAGAGGCTGCTCGTATCAGGCACAGTCCTAGTTTTCCGATTGCCCATTGATGAGGTTTTTGGAGTACTTTTATCAAATTTTTCAGAAAATCAAAAAATGATAATAATAATAATAATATTCAAACAGGTTTTCTTTCTCGTATTAAAAAAATCACCCAAACGCTATGATAAGTTAAACTGATGTAATTAGCGTCTAATAACGTATTAATACAACGTATCAAAAACTGGATTGAACTCAATTTGGAACAATTTACGAGCGGGATTGAACCGCCACTTCTGCGTTGATACCACCAAACGTATGGCGCATTAATTTTCTCAAACCAATCAAATTGGCAAAAGTAAAAACCCGCATAACTTAGTAAAAATTAACGACAGATAAAACATGTTTTCATATTATGCTCAAATTGATCAAAAACAATCAAAATGCCGAAGTGGCTCTGAAAAAAGTTCGAGCGCTAACTTTCTATCTTTCTTCCAAACCTTCATGCTAAGTGTACGACGCATGTCAAACTGTACCTTCATAAAACTCCTATTTTGAGGGGCTTGTGCCGGTGAATCCAGAAGCAAGGCTTGAAATAAGGCGTATTTTGACCGACAAATCCACCTAGAAAGTTATCGTGGAAATTACGAGCAAATACTTCGTAACGTAAACTCTGTCTCGCGGAAAATCTACGGGCAAATATCTTGTAACGTAAACTCTGCCGCGGAATAAAACGTGTCGCGGAAACCGCAACAATTGAGAAGATCAAAAATTTGGAGCGAAAACATCTACAAAATGAGCTAAGCACTTGGAGCTGCTCTATGTTGTAATCATTTATTTCTGAATTCTAGAACAGTACAAAGATTATAAAAAAATCATCTTTGTTGCGAAATCGGCAACAATTATTTGCGAGCCTGGTTTTAACAGCAGCTCAAAAAAATTAAAAAAAAAAAAAACTTTTTGCGGGTTCCGAATCATTTTTTTAAGCTTGGAAACTTATTCTGATAAGAATGGTACCGCCTAGTGTTTAAGTAAATTTTGTATCAAATAACAAGCACGCGATGTGATGTGTAACAAAAACATTAATCAGAAATTACATTTTAGTACAAGTGGCTCAATTTTAGCCAATTTTTTCTTGGAAACTATTTTTTTGTGTTTTTTTTTGAATTCTTGGAAATTAGGAGCACAGAGGGCCTGAACTAAAGTTCAAAAAAGAGAAGACACGTGGTGAGAACAGATTGGATCAGGGGCGGATCTAGGATTTTCTCGAGGGGGGCGGTTTTTCAAAAAATTTTCGAAAGTTTTGACGACCTTTTTTCTTTAAGTCGACCAAATTGATTTTCCGAGCTCTCCTAAAGCACTAAAAAGACGCTGTTTTGGCCAAATTTTCTGCGCCGCAGGCAAATTTTTGAAAAAACAGGTCAAAAAACCGTTTTTGGGCGGTTTTCGGAAAATTTTGACAAAAAAATCGCGTTTTTTTTTTTTGGCGCGCGCTCCCCCTCAAAGTTAGTATATTGGCGCCAAAGGCGCCTTTAGAAAAATTTAAGGGTCTGTTGGCCAAAAATGGTTTTCTTAAAAAGTACCAAAGGGGGGACTCTTCGGGTCGGCAGGGGGTCGAATCCCTGAGGGGGGAGGGCGTCCCCCCCCCCCCCCAAATCCGCCCCTGGATTGGATGTTCATTTGTCAGTAGACGAAGTAAAGACAATTGTTTGGATTGTTACTTTTTTGCGTGGAAAAAAGCTAACATTTTTTTTAAGCTTCAAACTGATTTTCTCGGTTTGTTTTTCGATTTCTTTGATAAATCATTCAATTTAATTTGCTACGAGGAAAGCAAATTGCGCTATTCAAAAATTACGAAAGTGCTCATGTACCTGCACTGAAAAAACGTTATCAAATTTTGGGACATCCGAATGGGCTGAACACAGCTGTTTTGTGTATTTTAAAGGGTCAATCAGAAAATAAATTTTAATTTTTTTGAAACTTGAGTTGATATTTTTTTCCGAACTTCAAAAAATCAAATATTTTGAAAAAATCAAAGTTGGTTATTCTTTTTTACTTGATTAGATTAATTTTGCACTATGAAAACCGGTGTGAAAACATCCGATCATGACTGAAAACAATCTGAGTATGAAAGAGAAAATTGCGCCTCAATTTCGCATTCGAATGACAAAAAAAAACAAAGAAAAAAATTATTATTGCTGTCTCCTAATGGACATTAAAACAAGACTGCTCGTACCAAGGCGACACCCTGAATGATCTGACTGCCTCTTAAGCTCTATAGACTAATGTTCGCTTAGAAAAACAAACAAAAAATCTTAATTTTTTTTTGAAAACCATCTACCTTCAGGCTACTTTAAGTATAAATTGATATGTTTTGCTTATATCAAAGCATTAAATAGACTGAATGGGATGCCTCAAATGAATTGAGAAATATTTCTAAGACGGATGAAATTGCCGCTTACGCGTTGATATCGCGCGCTAATTGTCCCAAATTGGCAATCTTTAAGTCCCCACACTTTTACGAGTAAACATCAAAGAATGATTCGAGCAGCGATGCCAACCTCATTTTAACCTAGTGCAAATTTAATTCTTTGGCAATCTAAAGATTCCCGGAATAACACCCATACGCTGTCAACTTTTAAAAAATTGGTCTGTATTAAATAAAAACCAGCCCGGGTACATATATTCCTCATTACCTTCAAAAATCGGAACATTAAAATCAGCTATTGTTGTTTTAGTTTGTCAAGAAAACAAACATCGAGTAAACAAATTTTTGCGAAATTTAGTCAAATTTTATAGTTTTTAGACTAATTTACTTGATTGTGTCGACGAGAAACTTACGTGGTTATATCGTCTCTATCTAAAGTTATGTATTTGCAGCTGGTTATACAATTCAATACCTTCTCACTAGCTATACTAATTTGATAAAAGATTCTATTTTATTTAAAATTTTTGCCCAGCCGCTTTTTTTAGTGTAAAATGTTAACAAATGAAATCATGTAGATAATTGGAAAAAAGTTTTAAAATTTTTATGCATCAACTTTGAGATCTGAGTAATTGAATGTTGCCTTTTTTTTAATCACGACTTTTTTTGCTCTTTCTCTACCTCGAGTGAGTTCTTTTCTCGGCAAAACAATTGTACAATTGCGCGGATTTTCCCCTTGATTTTTTGGAAGTGTTCTTCAATCATATTGCATTTTGACGTTTTATAAGAGTAGTAAACGTGATAAAACAAAGAAATATTTTCAATAAAGTTTTGATGAATTTTGTCTGTTTTTTAGTGATTTTTGAAGCTCATTTGATTGAATTACATGAACAAATTTTTCATTTGGAAACTTTTTCTGCTTCATAGTTGTTTTTCTGTTGTTTCTGTTTAAAAAAAGTTGTTTCTGTTATTCACAAATTTAAACGTAAACCTTAGCAAACGCAATTTTTGTAGAACAAATTTTTATGGTAATATATTACAACAGGTGTTATATTGAAATTAAATAGATCAATCGCTCTTTCTCAGGCTCAAATAGTCTTCCAGTTTGTTTCAATCTCAGTTTTTTTTGACAAAAGAAGCGTAAAATTTGATTGGTTTTTTGACAAGGGATCGTACCGCTCGCAACCTCAATCTTATATCAGTTTTTGTTTGTCAAGCATTGTTTCAAGTTCAATTAAAAACGAATTAATTAGTACAGGAAAAAATTAGAAAAATGAAAACTTTTTCTGTTCTGCTTGTCTTTCAAACGTTTTTGCACTAAATACCATGGTTGGTTACTACTATGAAAGAGTGATCCCTTGAAAATAACCAAGTGCTTTGAGAATAAGACACTTAGCGATCTGAAACTGTTTAGTAATTATGATTTCACCATTCAGAAAAATATCTCAGTATATTTTCAAACACATTTTTGTTTCGTCACTTCGTAAAACCTCCCCCTGAGTATTTTAAGGTAGAAATTTCAAAAAAAACGCCAACATTGAGTTATTATGACAAATAAATAAACCTAATTATGGTCGTTAAACCGTAAGTAAATTGAAGTGAGCATATTTTTTGATATAGACAAGATAGTTATTATACAATTATTTATCAGAACAGTTTCGTGACTCAACATTTTTCGCGGGTTTTTAAAACAAATAATTTGTTCACAAATTAATTTTGAAAATTTTAACATTCGAAATGCATGCGGGACCCGACCAGTTTATCATAATTGCTTTTCAGGGGACCGCTTGTATCGCAACTGGGTAATCTTATTTAGTTGGGTGATGTAAACCATCCGAAGCAAAAGCCAGCTATCACATAAGAGTATTCTAAACATCTAGGAATTTTATCGCTGTTACGACATTCTTGCGACCTTCATCACGAATGACGTAACTTCGGCTGGATTGTATACCCTGTTCATTTCCGGTGGGTTTTATACTTCGACCAGTTTATAGGCACACGTTTACTTCAAAGTTTTTTTTCAGGTCCGAAGTCTACGCTTAGACAGTTTGTTAAGTAGAGGGGTCCTCACGTATACAAATACTAGATCAACCAATCAGAATCGAGATAAGAAAATAGAAACGTACGCAAGACCAATTATTAATTATTCTTGCGCATATTTGTTCTTCTTTTCTCGATTCTGATTAATTAATATAGACTATGTCTATCTGATGATATGTCTTCTAAGAAAATTGTTGGGTCTTTTTTGTTATACGGCCCAAAATTGCCTAATTGCTAATTGAGCTTCTGTTTTGAATGAAAATCTGGATTGCTGTAACTAGTTTCAACCAATCAGATTCGATAATTAAGGTGCTAATTTCAAACAAAAGTATTAGTTTGGGGCCGTTTAACAAAAAAAAGACCCAGAAATTGTTTACTGGTTGCTATGTAACATAAATTTCAGGACTTGTTCGACGACTACCTGGAAATGTTCATCCAACTGGGCTACGTCGTCTTTTTTTCCTCCCTCTTCCCCCTGGCCGCTCTCTGCTCCCTCGTGAACAACATCTTCGAGATCAGAGTGGACGCTTTTAAACTCACCCACGCGTACAGACGCCCATTCGCCAAAACAGCATCCGGCATAGGAGTATGGCAGGTATGAAATAATAACATTACTAATCATAATAATAATAATAAAACGAAATTTATTTTCAGTTGGATTTCAGAATCGAATTATTCATGAAGGTAGCACTAAGTTTGCACAACATCAAATAGGCTTATCTGCTTTTCGAGTGATGTCTCATTCGAGCAATAATATCGAATTTAGTTTGTAAATTAGAATGCAGCTACCAATATTAATATCGCCATATTTAAAAACTTAGCCCGAGACGCGGAATTAACATAATGCAGTCTATTTTTTTTAGTTCGATCAATTCGGTTTCAAAAACAGAACAAAACATCCTGACAGGGGGGAGCGAGCGCGCCGAAAAAAACGCGATTTTTGGTCAACATTTTCTAAAAAAAAGGCTTAATAACGCCTCTACTGGACTGTTTAACCAAAAATTTTGCTGCGGCGTAGAAAATCTGGTCGAAAAATGGTCTTTATAAGGATTTGGAAGAGCTCAGAAATTCAATTTGGTCAACCTAAAAAAAGGTCGACAAGATTTTGGATTTTTTTCTGACAATCCGTCCCCGCACCTCGAGAAAATCCTAGATCCGCGCCTGCTTCCTTCTGTTAAAAAGATCTGCTTCGCAGATAAACCTAATAAAACAGACCAAAAAACTCATTTTTTTCGCATTTGAGCGTATTTTCAAAGGTTTATGAGCATTTTTTCAAAGGTTTTTGGCCAAAAAATGTGTTTTACACTACAAAATAATTATGCTACAATAATTACAAAGTTTTGGTGCTAAATTTTGGTGCCTTAAGAAAAAAATAGAGTTTTTCGGCAATAAATGAATGCTGTAAAATAATATTAAAGAGAAGAGGCGATCTTTTGGAAAAACGGACAACCAGAACCGGAAAAAAAAGCAGTAAATCACCTACTCCCCTCCCCACTCACCCCCCCCCCCCCCCCACTCACACGCTCTCTATCTCTCTCTCTCTCTCTCTCTCTCTTCTCTCTCTCTCTCTCTCTCTCTCTCTCTCTATCTCTATCTCAATGAGAAGAGTACCACTTGCTTAGAACATGATGGACGTGATGGGTGCGATTGCAGTGATGGTCAACTGTGGCCTCCTGGTCTCCTCGGGACAACTGCAGCGTCTCCTTCCCAGTCTGTCTCAGACCGAAATTGTGGTATGTACTTTTACTTTTATATGTCTCTTAATGGCCCTATATAATATGGTCTCTTAAGGGTCTCTATAGGTTATTGTACATTTATTGATGTGATTACAAGTGCCAAATAGAGGATTTAGTATCAACTCAGAATCAGCAGTGGATCTGAAATTTGTCGACTGTCGGTTTTTGAAAACGTTTGTCGAACTGTTTTGGATCATTTTTTTTTATTTTTTAAGAACAAGGACAACAGAAACGAAAGAAATAAGTATTTCATTTTTTTATGAGTTTTTATTGTTATTTTTTCTCAGTTCAAATAATTGGCCCAACATAAGTGCAAATGGTGCTATATAAGTCAATCTTGCAAAACTTTAAAGACATTTTCATGTCAGAATGAACGAATGCCTGATAAAAAAAATGAACACTAACCGTCGCGTAGATCCATCCGGCCTGTAACTTTCTTTTTATTTTCTGTAAACTCAGAAAAAAAATTAGCTCGACAACTTGAGATTGCAACTCCGGACTGTTTACGAGAACGCCAGGTAGGGGGCGTATACAACGAATAAAGATACAATGGAACATTTTTCAGCAAGCCTTGATTAAAAATCAACAAACAGCTTTACAAAAAACTGATTGGTTGAGGAAACAGGCGGGCCGACAATTCGTCAAAGAGAGAACTTGTCAAAAGCGACAACTGGTAGTATTAAGAAAAAGCGGCAATTCTCACCAAGCGACAAATAGTAGCTGAAATTTCCCGGGCGTTTTCGTATACAGTATGTGTCTCTGTTTTGGCAAACATACAACGCGTATCAGCCCGATTGCGGCATACCAGTTATACTCTACTAATTTTTGTTGGTTTGAGTTGTCTTTTTTTTCTTCGAAAAAGTGAAATTTTTGCTTTCGAAAAATGTTTTAAAAAAAACTGTGAATAGTCGCTTTCAACCAGTTGTCGCCTCATGGTGAAAATAGGCTAAAATTTGAAACACGAATAGTTTAATCACACGTAATTTAAAGGTGAATCATTAACTATTGAGCCGATTGGCGGCTTAAGGTCACTGGTGGAGAAAATTGGCGGAGAGAATCCCTCATGGAGATATTTGTTTCCAGTCAGTCGGTGCTAGGTAAATAAGACGACAAGCCATTAAGACGACAAGACATTCAAGGACAAATAAGCGTTATTACATGTAAAATGAGCAGTTCAAATTTCAGCTGTTTAAATTTCTCAGAAATATAATGAGGAGAATTATATGTAGCGTCGTCTTAAAGTCCCCATCAAAAACCGTTGTCGACTTAATGGCTGTCGTCTTATTTGCCGGTTACTCAGTGAATCGTAACTTTGTATTCATAAATTCGAAAGAAATAATAAACAAAATTTGTTAATAACGGATAATTTACAGGGCATTGATTGGCTGAGAATTGTTTCGCATTCGTTCCTTTGCGCATGCGAATATCTCCCAAAACTGGCATTGATAGTTAACATGCTCCCCAAGTTAACATCCTCCCCGAAGTGCAGCCAGTACTTTGACAGCCGCGTATTCATACTCGTCAGTATTTAGACAAATACTGTATGAACCAATCAGAATCGAGAAAAAACATAAATAATCCAAAATAAATCATAATTATTTATTAATTTCTTCTTTGTCTCGATTCTGATTGGTTGAAACAGTATTTGTCTAAGTACTGACGAGTCTGAATACGCGGTTGTCTAAATACTGATATGTAACCATCCTCCCCTAATCCGTTGTGGTGGCAGGAAGTGAACTTGGTTCTGAGTTGAAGATTTCGGCCAATCAGAATCGAGCATTTTACAAGCAGCCCCTAGCAAGTTCAGTAAAAAAAAACGCGGATCTCCTTAACTATTACCCCCTTTTGTAGAATTTGGGAGATTCGTTACTAGGTACAGAATTTACATATGCTTAACAATTGATTATTTCTTTGTAGGGGTGGCAATTCGTTGCTAGGTAGTATCCCAAAACGCTGGTGTGGAGGGATTCAACCTTAAATTGGTCTATCTGCGGGATCATGTTTTTAGATGTTTAAGCTATTTGGTTTTACGCTGAGTGAGCATTAGACAATTAATAAATTATTAAAAATAATTATTACAAATTTTGCATGCCGTTTTTCAGATTTTGTATGCCAGTTTTTCCATATGCTCATTTACGGTCCCGCTTGGCCATAAGGAAAGATTGGATATACTTAGTAATTACTCCCCTCTCGAGTATAAGTAGAACAAATTAGTCGAATTTTCGACTAATAAGAATGCAGCAAAATTCGAATTTTAAACGCAACGCACTGGTGCTAATTTATCACTTTCATTTATAGGGGTAACATTTCCTTGGTAGATACCGAGACCATAATGGGGGCAATTGTTAAGTAGATCCGAAAGATTATTCATTCTAATAGTTAGCCCTGTGGTAATTTTGTTTTCAAATATGATTATATACCATTCAGTAAATAGGAATGTGTTACGCGTTAAGACTATTCTAATTGGTTGTGCGTTTTCCTGAGATCATTTCAAATAGCCATTGCAGGGGCGGATCCAGGATTTTCTCGAGGAAACAGGCGGCTTTTCAAAAAAAAATTGAAAATTCTTCGATCTTTTCTTTTAAGTCCACCAACTAGATTTTCCAAATTTTTCAAAATCTCTATTAAGGCCCCTTCTGGACTTTTCTGCGCCTCGGGTAATTTTTTGGAAAAACAGGCCAAAAAAAACAAATTTTTGGCCCTTTTTGGATTTTTTTAAAAACCTTTGACCAAAAATCGCTTTCGACAATATTTAGGGTTGGTTCAATCTTTACGTATTGTGGTTTTTGTACCGCATTATAGACAGGGAATTTTAGGTACTTACTATTGGTGAATTTTGGTACCTTTCTCGTGGAGAAGTACATAAGATAACACGTTTTCTGGGGTTAAGTATTCGATGCATAGTTTCTTTTGGATCTCAACGTTTAGCATGTTTGTAATGAAAATATCTCTGACTAATTTTGACTCGAGTTCTCCCAATTTACATTTTTTGCCAACTCAGATAGTGTTTCGTGGAATTTTTCTACTGAATCGTTTTCCTTCTGTCTTCGGCCAAAGAATTTATATCTCTCGTAGGTTAGATTTGTAGTAACCGTAAATGTAGTTTTTAGTAATTCCCAGAATTCAGCAAAGTTAGTGTCCAGTATTCTGTTCCCAGGATTTTTGTGTGAGAAACATTTCTGTCCTTCTCTTCCGAGTGCCAGGTATAATTGAGATTTTAATTTTTTGTCAATATCTCCGATTTGAAGTACGTTGAATTTTGCGTTATCTTCTGCCTTTCTCCTTCTCATCTCTTCGTTGTAATCTTGGATAGCTAGTCGGTGACGTTTGTCTTTTTCTGCCCGACGGGGTTGGTCATCGGAAGGATCCGTTGGTTCAGCTATAGGGTATGCTAGTTCGAGTCTTGCCGGTGGGTTGATTACGTCTTCATTGTCCACCGAATCTTTCGCGATAAATGTTAGTTGGAACTTTTCTGACCATCTTTCCCAGTCGTGTTGGTTTTCACTCGATGCGTTATTCCAAAAAACTCTAGTCCTCGTAGGTTCGACTCATTTGACTGCGCCATGTTGAAAATTAGGATAGAACCGTCTAAGACTAGTTTAAGACTCATTGGTTTAAGATCCCTACTATTTCGATAGTAGGCTTTTATCTAAGACTAGATTAAAGACTAAGGGGTAACTATGCTAAGCTAAGAGTTAAAGTTAAAAGGTTTAATTAAGAATTAGTTACACAGAATTGGTTACGTATCAAAAAAGATTAATGATCGATGTCCAGATCTACCAAAAGCCGTTGCGCTTTTGGCAGGTATTTAAATTAGCATGGTCATAACTAAGTATAACTTAAAAGTTAAACTGTCAACGATAAGATATCACACTTGACATGGGAGTCAAATCCTTGAGGAAGTGGCGTCCCCCATGAATCCGCTACTGAGCCATCTATTTAGTTCAATCATAATTGATTGTTCGAAAATCTGAAATAAATAGTTTAAAAGCCAGTCAGTTTTGAACATTTGAAAGGAAACTGATTGGATTTTGGGCGCAATTGGTCCTTCTATCATGATTAGCCCCAATGATCATGCTCGGTGCGGTGCATGAGGGTGACTCAAATTTACGCAGTCAAGAAAATAAAATAAAAAAATAAATTGTTGCATGTAATCCTTAGCCAACAGCTAATCTCCGTAAAGAGCGGAACAGCTAGCGTGTAGGTCTTTTTCCTCGTGTTTGAATCCTCTTAAGTTTGAATCAATACTGTCGTCGACTATGATTGACAGGTGATAGCGGTGGTGTTGGAGCACATAGCTCTGGGTCTGAAGTGGTTCATCTCCAGACTGATCCCAGACATTCCCCAGTGGGTGGAGGCGGAGATGGCCAAGGTCCAGTTCAAACGAATACAGGCACTCAGGGTACACATACTTTATTCTCGGCTCGTTTCTGTTATACCGTCCAAACTTACCAGACAGTATGAAAACTTCTGTTTGAACTTAATTTTCAGCGACGTAGAATAGTAACTAATTTAAACCAATTAGAGTGAAGCAAAATGGTGGAATATCCAAGCTACCAAAATAATCAGTTTTTGGCCAAAAGTTCGAGACGACTCTTACTCTTCCATTTTCGTTTTTCTGGAAAAAAAAACAAAAAAAAACATTATAAGTTGATTTTTAAAATAACTTATAAACTGGATAGATAGCTCATACCGTCGTGTCGTTTTTTCCTTCATGTTCATATACTAGACCTATGCTTCTGCTTTTTATTTTCATTTATAACGATATACATTAGTTACAGCGGTAACTTGTTTTTTTTTCAACAGAAGCTTTTTGTTATTTTTTTATTTGAAACCGGCGTACAAAATAATCTTACGGCCTCTAAATTATTTAGAGGCAATAATGAATTTTTTTTCCTGTTGCATTCAACGCGATTAGAGTATGGTCACGGTACCTTAATAATGCCTTGTTTTGTGAAATTTGTGAAGTTTTCTGAAATTTCTTTCTCGATAGGATCTGGAAACACTAGCTTCGCGTGGCAACATGACGTATCCTCAATCAACCAGTAGCTCCAAAGGACACAACGCAGGCAACTTAGAGACGGCAGCTCTGAAATCAGTCGAAAAGTATCTGAATCAAGACTGAAAACGGTTTCAGGACCAGTTGCCAACTTAAGATCGGCGAGTGTAAATTCATGAGCCGGTGAAAGAGGATGGGTCCAAAATCAAGAATAATAAAAACGATTAGACCAGAACCGATTGACAAAAAGTATAAATAACAACAGGGACTACTGTATTAAATTAAAATTTTTATTAATTATGTTTAGTTATTGATTAGGCTTTTTTATGTTAACCAAGAATAAATTGAAAAAAAAGAACTTGATTTCTTTGTACATTCCTATTAAAATCAAGTTTTGTAGAATATGAATAAATAAATTTTTGTTGATGTAATTTTGTGAATGATCGACATGAATTTTTACTTTTTATATCGTCTTTTTTCAGGATAAAGTCTTAAGATTTGATAACGCTAAGCATCGAGGTTTATGGTGTGGTTTTGATTTTTTAAGTTCAAAACAAATTAGTTTACCAAAAGGAAGGCAAATTATCAATTGCAATAACAAAAAAAACATGATAAAAACGTTATAAAAACGTGATAGAATTTAGCTTCGAAAAAGGACTAGGAAAACGAATTTAGCTTTCTTTTGCAATAATTTGTTCTACCCAACTCCTCGAAACGATAATATTTTTAGTTTGCCAAGTTTTTCTCAAATAATAGTAAGATTATAAATAATTGCAAGCTACTGATTGTTTGTAAAATTTGACACCTTAAAAATCAGACCATTTTTTTAGAGGGAACTTTGAAAAAAATTCTGCTAACCGCTTCTTTTTTCACGTTTCGTTTGTAGCTCTTCGAGAAGATGAAAAGAATTTAATGAGCGAAATAAAACTTTTTTTTAAACTGGGACTCGTTTTGTTGGTCATTTGGCTTTCAAAATTAATAAAGTTTGTTCACACTCAATTTTTTCCGCAACTTGATATTAAATTTCGCTTATAGCTCTTTTCTTATCAAGTTTAATGACATTTTTGGAAAGCATTAAAACTTTCTCGAAGTATTAAGCAATTATTTGCTTTTGGAAAACATTAAGAAATGAAGTGAGCTTTGAGTTTAACAATAAAAAACATAATTAATTTTTAAAGGTTTTCCTGCAAAAAAATGAAAAGCCATCGATTCAGTTTTTTTTTGCAAAGTGTTTTAGTTTTTATCAGAAACGTGTCAAAAATAACAAAAACTGAGCTTCATAACCTGAAACAAAAACGATATTCTTGCAACAAGAGTTCAAAAACTCGGCTTTGTTTTTTCTGTTTTGCACGCAAAATCAGAAACCACAACTAATCATTAAATGAGTTATATGATATATTAGATAAAAGTAACTTCAATCGAGATCAAGGCGAGATTGAAAAGATTCTTTAAAGTTTTAACAATTTCAAGAAATACCTATTTTGTGTACCTTTGACGATTTGTTTTCGTATTTTTTGTTTTCAATTGAAAACTTGATAGCATCGATCACGAAGTGACAAAAATTTTCGTGTTTTGATATTTTTTAAAAATTTTTATACTTCCAAGCTACAAAATATACTACAAAACATGAGTGGAATACGTTGAATGGTATACTTTATTCAATAAGCTTAATTAGTGACTCGAACTTTTTTTTGAAGAGAAAAATAATAAATATTTTTATAAATTCCTTTGAGTCACATGCTTGAAAAAGGATAAAATTTCTGTAGAATTACCAAGAATTAATTTCTTTTTGCCAAACTAACTGTTATTTAGAAGAACCCTCACAACTGACTTATAATGAAACAGCTTTCGATAAAAAAACATCAAAACTATTTTTTTTCTGCAAATGCAATCAGAACCAGGATAGCCGGTTACTGTGCAAGTATCCCTGTGACCACAGTCTTAAAAAACACAAAAATATTTTCTCAACCAATTTTTTCCAAAAATTTTTTTCCACGGCACCAATTTTTTCCAAAAACACAGAAATTGGTGCCGTTTTTTTTCTGCATGTGATAAAAAAAAATGCACAGAAAAATCAAACATAAACATATTTAAGATTCATAGTGAACTAATTCAATTGAAAAACAATAATTGAAGAAAAATGACGAGAAAAATTTTCTGCGGAAATTTTTTGAATTTTTAGGTTTTTGATTCTCAAAATTGCGCTAAAAAACTCTAAAAACTACATTACCTGAAAAAAAAACTAAGTTTTCGCGGCTTTGATTAAGCTTAGATAAGCTATTGCAATTACTAACTATCATACTAATTAGCTCGAAATCAGACAAAAAATCTAAACTTTCAAACCAGTTTTTCTCGACACTGTGAAAACTGTGAATCACAACTGAATGTACAGCAAAAGTTTTTTTGAGCGTGTTACAACTGATGATTGTATATGAAAATGCTCAGACGGCAATGATAAGTCAGTCAGTTGGAATGATGACAGTCACCAGCTAGTAATCAGTTTTAATTATAATATTTATTTTGCACGAGAATAAGGGGCAATTTCATCACAATATTTTTTTTTGTAAACACCACATTTATTCCAACCATTGAAAATAGAGAGATCATTTGCATTTGGTTGTATTTTAGCTTTTTTGCCCGCAAACTTAGTTATGTATCATATTAAAGCCCTATCGGTGATTGAAACAATAAGAAAAAAAATAAATTTTCCCAGTTTCGTGAAAACCCTTTTAAGCCAAATTTGAGCACACATAATGAAAAGAAGACATTATTAGGAAAATTTATTGTAATGAAATAGTAAAAATGAAGTCGTTTAGTCCAAGAGAACTGTTTGTTTTTAAGCTTCATTCAGCAATTCCTGTAGTTTTTTTTTTCATTTGCTTTTGTCTTATCCATTCAATGGGCTTAAACAAAACTTCAGATTTGAAAAAAAAACGAAAAAAGTGCTTTTTCTTAGTTTTTTTAAATAAAAAGTGTCAGATTTTTTTGTGCTACTTGCACAGCCACCACTTGGGTAGAAACAACAAGAGTTCGAAAACACGGGCTTGTTCTAAGTTTCAGAAAACACAAATAATCATCGAAAAGCGTCAAGTGATATAAAAGATTTAAGCAACTTCAATCGAGATCAAAGCGAGGTTGAAAAGATTATTAAAAGTATTCGCAGTGTCGAGAAAAACCCGTTTGAAAAGTTTTTGCTTTTCAGTCTAATTTCGAGCTAATTAAGCAAGCCTAATAGTCTGATTTTTAGCGCCGCTTTAGGATTAGAAAATTAAAAATTAAAAAAAAAAACCTTTATAAAATTTTTCTGTAAACCAAAGAAGTTTTTTTAAAATATCAAACCTAAAATTACTTTTGAAGTATTAAGCTTTCGTGTGCATCATCTCATCACACTGCGAACAGACAACGATAGGGTTTGAAATAAAACAGTACTGTTTTTTAATTTAGTTTTTTTATTGTGATTGGAAAACTCTCTGCTTCTTGCTCTAAACCGTAAATCCTAGTTGCAGATTATTTCGCACTTCTGAAGATTTTTGTCTTTTTATCATAATGACAAGAGCCTAGAAAAAAAGTTTAACTTCATATTTTTTCACTCAAGTCAATTGTTGAGTGTTTATGCTTCACTCTAGTTTTTAGATCGACTAGTTATACACGGATAAATCCGGATTTTTTGAAATTTCGCATGATCACAAGAGAAAGTTAAGAAAATTAAACGCCACAGGCAATATCATATTCTGGCTATTTGATATGACTTTTTTTGGTTTTCATTTTTACAGAGATGTGATGATTTTTCTATTGTGAATTATAATTTCGAGCTCTTAATTAAGCAAAGTTTGTGCTAATTTTTGCAAAATCAGGTTCTAATTATTTATGTGTCATGTGCTGTAAAAATGTTTTCTAAGTTAATGAAAAATGAGAAAATTGATAGGTTTTCTTTGACTTATACAATAAGTTCCAAATAAAAACTTATACTTTCAAAAAAGAGTTCTCAATAATTTTAATTTGCATGCGTAGTGACTCAAAATAGGATAATACTTATATCAAATATCATAAGAAAAAAAATCTCAGCATTGAAATAAACGGGTGCAAAACAATTTTTATATGAAAAAAAGTTTTCATTATAATTTTTCTACAACGTAAAATTGCATAAAAAAAATTGCCAAACTATAATGCAATTTCATATTCAATAGAAATAACTTTTAAGGGCTTCCATTTGGTAGTTTAATTACTGTTCTTCCACAGTATGTGGGTTCAATGTGTTATTTTGAAAAAATGTGGTTCGCTTGTTCATATTGGCACAATTTTACATTAGCTTAGATTAACTTTACTAAAATGGTTTTAATAAATCTAATTAAGCGCCATGCGAACCATAAAAATTCTAAATAACACAATGAACATACATATTTTGAAAGAAGTCAATTATTAAGAAAAAATCAAAACTAGTTTATTGACACACAGCAATTATTTTCCCAAACCTATCTAGTAGTATTATATCAAAACGTAGTCACGAAATGTATTTTCTGCAGAAGCATTTAAATTTAATGTATTTTGAGTATATTTATAGCTAAGACAATCAGTTTTGATTGATTTGAACTGAATTGAATCCATCCTTTTCTTCGTTTTTGCATACTTTTATACCAATTTAAATTACTGGACATCGTCTATTAATTTCTTTGTGCTGTTTTTGTCTTAAAATGTGGTTTCTGAGACTCGCAAAGAACCTATGAAAAGCTATCCAGCCTGTACAAACATGTTTCTTTTCTGTATCCACCTTCTGGACAGTTATTTTGCTGAACGAAATGTTTTCTTGCGAATCAATGACGTTAGTTGCACCTGGAATTGTCACGTGGTACCATTATTGCAGCGACAATCCGTAACACTATGTGAAGTGAAGCTAGAGGCTTAGTGAGAGCTCTCATTCACGCACAATCATATCCATGGCAGGGGATTGATTACTCGATCTGACGATCTCAAAGTTAATGCCTTACCACAATGCTAAATGCCTCCCGTACCTAGTAAATATTCTAATTCAGTTCTGAAATAATATTTTTCAGATCTGATTTTTCAATCTGAAAATTTATTTTTCTTGGTCATCTCAGATCTGAAAAAATCTATTTCAGATATAATTTTAGATTTGAAAAATAGTTTTTCTTGGTTATTTCAGATCTGCAAAATCATTGATCCTGATACAGGTTTTGCTATTTATGTTAACTTTGTATTTAATAGCTTCTGCTGGATACTAGCAGGTACTCAGCAAAGTCTCCATTGGCAGACTGTCTTAATGTGTTTCCCCAAGCATGTGATAAACCTTGGAGACGCATAAAAAGCGCATAAAAATCAAAAATCTGATAGGTCTTCTAACAGTTTTTAACACATTTGAACAAGAATTTTACTTCAAAAAAACTGTTTTTGAAATTATCCTGAAGTTTTTTTTTTTAAATAATTGCGTATTGCGAAAACATCAAAAAATAAAAC